GTGGCACAGTGTAGGAGTGCTATCTTCATAAAACCGACTAACTTCAGTCTCATCTTCTTTGGTAACAAAGTTATATTAAATAAAACAAACCACATGCTTATAAAGGCATAGCATAAAACACCAACAATCAGGAATTCTCATAAATATATAACGGTTGTATAGAATGGGAACGAATTTCCATGCATGGAAAGTTATACAGCCTATTAATAACCACATTACCAAGGTCATCAGCAAAGTTTTCTAGAATATCCATATCTCTTTACTTTCCTAACAATCTTGTCTGTCTGTGTCTCATAATTTTCCTCTATAATAATTTTAAAGCTTATGTACTTTGAATATCTTAACATTGCCTCCCACAGAGACTATTTAATAATAACTAATTAATATACAGAAACTTCATTAGTCAAATCATAAAATATTTTATAATCCTGTAGTATACAAATACATAAAAGGTAAGTTACATAAACCATTTAAAAATAGTATCCAATTATTCCTTTCTCCTCTATTTCACCATATCACAGTTTACATGTATTCACTTAATTCTCTCCCATCTGTCCATACCTATATACAACAAAAGAGTGCTATGCACTCATTTATTTCCATTTTCCTGCTATAATATCTGAATTATAAAGTTTATTATCCAAATTTCACAATTCTAGACCACACTGTTTGACACAATCCATGTGCTAACTTCAAGATGAGTTCATTATTAACTCATGAATGCTTTAAATCAGTTATTATCATCTTCTGATATACATTTATTTATATTAATATTCAATAATATATTCTATATATTCTATTTTTTTTTTTATTATCTGTACTTCACAAATATATAATACAATTTGAATTTAAACAATTATTATTTCCTCCTTGGTTGACATTTCAATTCCAATACAAATTTAACAATGAATCTGTCCACTTTATAGTTTCTTAGTACTGTCATTCTACAAATGACACTAAATAATAAAACTCAATGGATAACTTAAGCTCAGATCCTTGCAGCAAATCTTCAGTTCATTAACTTATGCAGTACACAAGATTGGACAATATAGCAATACATTGCAATATATTACAATAGTCTATTTTCATTATTGTGATAACAATTGTCTTATGTTGTACATATTCATATTATAAAATCATGACATTTTGTGCAATTTACTGTATGGAGAGTTATAACTCACCAAAAGGCAAATACTCTCACTGTTGCGACTCAATATATATATATCCCAAACATTCTGTATGTACACAAATATTAACTTATTTCCAAAAACTTTTATTCATATTCATAACACTAATAGTAAATTTAAAGACAAACTTGTTGCTCAAGTATTGTTTAGAAAATTCAACAGGTTTCTTGTACAATCAATAATACAATCAAGAGCCAACAACATTCATTTCTGGCTTTACCAAAAGCTTTTCTTTAGGTTAAAAGACAACTTCATAAATTATAAAACTAAACTAAAGTCAACAGGTCTTTTGTACAATCAAGACCCAACAACATCCATTTCTGGCTTTACCAAAAGCCTTTCTTTAGGTTAAAAGACAACTTCATAGTTTACAAAACTGAACCATGTAAGAATAGTCTTACCTGTAATCTATCACTTTCTAACATGTCACATATTAATTGGGTGCTTATAAATTCCAACAATCACTTACTAAACATTGTCTCAAATGACAAATGTACATAGCTACAGGTACCTGTACAGGACCTTAAGTACCTTTATTGATCAACAATGGCTGCTAAGGGCCATTCTAATGAATTTCAAGAGAAGCATCAAAGAAGTGAACCAATTGCTCAAACGTATAATACATTCAATATGAGCATACATATAATATATAATTCCAGCATAATATGACACCTTTGAGGAATTGGATATCATCTCTAGGTGCTTTTTCAACACATTAATAATCAATATCATATGATTATGATAACCTTGAGGATCCTAATAGATCTCAATTGGATTTTATACTAATTAATAATTAAATAAGGAACTATTAATAATAATAGTTTACAGTTATTCGGTTTTTAACATTGGAGTTTACTACCAATTGTTAGCCATTGCTATATATATGTACATTTATAAAATTCAAAACACAGCAAGAAATAAATATAATAATTGTACTATCAGAGTTAAGTACTATTTTCACTGAGAGCTTCACAGCTAATCATGAGATAGCATCTAAAATGTCTTTAATATGTAATATTATGAAATATAACATGTTATGTAGCTTGTATCAGTTTATGTCGACAAAATACTGTGTCTATCTATATTAATATGCTTTATTAATTCATTAATAAACACATATCAAAGTATCAACCAATATAATATATATATGACAGTATCTCAATTTGGGACTATAACCACAATCAAGACATATACCTGGACTATGCCTGTGATTGTCATTTATCTGAAATGGGATCATCAAACATATATGTGTACCTATGTAAAGAAATAATAACAATTCTTCAATTCAATTCACGTAGAACAAACACACAAAACTGAACAGTAAGTTTGACTAATTTACTGTGAATTAGCAACAAACTCAGCAATACCATTACACTGTTTATATGTATAACATGGTACGTATTCTCATGTTCAACCTGTATGTCAACATAGTTAATGTGACTGTTTCCAATCTGTTGATATCCTATCATACTCTATCATAGGCATTAATAACATAACAATAGTTACTCTGTATTTTAAACTAATTAGATATCCATGTTGTTTTATACTTAATGTATTCATAATACTTCTTTCTTAGGTATATTGTATACCTCAATATCGTGCTACATGTCATGTCATTACTCTCGCAAGTTATCGTACATACTAAATCTATTTAATATGTAGAAAGCAATCCATCCAAAAGTTCAATAAAACAAGTAAGATACTGCGTTTAATGGTATGCGTGTTATTAACGTAAATTCACTTACCACAACTTCTAGTCAGAATTACCTTACGGTCGAATTTGTAGGCGGGATTGGTACCGCTTCTGAACTTTTAAAATCACTAGTATCCTGACGACTTAGGCGTAATACCGGTTAGTCAGGGAGAGAAACACCTCAATCCTACAATATTCACAATTACCTATCTCTTATTTGTTTTTATAATAATATAAACACTCCAACTTTTTCGCTCCAAAACTCCCGCTGCGTACGTTCAATCATCCGTCATCCACTTGTCAATGTCACATAGATTACTTTAGCTCTGGCCTCTGACGTTCCGTTTCAGGTTACATGATTATTGACTTTACCATTTTTAATTAATGGTGCGTCACACGATAGTTAACACTATAAAGATTCTGATAGGTAAATCTGATAAATGATAATGATAGATACTTGATTAAAACTTAAAATATAACTGATTAATGATATAATGGGTACACGGCGCTGTTGATGACCAAATGCGAACTCATTTTGGTGAAATATGAAATGTAAAACTCAATATTAGTGCTGCAAAATAATGTACGATACTAGCTCGTACAAAAGAAGAAGCAGATATAAAAATATTTCACGACAATTTATTCTCTCTTAACTGGGTTGTACTCCAAGAATAGAAAATCCTTTATTCAAATCAACTTAATTTAAGCATCTCTGAATAGTCACAGTTACCGTTCTTTTAATCTACCACTCATTGGGAAAACTATCTTATGACAAGAAAATCAGCAAGTAACCTGTGTGTTTCTTTTAAATAATCGTTGTAACTTTACATTTTTAAGTCCAAATTTACTATGTTAATGAATACAAACTACCAACTAGTATTAATATATTAGGATCAAATATTAAATACAAAATAACCCACCACGCCGCCCGCCACATGTCTGTCATATGCATGTAGTAAAAAACGGTTATTACAATATTACAAACAGACTCTCCAATTTTATTTATATGTATAGACTAGCTGTGCCCGCGGTTTCACCCGTTACGCGGTTTAACTCGCGTCTTTCTTTTAAATATTTGCTCTTTTTTTTCGTTTGTTGTTTATATTGTATTTTTTACATTGCACTGAATAAAATATTTTTCTTTCTTTCTTTCTTTCAAATAATCATTGTAATTTTACATTTTTAAGTCGAAATTTGTGAATACAAACTACCAACTAGTACTAATTTATTAGGGTCAAATATTAAATACGTAGATACGTAATATGGACATGTAATCCTAAGGATGAAGATAATATTTTAAGGAAGGTGTTACATATGAATGTGGATGGTTATAAGGGCAGAGGAAGGCCGAAAAAGAGATGGATGGACTGTGTGAAAGATGATATGATAAGAAAGGAAGTAAATAACTACGACTGCGAACAGGGATGAATGGAAGAGAAAACATATTACGCCGACCCCAAATAAATGGGATAAGGAAGAAGGAGATGATGGAATATTAAATATAAAATAACCCACCACGCCGCCACATGTCTGGACATTTTTTTATAATAACAATAATATTCAGGACAATTCACACAGCGCCATCTAGTCCCAAGTTGAGCAGAGCTTGTGTTATGGACACTAGATATAAATACTTGGGTATATTTTTGGTAAATATATGAGGAATCGAACTCATACGAAAGTAAAGTGTGCTAAACTGACCACCGATGCAGTCGATAAATAGGTTCTAAATATCCACCATTCTACCACCACCCTATTTTTGGTAAGACGTTTGCCGGGCCTTTTTTTATTGGATGCTAAAGGAATGATACATTCTCAACGGAGCACCAGTGGAGGATGATAAGATGAGTATGAGGTCAGGTCAGTTAGCCCATCGTGGTAAATTCACTAGAAATTTATCATGACTGTTTCCAGGGTGAACCGGGTGGAGGTCAATCTGACATGGTCCTTTTTTATACCAGGTAGGTGGCAAACAAGCATACGGCTCATCTGATGGTAAACGGTTACCGTAGCTTATGGACGCCTGATACATACATTGCAACAATACTGTATCCCTCACGTTTGCCGGATCAACTAGCTATATGATTAAACAATTTTAGGTCTTATATATATAGACTTACGATGTTATATTCCGACATGTGATAGGGCGTGGTCTGGAGTCCGAGGCATGCTCGCTGGAATAGTGTGTGCACGAAGAATGTGATGTAGGATACCCGGCCGCACCAAGTGAAGCCGCGCCACTCCACTATGCCGCGGTACACCGCTGTTGGAGACAACACACAATAATAACAACTTGAAAGAAATAAAAAAGAACAATTAAAGAAAAAGAAAGAAGAAGGAGAAAAGAAGAAAAAAGAATGAAGAAGAAGAAAGAAAAAATGTCCTTAGTAATAACATCTTCATATACCACATTATATACACAATACTCACCCACACTTAGCTAAGGCCCGTGTGGGCGAGTATTTTTTTTTATAACAGATAAAAGAAGAGAAGAAAAGTAATAATAATCATTACATTAATATTGCTAGCGATCACAAATAGCCCTTTACTTTATTTAAAAATAAATTTTCTAATTTCAAATTTCGAACGTCAGGCACAGAACATCGATGTTATGTTATATACAATTTTGCACTCCTTCTCGAACATTCCGTGGGGTCATTATTAAAATCAACGTACAATACATTAAAAATATTCTTTTTATTTCAATTTAAAACAAATCAACTACTGCTATATAACAAATACGTACAGCAAAAATATTACTCAATATTATTATGACCTAACCTATGTATAGCCCCTTCTTAGAACATCACATTATCATAGGACGAGCGTGATAACACGTTCCATCTTGTCTCTACCTACCTGTATCTTATAATTTCACTACCCTATACCTCACTCTCACTACCTTATCTTACCGTACTACCGAAACACAATCTTCCACAAGTTTCTTGCTCGTTCTTCTTGTGATGACAGCTTTCCGAATGAGCGGTAGATTAAAAAAATGTGATGACTATTCAAAAGTGCTTCAATGTAAGTTTATTTGAATAAATGATTTTCTATTCTATTCTATTCTATTCTCAGGACAATTCACACAGCGCCATCTAGTCCCAAGTTAAGCTAGCTAAAGCTTCTGTTATAGGTACCAGATAACTAATATAAATACATAGATAATGTTTGTTTTCGTATTTCTTACATATTATACACAGAAAACACCCACATCGATACAAACAATCATACTCATGAATACAAATGTTTGTGCCGTGCTAGGAATCGAACCCGCGACCAGCGCTAGACCGCTACATCCTCGAGGTCGTCAAATTTCAATATACTTACTATCAAATTTAAGAATGCATCCAATGATAAAAGCGACTACAAGGATTTGGAAGATCGGCTTGTAGAGTGTCGCGTACAGGACTGTCACGATTGTGGGCAGAGTGACGCCGTCTATGTAGAAGATACCACCGGATAGTATAACGGCCACACCCATAGGGAACAACAACCAAAATGCCCAACGATAGTTCTGTAAAAGATACACAACTTTGAGATTAATGTTTTTTTATTACATATTATATGGGTCACATAAAGTATATCCAAACACTGATCTTTGCCAAAACCAAATACATTTCACATTTTCTAATTTTTACCTGTACAATAATAACTTAAGAAACTAAAATTAAAAAGCTTAAAAAATATAATATAATAACTAAAGTATATTATTAAAAGGCGTCCCTTTAGGCAAAGTTCCGAAGATACTGTCAGGTTAGTAACCTGTTACCTCTTTGAATAGCTAACTTTGAGATTATATTAATATATCAGCTGTACACGCGACTTCGTCCGCGTGGAATTTAACTCTGTTTTTCTAAAATCAAAGAATTTTTCTAAAATAAAAGTTGCGTAAGTTACTCCTTATTACATCAGCTACCTGCCAATAAAAGTCCCGTCAAAATCGGTCTAGCCATTTCAGATATTAGCCGGAACAAACAAACAGACAAAAATTGTAAAAAATGTTATTTTGGTGTATGTACCGTATTTATATTCATATGCATGTAGTAAAAAACGGTTATTTCAATTACAAACAGACACTCCAATTTCATTTATATATATAGATATCGACTAGGTATAATATGACTTTGTTGCCATGTCACTAGGTATAATATGACTTTGTTGCCATGTCAATAAATGATTTCCTTGCACTCTTACCTTATAATTTTTCAAGTCTTTCTTCTCTGTCTGTAAATAATAAGTGAGGAACCCGCCGGCGAGGCCCAGGGTGTACGTGGAGAGGTTGGTGTGGCCGCGGGCGTACAGCAGCCTGAAGGTGGCGTCATAAGCATACACGCTGCGGAATGATCTGGAATTAAGAATAGACATCATCATCTGCTTCATCCCATTTATTTGTGGTCGGCGTAATATGTTTTTCTCTTCCATTCATCCATGTTCGCAGTCATCTCGTTAATATACGGTCGGGCGCAGTGATGGCTGGCTCATGCGTCATACTCGTGAACGAGTGCTGCTTGTAGGAACTGGTCCGTTCTTATCACCACGACTGATTTAATCTTATTGTGTTTTTATATTTGAGCCTAAACAAATTAGTGCTGGTTGGTAGCTTGAATTCACACGTTTCGACTTGTAAAATGTGAACTTACAAGGATTGTTTTAAAGAGCAACACACAAGTTTCTTGCTTATTCTTCTTATGATGAGACAGCTTTCCGAATAGGCGGTATATTTAAAAAAAAATGTTGACTATACAAAAGTGCTTAAATTAAATTAATTTGAATAAATGTTTTTCTATTCTATTCTATTCATCTTTCATACAGTCCATCCATTTCTTTTTCAGCCTTCCTCTACCCTTATAACCATCCACATTCATAATTAAATCAAATTTCAATCGAAACTAAAAATCGGCGTTTGAGCATTACAGCCCAGTACCAAATTGGTTATTACGTGTTATTCTGACGTACAAGTAATATTATTGTAAAGTTTCATTAAAATCCTTTAACTAGTTTTTGTGTGAAAGACTAACAAACAACTGTCCATCCTTCTATCCATCCAATCTCAAAAACTTTGAGCGCATTCCAAACGTGCGTGCTTTCGCGCCTTCTTATAATATATAATTCATTATTTACTGCAAAATGGCGGATATTTGACTGGAGAAAAATGTAATTATAGAATTACTGATAATTTATATTTCTTAAATGAGTCTTTGGAAAATAAAAATGTTTTCATATTTTTATTTCTCTAACCACCCAAAGGTAGTCTGGGAGAGATTGAACGAAAAGAAAGAAAGATTGCTTAGCAATAGACCGCCTTTTGTATTAGGTAATGTATATTTTCTATTTTAATTGTTTTTTTTGTTCTGTAATTTTTGTTTTTGTGGTGGAATAAAGAGTATAAATAAAATTAAAAATTAAAAAAAAAATCTGCCTAATAACAAATAAATTAATTTAAAAAAGTTAAATTACTTGTAATAAATATTTCAGGATTGCGCGCCCTGGCTTTTCAGCTTTAGTTTGAGCGCGTGAAAGATCGTATCGTGTAAAGACAGCTTACAGCTGTTGGGGAAATATTATAAATTTTCTACATATCGTTCCAAATAAGATTTCCTGCTACATACTCAGGTTTTTGCAACACCACAGCGTCCAAGTTCTGGAAGTACGTGTGAGCAGCTACCACCAGCAATGAATACACGAAGAGCACCGTCAGCATTATCTTCCTAGACCGAGGGGTCTTCATCATCACACACAGCAGCAGACAGAGGCCGAACATCTGAGTGTCCGATGCCAGGTACCTGGTTATTTATTTTGTATACCATCATGACTGTCTCAGAAGAAGTAGGTAGAAATGATCAATTATTTACTTCGTGGTGGCAACATTTGACTTGAATCTGGTAGATATAGAAGCAATAGAAGTTAGCAATATATCATAACAACCACGCATTTCTCCCTGGAAACCATCACATTGGGTGGATCATTATCATCATTTAAAAAAAAACAAAAATAGAGGGGAATAAGTTCGTCAGATATTCAAATTTTTTTTTTTTATGATAAAATGGTATTTTAAAGATGTTTACATACCAAGTCTGCGGTGTACACCACGCGTCGTCGTAGATATAGTTGTTGATGTAGAGGACATGCGCCCACCAGTACTGTCTGCAGGCGGCCGACTCGCTGGTGACCACCAGCTGCCACAGCGGGCCGTCGCCCATGTGACGCATCACAGTTGATATGGTGCCCAACATTAACGCGTACATTGGGGTTAGTCTGTATAAACAATTTAGATAAACGCAACATTTACTCAATTTGCTCAATTTGCCAGAAAAAAAATCAAATGTGTCATAAAATATTTTCTATTACTATAAAATTGAAGAATTTATAAATGATAATGATGTTTTTGTAGAAAATATCTAACTTAAAATTCATAGCGCTGACAATGTTATCTGATTGAACAGAGATTAAGTGCGTAGCGGTTTCTATGTTGATTGTCGCATGCCTAATCCTTGAATGTGCATGTAAATGTAAACTATTGCTGCCTTTACACGACACGTTCTTTCACGCTGGAATCGGCTTTCATGCAGGAAAGAATGTGCATATAAATGTAAACCATTACTGCCTTTACACGACACGTTCTTTCACGCTGGAATCGGCTTTCACGCAGGAAAGAATGTGCATGTAAATGTAAACCATTGCTGCCTTTACACGACACTTTCTTTCACGATGGAATCCGCTTTGACACAGAAAAGAATGTGCATGTAAATGTAAACCATTGCTGTTTTTACACGACACGTAATTTCACGTGGAATCGGCTTTCACGCAAGAAAGAATGTGCATGTAAATGTACTATTGCTGCCTTTTTACGACATGTTCTTTCACGCTGGAATCGGCTTTCACGCAAAAAAGAATGTGCATGTAAATGTAAACTATGAGTATTGCTGTCTTTACATGGCACGTTATTTCACGCTGGAATCGGCTTTCACGCAAGAAAGAGTGTGCATGTAAATGTACTATTGCTGCCTTTTTACGACATGTTCTTTCACGCTGGAATCGGCTTTACGCAAGAAAGAATGTGCATGTATATTTAAACCATTGCTGTCTTTACACGACACGTTCTTTCACGCTGGAATCGGCTTTACGCAAGAAAGAATGTGCGTGTAAATGTAAAGTATTGCTGCCTTTACACGATACGTTCTTTCATGCGCAATCAGGAGTGAGCGCGATTTAGCGCGGGAAAGTCAGCGCGCGTGATTGCACTTTTTACGCGCGTGTAGAAAGTGAACTGTCATGAACCATACGCACAATGAGCATTAATAATACCTAGTAATAAGATATATAAATCAAAACCTCTATAATTATGTCTAAGATATATAAATTATCAAAAACTTTATAATTATTTGTATTTCCCGCGTGAAAGTCTATTCGCGCGTGAATAAGTGTACAGAGTACTTGGCTACTTTTATTTTAGACATTTTATTAATTTTATTTCCACTCAAGCTCGGTTAAAATATTGAAAGACTAGAATAATTGCGAATAATTGTGCGAAATCGAGGTGCATAGCTAGTTAAGTATAAAATCTGTTAGTTTTACCATAGGCAAGATAATATTACATGTCTTACCTAAGCCACCTCAGGAGTACTCCCCTCGGGAAATGCTTCCACGTGATGACGTGTTTTTCGCTGTGTATCTGAAGATTGTAGGCCAGTAGGAACGCAGACATCACGAAGAAGGAATGCGTCACCAGACTCCCATTGTACAGTAATTGCTTCAGCGGATCATCATATGCCTGTAAATCATCATTTTACAAATCGCATCGCAAATATTGAAGTTAGTAATCTCAATTCTTCTCAGCAGTTGCAAATCCTTCGGGGCTGATATTTAGGTATTTCATTTTTCATATCTTTGACATCATATACATTGTTGACGAACTCGGTGGTGTAGCGGTCTAGCACACCGCTTTACGACCGTGGTCGCGGGTTCGATTCCTTGCACGGCACAAACATTTTGTATTCATGAGTATGATTGTTTGTATCGGTCTGGGTGTTTTCTATGTATATATTTACAAAAAAAAATATCTATGTATATGTATCAGTTGTCTAGTACCCATAACACAAGCTTTAGCTAGCTTAACTTGGGTCTAGATGGCGCTATGTGAATTGTCCTGTTATTATTATTTATTTATTTATTATTATTGTTCTCGTTACATGATTAATTAACTTTTGTAACAGGGAGAAAATCTCAAAGAATGGTCTTATAAAACATAGATTTATATGGTATAAGAAAACCAGACTGATTTAAGCCTCAATTTTTCCAGTATGCATTATACCACAGATAATATAATATTACATAAATATACTAAGTACACACTTAAATAGAATAATTTAGATGTATATAATAACCAATAGTTTTTATTTTAAACCCTTGTTGCACATAACAAAAAAAAAATAACCCTGGACAATTAACACAGCGCCATCTAGTCCCACGGTAAGCAGAGCTTGAGTTATGGGTACTAGACAACTGATATGAATACTAAGATACATTTTTTATAAATACATACGTAATTAATGAAAACACGCAAATCGATACAAACAATTATACTCATGAATACAAATGTTTGCACCGTGCGAAAAATCGAACCCGCGACCGCCGGAAGTGAAGCGATATACAAAACTACCGAGGCTTTCAGATGAACGAATTAACTTAATGTAGCTATAAGTCCAATCAATCGATAATCCTAATTGTAATTATATTTAAATAAATAAGTATTTTTTTTTAAATATTATCAATTTATTTTCATAACCTAATTGTACAACTAAGAACCTAAAATTAAAAAGCTTAAAAAATATAATAGAATGACTAAAATATATTAATAAAAGGGGTCCCTTTAGGCAACGTTCCGAAGATACTGGCAGCGTTCCCTCTTTGAATAGCTAGACTAATTCTTTGTCCGGGGTAGCTGCCAGTAAGTAAGTAAATTGAACTTTCTTTGTCTTTTAAAAAAAAATCACCGACCGTCAGAACATAATTGGCATGTAAATTTCCTTTGCTTATATTCGTATTGTATTTAAAACAAAATATTTTTAATTAAATTAAATAATAAAATATTTTATAATAATAAGTTATAGTAACTCACCTTTTCAACAAACAGAGGGTTGGAGATGTAGGAGTATGACATGATAAGAGTTGCATGTGAAAAGAAGACGCAGATCATCGTTATTGTTCTAGAAACAGAAAGAAGGTTAAATTAGACTATTATAATATTTCAAGTCAGTATGCAACCCAGGGGCGGATCTACCTAAGGGCTTTTTGGGCTGCAGCCCAGGGCCCCGAGGATACAAAAGGCCCCCAGTCCCCACTGAAACTGATATGTATGCATACATAGAAATAAAATTGTAGTGTCTGTTTGTAATATTGAAATAACCGTTTTTTACTACATGCATATGAATATACGGTATAATACGGTACATACACCAAAACAACATTTTTTATAATTTTTGTCTGTCTGTCTGTCTGTTTGTTCCGGCTAATCTCTGAAATGGCTGGACCGATTTTGACGGGACTTTTTTGAGAGGTAGCTGAGTGATAACGAGTAACTTAGGCTACTTTTATTTTAGACAAAATTCTTTTATTTTGGACAACTAAAGTTAAATTCCACGCGGACGAAGTCGCGGGAACAGCTATTTTAGACACAATATCTAGAATGTTAATTATAAGTTTTTCTATAAAAACATTATTATCGTTAACGAATTCTTCAATTTTATAGTAAGCTTTTTTTGGAAACTGTTTTATTTGACATTTAAATCTTGGCAGATTTTAACAGACCACGCAATGAGCGTCTATCGAAAGGAACGGGGGATGTAGATTTACCCCAGGGCCCCACAAATTCACGATTCGCCTCTGATGCAACCCAATTTCGAGAGATGGCGGTAGCTTCGCGTTTGCTATATTCTTTTCAAATGTATAATATCGAAATTACTCGAAATTCAAATTCAAAATATCTTTATTCATGTAGGTCTTTTACAGACTCTTATGATATGTCAAATATACCGTCAGTTCGAAATGATTTCGAGATGAGAAGAACTCAGTTAATAATAACTATCCCATCTTGTATATTAGTCGTGAAGACATATTATTTATTTATATTTTTTTATATGTACAACTTTTATGACGATTGTACATGGCGTATGAATCTTACTAATTACTAAACACAGAAGTTTGTGAATGGGTGAATGGTTATTCTTTCACGTAAAAACTAATGAGATAAAATTTTAATGAAACTTATAATAATACAGCGGTCTAACTGAGGGCACAGCTTGTTAATTTGTTACCTGTTGGTGTATTAAAAGCTCAACAAATCGTGATGAATGGCATACGCGCAGTATTTGGGTTGGAGAAAATCATAGGCATCTCAATCATAGGTTCATCTTAGTCAATGAAAGTAGTAGTGAGTTAATATATACATAAGAAAGCACATATACATCGATATATATTTATAGGAACAAGTTTATCATCCAGTTGTAGAAATTCCAGCATAATTAATTTAAATTGTAAGTTTGAAGATTATTAAGTTTCTATTGTCAAAAACTAAAAGTATATATGCGTGTATATGTCAAATGTTATGGTATGTGTATTGGTTTACTTATTGATTTAATGTATTTTATATGCATAATTCAGAAAAAATATTAGCTTTCTGGACTCCTTCTTTATATAAACTATAAGTGTGCGAGAATTGATAACTTTTCCGCCCGCGTAATTTTCATAAAAAGGGGTACAAAACTTTTGTTTTACATGTTAATATTAAGATGGTAAATCACCTCAACTCATTGAAAAAGGGGTACAAAGTTTTTCTTCGCATATTAATATTATGATGGTATCTCACCTCAATCCATTGAAAAAGGGGTACAAAACTTTTGTTTTACATGTTAATATTAAGATGGTAAATCACCTCAACTCATTGAAAAAGGGGTACAAAGTTTTTCTTCGCATATTAATATTATGATGGTATCTCACCTCAATCCATTGAAAAAGAGGTACAAAACTTTTGTTTTACATGTTAATATTAAGATGGTAAATCACCTCAACTCATTGAAAAAGAGGTCCAAAGTTTTTCTTCGCATATTAATATTATGATGGTAACTCACCTCAATCCATTGAAAAGTTTAAGCCTGTCAAGTCTGGGATCGGTTCCTCTCTCGCTAGGCGCTATCAATTTACTCCAATTCTTGCGCACAGAAAACGATAACAAATATGGATTTCCTAAAAAAATAATTTAAAAATATTTCATATCTTAATAATATTATAAACGCGAAAGTTTGTGAGTATGGTATATTTTACTATTAAATATACAAAAAGGCATACCTTTGTCTTCCTTCTTCCAGAACGTAGAATCATAACAACTGCCTATAACATTTAATGCTATGATAACCAAACATACAATCGCCATCATAGCATCACTAATATCCACAGTTTGTTTCTCACCAGCTCGTTTACAATATTGTATCTTATTGAGTTTAACTTGAAGTTGATAATCGTTCCAAACACTTTCGTTGAGGCATGCCGCAAGGGTCGATTCTAGGTCCTCCGTTTTATTAACTGTCTGTTTGTTCATAAAGTGTTTGCATGTCTTCGTAACACAAACTCCACGGTGTATTTGCGTGTGATTGAAATGTTTGAGTGTATAATCCGAATATTTCTGCAATTAATTAGATTTTTTTATTGTAAAATAGAATAAAGTTTGCAGTAATCGTAGAAAAAATAATTTTGCAGTTATTGCATTTTATTTATATGTACAGATTTAACCAGTTAATTGTATTGTTAATATTTTGACTCTCATGAATTAGTTAACTATTTTGACTAGCATTACCAACTAGTAGTTTGTATTCACACATTTAAACTTAAAAATGTAACGTTACAATAGTTATTTAATAGAGCAACACGCAAGTTTCTTGTTTTTATTGTGATGTGATTTTTTATATTAGAGATAGGTTCATTGAATTAAGTATGACTATCGAAATATGCTTATATTTAAGATGAATTGAATAATAATAATCTCAGGACAATTTACACAGCGCCATCTAGACCCAAGTTAAGCTAGCTGAAGCTTGTGTTACGGGTACTAGACAACTGATACAAATATAGAGATTTTTTTTTTGCATAAATATATACATAGAAAACACCCAGACCAATACAAATAATCATACTCATTAATACAAATGTTTGTGCCATGCGAGGAATCGAACCCGCAACCATCGGATGTAAAGCGGTGTGCTAGACCGCTAGATCATCGAGGTCGTCAATGCGAATAAAGAATTTATATTCTATTTTGTTCTGAAGTCAGAATATGATTATTAATGTGTTCATGACGGTTGGACTGTGTGACCTGTTTTAAATGTTTAGTTACTACATCACGTACAAAGTAAGTACCTACGAACAACAGGACAGGTTTAGTTTTGGCATACACATGGACCATATCTCTATTGTAGTGGTATACGGAGAGGTCATTGACTCACGTATCTCCCTATGCACGGTAAGTGAACCGAAGATAGATTCTTGTATAATATAACTTTCGATATTTTTTCTAAACACAAATAAAAATAAAAAATATTACATGAAAACTTTCTCAAAGATGCAAAGTGCAAAAAAGAAAAAAAAACTAAAAACTTTTTATATTTGCAAGCATCTAGTAAAAGATTTTCTTAATGTATTTAGTTGTAGTATGTTAATCTAGTTTGTTATAAGGGGGATAGAGGTTGTTAGTACTGTGAACTGATGATCTTATTGCTAGCAATGTACCATGTCAGGTTGACCTCCACGCAGTTCCCCCTGGAAACCATCGTGATAAATTCCTGGTGAATTTGTCACGATGGGCTAACTGACCTGACCTCATGCTCATCATATCCTCAACTGGTGCCCCTCAAGCGTAAACCGTTAGCGCAGGCGAGAACACCATGCCATTATCATAGAAAAAGAATGTATTTAGATAAAGAAACTTAGCAGAAATACAAGATATAATCATAAAAAAAAAATGTAGATACCTAAAGAAACTTTACAGTAATATAGCTTATACATCAGAATAACACTAGACTATACCTAATTTTATCAAACAAATTGAGGACAAAATGGGAGTTGTGTCGTATCAAGAATTAAAAAGCATGATGGAAGATCGCGGAAAGTGGCAAGAGCCTCACCGATAAGAGCGTAGCTCTTAAATTATGAATGAATGAATGAATACCTAATTTGAAAAAATCATATGTAAATTGGGCGAATTATAACGATACGTTAAGTAAAGGGTTCTGCATTCCGAATGAGTGGTAGAATCAAAACTGTTCAAAAGTGCTCGTATTGAGTTCATTTGAATAAAGATTATTTATACTTCTATTTATATTTTGATGGTTGGCTCATCCGTCATACTCGTGAACGAGTGCTGCTTGTGGAGACTGGTCTGGTTGTGACGAACACTAATTAGACTTTTTGCTTTTGCAATAGCATATGCCGGTGCTAACTCTATACTCCCAAATTGAATTTAAATGAATCTGTATTATTGTAAACATGTACAACATTTATTTGAAAATAATACAAGCTGAGTTTCTTATCAGTTCTTCTCATCTGGAATTCATTTCGAACTGACGGTAGATTTGACATATCGAGAGTCTGTAATAGACCTATATGAATAAAGATATTTAGAATGGTGAATGGTTTTTTTAAATTTTATTTCTATAAAACAAAATATCCTGCCTGCTTGATTAGTACCACAGCCTATAAACAATCAGTAGCCTAGAATATCCAAGGTATTACGTTCTGTGGCGACCCTGAAGATGTCTTCGTTCCCACCAAATAAATAGTTCCATTTGAAAATGAGGAAGTTGACTTTTTGCAAAGCTCTTTGCTTAAGGAAAAACATAACATGTCGCCACGTATGGTCAGATATTGTGTGAGACATTAACCAACGAAGAACATGTAAATATTTTGCTATTTGACGATTTTTTTTACCTTCATTTATTTATTTAAGTTTAATGCACACAATACAATAATAGTACAGTACATTTGGCGGACTTAACACCATGCGGCATTTTCTACCAGGCAACCATAGGTGGTACAGAGAATAATTGTTGGCGGTACAAAATGATAAACGTAAACAAAATGCAACAAAATATAAACAGAACAAGAAAAAACAATACCATATATATATACACCTGAGAGATATTATAATTTATTACATAAATATAATATATATACATAAACTTAAATATATACCAAATATATACATATATATATAGAGAGTTAAATGGAAAAAATATACTCAGAGAAAAGAAAAATTATAAATTCAGTACTTTACTATTTTTAAAGAAATCATAATATATATATATATCATACAACACTTTTACCATAAAAGTGTCTTGCTTGATATATATATATATATATCAAGCAAGACAGTCTGTTTATGGTAAAAGTTTTGAATGTATTTAATTTTGAAACCATGATGTGACAAGTTTTTTAAATATCAATCCTTTCCCCTCAACTGAAATCAAAATTCAGAAAGAAATTTTGAATTAAATTGAGGCGAAAGGGATGAAACAATTAAAGAAAGGGTTGAAAAACGCTTTTTTTCAAAATCTCGATAACGTTAAGAAATATGTATAAATGTTTGAAATAAAATCTTCACAAAATAATACGACCTATTCGTATTTTTTTTTTTATTATCTTGGCTGGCTACTATAGTGCCCTGGCTCTACTTGTACAACGGCCCAGATGAGAGGCAAATCGCGGAGATTGGAGTCCAACATCATTACATTACATTACATTATCATCCTATGATAGATAGCATATGCTGGTGGTCACTCTATTCTCCCAAATTTGAATTTTATGACTATGTATTATTATAAACATGTTCCACTGTTATTTGAAAAAAATACGAGCTGAGTCAGTTCTTCTCATCTCGATATCATTCCGAACTGACGGTAGATTTGACATATCATAAGAGTCTGTAATAGACCTACATGAATAAAGATATTTTGAATTTGAATTTGAATTTGATCCCCTAAAAAATATGTGACCTGTGTGTGTATGTGTAAGCGACACACCGGTAACAAACCTAATCCAATTTGACTGTTGACATACGGCCTTCCGCTACATAACTCCTCTGTAATTAACTCTAGTAATTACTACTATTAAATAAACAATGCATGGCCATTTGTGGAATATATACTAACCTTTTGACATTGTAATTAAATCTAAGTGTAACAACATTATAATTTACTCTAAGCTGTAATTGATAACGATTATAGATATAACGCGACTTCGTCCGCGTGGAATTTAAGTTTATTTTTCTAAAATAAATGTAGCCTAAGTTACTTGTTACATCAGCTACTTTCCAAAAAAAGTCCCGTCAACATAGGTCCAGCCATTTCAGAGAATAGCCGGAATAAACAGACAGACAGACAAAAATTGTAAAAAAAATATTTTGGTGTATGTACCGCATTTATATTCATAGTATGTAGTAAAAAACGGTTATTTCAATATTACAAACAGACACTCCAATTTTATTTATATGTATAGATAATGGAATGGTGCACCATTGGGGAATGATAAGATGAACATAAGATCAAGTTAGATAGCCTATCATGATAAAATCACCTGAAATTTATAACGATGGTTTCCAGGGACAACCTTACATGGTACATCTCGGTCGACGACCTCGGTGGTCCAGAGGTCTAGCACACCGCTTTACGACCGATGGTTGCGGGTTCGATTCCTCGCACGGCACAAACATTTGTTTTCATGAGTATGATTGTTTGTATCTGTCTGTCTGGGTGTTTTCTATGTATAATATGTATGTATTTACAAAAAAATAAAATTTATGTATCTGTATCAGTTATCTAGTACCCATAACACAAGCTTCAGCTAGCTTAACTTGGGTCTAGATGGCGCTGTGTCAATTGTCCTGAGATTATTATATATATATATATATATATATTATATTTCCCTTTTTACGGGGGTAATATATTCAAACACGCGGGCCTTAGCCAAGCATGGATGACTTATGTGACGAAGAAAGAAATTTTCTTACTATTCGGCATGTGTTTAGTATGACGGCTTTTCGTAATAGGTCTATTGTAGAGGAGGGGATCTACAACGTGACTAGGTGATCAGTTAGAATCACCAATTTGCAAATCATTTGTTCATCATTGCATCGTGGCAAATTCACCAATTTGCCACGATGCTAACTGATATGATCTAATACTCATCTTATCATCATCCACTGGCACCCCGTCAGCGTAGCGCAGTTACCTTTAGTGCACCATTTCATTATACACTCATAAAAAAAAATATATACCAGAAATACATGTATTTGCTACTCTACTTGTTATTTCGCAATTAGCGATTATAGTGAACCACCCTGTATAGTAAATTGCCTATTATTAACATGTGCCTATTATTAATTACTTGAAGTGCGTATCAACTTTGTAGTGAATAAATTCCTAAATAACTACCGCGTGGTTGGAATTACCACAGGTAATACCCATGGATACAGATCTGAGTAGTAGCACAGATAACATTAGTAGTATATTTTATCCACAAATGGTTAGGTAAAGGTACGAGACCATACGGCCTAATCGCGCTGTAGTTATACGCTGCGGCACTAGCTGAGTGGAGGCCCTTTCGGAGGAAGTTTTATTTTTTACTCTGTACGATGATGCTGAATAAATTTTTATTATAAAAAAAATATAAAAAAAAAATCTCAGGACAATTCACACAGCGCCATCTAGTCCCAAGTTAAGCTAGCTAAAGCTTGTGTTATGGGTACTAGATAACTGATACAAGTACATAGATAATTTTGTTTTCGTAAATACATACATATTATACATAGAAAACACCCAGACCGATACAAACAATCATACTCATTGTTACAAATGTTTGTGCCGTGCGAGGAATCGAACCCGCGACTATCGGACGTAAAGCGGTGTGCTAGATCGCTGGACCATCGAGGTCGTCGTTATTAATTTTCAGTAGTGTTTCCAAGTGATTCTAAATTCTTTAAGGCGACATCGATAAATCTTTTTGTTGGTTATAAGATTATGCTCCACTGTTCTTCATTTGTTTATTTTTATGGATGGAATGGAATGGTGCACCCGCATTCGCTTACGGTATACCCTGGCGGGGCACCGGTGGAGGATGATAAGATGAACATGAAGTCAGGTCAGTTAGCCCACCGTGACAAATTCAACAAGAATTTATAACGTTTTTTCCAGGGGGGACCGCGTGGAGGTGAACCTGATATGTATACAGTAGGTATATATTTTATTTTTCGTTCTGTTTATATTTTGTTGCATTTTAGTTATAATTAAATATATTGCCTGGTAGAAAGTGCCGTATGGTGTTAAGTTTGCCAAATTTACTTTACTATATTTTGTATTATCTGCATTAAAGTTAATTAAATAAATAAATATAATGATTATGAATTACCTGCAGAAGACTCATCAGTTCGGACTTTTCATCAGAATAGAGATCGTAGTCTCCCACGCAGTACACAGCATCCGGGTCCAGCATACATGCCTCGTAGTCGTCCAGACCGTACAGTGGCGGGAATCTGTCATACTCGCTCTCTAAAACAGATAAAAAACCCATAAGAATATTGCGATTTCTTCTTCTTTGTCGATTCCTCAAGGCTGAGGTTTGTGACCACCAGGAATGCTTCTTCCAACCAGATCTCTACAAGTATCTTTGCTGCGTATGTCGCTTGACGGCATCGAACGGATTCAGTTCATCATGCAGGTGCCCTACTTTAAAATATCTTTATTCATTCATGTAGGTCTATTACAGACTCTTATGACCTGTCTGGGTCGCCACACAATACCTAATACCTTGGATATTCTAGGCTACTGATTGTTTATAGGCTGTGGTACTAATCAAGCTTGACATTTTGTTTTATAGAATTTAAAAAAAAATCAAAATTCAAAATATTTATTTATGTAGATCTATTACAGACTCTTATGATATGTCAAATCTATTTTAATATCTCCTCTTTTCGTACACGTATGTATGACTATTCTATTTAATACACGATCCTATAACATTTTGTAGGTTTGCTGGAAGAAATCTCTTTTTAGATATAAGCTCGCCCTTGTACATTATATTTATTCTGTATAATTTTTTTTTATTATGTGTGTGTGTGTACAATAAAGAATAAAGAATATGTCAAATCTACCGTCAGTTCGGAATGATTTCGAAATGAGAAGAGAAGAACTGACAAGAAACTCAGCTGGTATTCTTTTCAAATAAACGTTGTACATGTTTACAATAATACAGATTCATTTTTAAATTAAAATTCGGGAGAATAGAGTGATCACCAGCAAAAGCAAATAGTCTAATCAGTGTTCGTAACCCGAACTGACCAGTCCCCACAAGCAGCCCGATCACGAGTATGACGGACCTGTGCCCCTTCTTCCGTCCACGTGGCCTACCATTATTAATTTTTCCAAATTATCTGGTTACCGACGGGCCACATGGCTGAACGAAGTTAGCAGACGCTGGAAGTACGCAATAAAGAGACGTGTTCCAATACCCAGTTACATTAATATATGAATGAATAGCTGACGAAGTTGCTCATTTCGTCTGTGTTTCATTTGCAATATTTTTCACTGATGCTCCGCTTCTATAGGTCGTAGCGTAATGTTATATAGCTTAAAGCCTTCCTCAACAAATAGACTATCCAACACAATAATAATTTTTCAATTCGAACCAGTATTTCCTGAGATTAGGGCGTTCAAACAAACAAACTCTTCAGCTGTATAATATTAGTTTAGATTATAGTCACAATAATTTACTTTTTTTTGGCGATCAATACGGCCCGCCTGATGGTAAATGGCGAAGAATCGAACCCGTCACTATCAGAAGGAAAACAGTATGCTAAACTTCTAGGCAACCGAGACCTTCAAGTATTCTTAGATAAATACATGTATATAAATATAAATTTCCGCCAGCAACGTAACTTATGCCCGAAAAAGGTACAACCTCGTTGCATAACATGTTTGATCCTCGCAAATATGCTGTTTGATGAAATAAAACGACATCACAATGTTACCGAGGTCTCGTTGACGCAGCAGGAATGTGTAACAAGTTTCCGCGAGCCGTGTCTGGTCCATTTGTAAACTTGAACTACGGTTCATGACCATGTCTTGGATTGCAATACGCACTATTCTTCGTGTGATTGTGTTTTATTGAAACTAGTTACTTTATTTATTTATTTTATTTAAATAACTTTAATGCACGTCATACATAGGTAAAAAGTACATATGGCGGACTTAACACCTAATGGCATTTTCTACCAGTCAACCATGAGTTGTGCAGAGATAAGTTGTTGGCGGTGCGATGTATATATATTTTTATAAATAAGATAAGATAAATATATATATATATATATATATATATATATATATTTATAACTCAGGGGACAAAGGAGCATGCGGCTAACCTGATGGTAAGTGATTACCGCCGCCCATGAGCACCCGCAACACCAGGGGAATTGCAAGTACGTTGTCGGCCTTTTAAAAAGGAATAAGCTCTTTTCTTGAAGGTTTCAATATCGTATCGGTTCGGAAATACCATTGCTGGAAGGTGATTCCATAATGTATATACACATGTAAATACATAAATATTCTTACAAATATACACAAAAATACATATATACATACAAAAATATACCATACACACATAAATATATGACCAATAATCTTTTTTTTTTTTTTGGTAGGTAGGTATCTGCAATCAGTACTGGTACTATAAGCAGGTGAGTTGTTGGTAGTGGGCGTGGGAGGATCTCTATCCTTTGACAAGGTCCCCATGTTTCAGCTAGCTAGAAATCTTTCATCCAGCTCAAGGATATTTGATCTTTTCAATCTTTTTGCTGGGTTGTTAGCTAGAAGTTTCTGAGCTAATTCGTTTGGGTGTATAGCAAGGCGGGCCTTATATTTGATACTTGATTTCCCAATTTCTTCCCTGACTGTGGCGATGCTGGCAAAGTGGTGAACCTCAGAGTTGGTGATGAACCATGGAGCTTTTAAGATGCACTTTAGGATGCAGTTTTGACATCTTTGGAGAATTTCGATATTCGAGTGACAGGCGCTTCCCCATAACTGAATGCCGTATGTCCAGATTGGTTTGAGTGCAACCTTGTATATAAGAAGTTTGTTCTCCATGGCCAGAGATGATCTCCTGCCAAGTAGGAACTCCAGATTTCTGAATTTTATATTTGTTTCATCCCGTTTTGCCTTTATGTGTTTCTTCCAGGTGAGTCGACGATCTAGGTGAAGTCCAAGATACTTGACAGAGTCAACGTGTTGGAGGGGACCAATAATCTGACAATGAAATAGTGATTACAGCCGACAGTGTAAGCATATTACAATAGATACAAAAACATATATATGATTCGTCTTGTAGTAAAAATGAAGAAACTTAATGCTAAAGAGAAAAATATATAAGAAATAATATATGATAGTATACAAAATTAGATGTTAAGACAATGGTTTCGCAATCTTAGCTTGAAAGAAATTTTACTCGCAGCAGTCCTGATGTCAAGGGGTAAGTCGTTCCAAAGTTTGATAGCCTGAACGGCGAAAGAATGATGGACAAAACCGGACAAATGTGCCGGGACATGAAGTAAAAATCTTCTAGTTGTGCGAAGGGAGCGATTGGTGTTGTCCCCATGAAGTGAAATTTACTACTAATATATTCAGGAAAATTTTACTATATCCAAGTAAAATCCACACAATATTTGTGTACAGCCTCAGAGATGTAGTGGTTTTTTTTTTTTTTTTATGGATGATAATGGAATGGTGCACCCGCCTGCGCTAACGGTTTAAGCTGGCGGGGCACCAGTGGAGGATGATAAGATGAGTATGAGGTCAGGTCAGTTAGCTCATCGTGACAAATTCACTAGGAATTTATCACGATGATTTCCAGGGGGAACCGCGTGCAGGTCGACCTGATATGGTGCATTGCTAGTAATGGGGTCATGAGTCCCTATTACTAACAATCCCCATCCCCCTGAGATGTAGTGGTTTAGCATACCGCTTTACTATCCAACGAGGTTGAAGTCGCGAACGTAACAATTTACCATAAAATTATTATTGTTGATTGTTGATTAACGTTACAAATAATGATATTTTGATTTGATTTGAGATACATTGAAGTAGTTCGTCAGAAAAGCTGGTCTGTAATCTCTAATCCAAGAATGGTATAGAATAGAAAATCCTTTATTCAAATCAACTTGAAATCAATTAGCATATAACGTTATAATTTAAATTTCTCATTGCTTTCTTGATTTAATTGATTTTGAGCGGTTTTTGTATTGATTGCCGCATGCATTCTTATGTAAAATGTGAATACTATAACTATCAGATAGCAATTGTAAGTAGCTTTGACGTAGTCTAGTGTTTTGAGTAGTCATGCTCACTAAAATGTCCAGATTTGTGGCGGCGTGGCGGTGGGCCGGGTCATTGGGCTCCCTAAAATATGGTCGAGCGCAGTGATGGCTGGCTCATCCGTCATACTCGTGAACGGGTACTGCTTGTAGGGACTGGTCTGCTCTAATCACTATGACTGATTTCCTCTTATTAATTGTTTAACCAGTTGGTTATATATTCAATATTTTTTCTATTTGAGTATTTAATTGAATTAGTGCTAATTGGTGGTTTGTATTCATACACTTAAACTTAAAAATGTAAAGTAATAATAAAATTATTTAAAAGAGCAATACGCAAGTTTCTTGCTCGTTCTTCTTGTGACGAGACAGCTTTCCGAACGAGCGGCAGATTAAAAAATGTAATGACTATTCAAAAGTGCTTCAATGTAAGTTTATTTGAATAAATGATTTCTATTCTATTCTTAATTTAAGCACGTTTGAATAGTCAACCTTCTTTTAATCTACCGCTCATTTGGAAGCTGTTTTATTACAAGAAGAATGAGCAAGAAACTTGCGTGTTGCTCTTTTAAATAATCGTTGTAACTTTACATTTTTAAGTCGAAATGTGTGAATACTAACTACCAACTAGAAATAATTTATTAGGGTGAAATATTAAATACACAATAAGATTAAATCAGTCGTACTGATTAGAGCAGACCAGTCCCTACAAGCAACACTTGTTCATGTTTGACGACCTCGGTGGCCTAGCGGTGTAGAACACCGCTTTACGTCTGATGGTCGCGGGTTCGATTCCTCGCACGGCACAAACATTTGTATTCATGAGTATGATTGTTTGTATCGGTCTGGGTGTTTTCTATGTATAATATGTATGTATTTACGAAACAAAAAAATATCTTTGTACTTGTATCAGTTATCTACCCATAACACAAGCTTTAGTTAGCTTAACTTGGGTCTAGATGGCGCTGTGTGAATTGTCCTGAGATTATTATTATTATTATTTTCCAAATATTCTCATCTCCCCTCTTAAGGAGAGGAGATGGCAACATACCTCCGGTAGAAGCACAGTCGGCCGGGGTTCAGGGCCCCAGGGAGAGAAACCGGCGTACAATGCGGGCAGAATCTAACAGCACCGCTTTCTGCATCTTTCCCGGGAGTGAGCCGCCCCGGAATCCCAACCCCATGATTATTATTATTATTATTATGACGGATGAGCCACTCATCACAGCCCTCGACCATATTTTAGGGAACCCAATGACCCGGCCCACCTCACCGCCACATGTCTGGACTTTTTTTATAATAATAATAACACTCAGGACAATACACACAGCGCCATCTAGCCCCAAGATAAGCAGAGTTGTGTTATGTGTACTAGACAACTGATATAAATATGTGGATACTTTTTTTTGCAAATAAATACATATTATATGTACAAATGAAGATTGAAGAGTAATCGTCTATCGTGGTATGGACATGTAATGCGTAGGAATGAAGATAATATTTTAAGGAAGGTGTTACATATGAATGTGGATGGTTATAAGGGCAGAGAAAGGCCGAAAAAGAGATGGATGGACTGTGTGAAAGTGTAAGAAAGGAAGTAAAGAACGAGATGACTGCGAACAGGGATGAATGGAAGAGAAAAACATATTACGCCGACCACAAATAAATGGCTTATCCCATTTATTTGTGGTCGGCGTAATATGTTTTTAAGAAGTAGATGATGATATGTACAAATGTTAGCCTGCGAGAAATTGAACCCGCGAACTTAGTAAAGCGGTGTGCTAAACAGGTAGACCACTACCAGGGCCGTCATCGGCCAAAGCTGCAAGATAAGGAAAGAAAAATGGCTCCCGATTTTCCCGCCAATCTCGGAAGGGTTGCCAGTTGGCTTAAATATAGTTAGTATTTGAATACAAATAACATACCATTTATTCTATAAATCACAGCCGAAGAACATTTCACAAGAAATAAAAATATAAAAACACCCGACACCATTTTTACCGCCAATTATTTAAAAAAACGTTTAGGAACCGTATGAATGGTAAAAAATATATTTATCTAATTGAGCATGTTATAATTATTTAACTTAATTTTACTTATTATTTAGTTATTAAAATTTTATTTAAGTTCAAAATACTCTTTAATTTAATAAGTTTGAAATATCACAAAAATATTATTTATTTAACACTGGCCACTTGCATGTTCTAAGTCTTAAAAATATTTGTTTTTTTTTTGGCAATGAGGCAACGGACGTCTGTTTTTACTGTGTGACAGACCACAGTGATGTATCTACTTAAGATGTGAGTATTAAACGTTATCCTTATTTGATCTACTTACGACTTGCACTGACCTTAGTGGCATTGTGACGCCGTTAGTACCCAACTAACAATGCTATATAATATAATAAACGCAATTATGAATGTTGCAGGCAGTTTTTAATGGGAGAATTAAAAAAATGTTTTGAAATTAGAATACGTCAATAACAAATGTCATATACTTGTAATTTTTTTTTTTAAATGTACTCGTTTTTTAAATTTAGAATTGTTTAAATTTAGAACATACAGATAATAAAATCTTATGAGCCGTGTCTGTGTACATTGAATATTAAATTGGTTGCTTGTGTTATGGAGGTCAAAAATTTTTTTTTATTTTTAATTTTGTTCTTGCAATCTCGAAAACTGTTTAACCGATTAGAATTTCTCTATTACAGACATATTGTAGCAAGTCTTTAATTTCAAACGTATAAACAAAAAAGTTAGATCAACCTATTTTTAATCTGAACAATTCTAGTACGGACTTACTTAGGTTGGCTTCCACGTGGTTCCTATTAAATTATATATATAATATAGGAAATATTTTTAATGTGTTCAAAATTCAAAATTCCCTCACTTTCAAAATTCAGACTATAGGAGTCATGAATATCTCAAATCTACCGTCAGTTCGGAATGATTTCGAGATGACAAGAACTGACAAGAAACTTAGCTCTTATTTTTTGTAATTTTGTTCAAAAATTTGTTGTAACGGAACGGAAAATGAAGACGAGAATGAACGAATGTGCAAGAGTGAGTAAGATTGACAGATTGAAAAGATTACATTCATTCTTGCTACGGTATTCTACATAGAAGGTTAACGGTGTTATATTTTTGAATAATTTTAAGAAAAGTTTTAAATAGATAGTAATGCGAAGCAACTAATTTTAATTTTGAAAACCCTTGGTCTATCTATCTATGCTATCCATCTTAAGAATATGAAGCTTATAAGCTGGATAGCAAATACTATATTGCCATATAAGTAATTACTTTATAGGACCCCCCTTATCAGATGCAGATGGCACTTCAAACAAGAGAATGGACTTATATATGGAGCGGCTGATGGATACGCTTTTAGTCTGAGGGCATAGGGCTAGGGATTCGAACCTCGGCACAGGCCGTGGTAGTTTCTATCCCCGTTTGAATTTGACTGAAGGTTGACATAGATTAAAACAATATGGTCATTGTTTGTTTGTCACCTATATTAAAATATTGCTTATGTATGTTTTACTTGTCGAATTTCGACGCTTAACTGCAGTTGTTACTATTTACTAATTCTCATGAAAAGTATACGTAAATAATAAGTATATATGTACTTATATATCTAAATCGGCTTACCAGGTTTTAGCACGAGTGTACATACCAGATATACCTATCTAGATATAGTCCTCTTGAGAATAAATGATTGATCATTATCTCGGTGAGTTCTCTGTGATATACAAACTTGTGGAGCATGGTAGGTCTAGTATTGGTGCTACCCACAGCTATCGGTTCCTTCCACTTAAGTAAAGTGACTTGACCAGCTTATAGTCTAAGTGTAAAAATGTGTAGAGGGCTTTAATAAACAATTTGTGTAGACATGGCACAAAGCGCCTAATGAAATTACAATAGCAAATAATCATACGTGAGATACTTATAGGAGTTTATTTTAGTAGGGATAAATACAAAATGAAAATATATTTATTTATGCATTGCACTCCATAATTCGAGTTCAAAATATCTTTATTGATGTAGGTCTTACAAACTGTTATGATATGTCAAATCTACCGTCAGTGCGGAATGATTTCGAGATGAGAAGAACTGACAAGAAACTCAGCTCGTATTCTTTACTTTGTTTTATACTATGTAATGATTAACACAAGTATTTTATGTCGTGTGACTCTTACGAGATGTTACAGGACTGTATCAGAGTAGTAAACCAAATAATTTAAAACCCCATAATAAAAGCTGTAATGTTTTCTAGAAAATATTGAAATATTTATTTATTTATTCTTTTGCACACTAAATTACATGGCGAACTTAATGCCTGATGGCATTATCTACCAGTCAACAGTCGCGTTCATCAGAGATAGTAAGACAGTGCAATTATATTATCTCCCATTCGATATAGTTGTTGATAACACCATTCCATTTCTCCAAAAATTGTGAGCTGTACTTGGGTGTCACAAATTCGAGAATCTCATTGGGATCATCTCCCACTTTGGGAGCGTTTTCTGTCTCCACAGTGATCAATGGGAGAAAACACATGCAGGTAATGAGGCCGAAATCTGAAAACTGAAGTTTAGTTTAGTAATAGTAGATTGTGACGAGATCAATCAAGAATCCGATATTTTTTTTATGGATGATAATGGAACGGTGCTCGCGCTAACGATTCTTTCTGGCGGGGTACCGGTGGAGGATGATAAGATGAGCATGAGATCAAGTCAGTTAGCCCATCGTGGTAAATTCACAGGACGCGACGACCACTTTATAATGACGATTACGATATTTTCCAGGGGGAACCGCATGAAGTCAACCTGACATGTTAGGGGGGAAATGGGATTGTTAGTAATGTGGACTAAAACCCCAATGCTAGCAATGCACCATATCAGGTTGACCCCCTCACGGCCCCCCCTGGAAACCATCGTGATAAATTACTGGTGAATTTTTCATGATGGGCCAACTGACCTGGCCTCATGTTCATCCTATCATCCCCCACTGGTACCCCGCCAGCGTAAACCGTTAGCGCAGGCGAGTGCACCATTCCATTATCATCCACAAAAAAAACCTGGTTACATTACTAGATTTACTGGCTATATGGATATTAGTCCATATTAATAATTTCTCCTAGTTTTGTCTAGTTCAGGTAAAGCCATGGTAAAAAGCCTATTACCAAAGATAACAATGAAAGAATGACGAGCGTGCATGGCAATAGTTGTTCATGTACGGGATTTTCATTTAATGTTAGACATAGACACCTATATATATATACATTGTAAATAAACTGGCTTTTAAAAAAATAAAATAAAATATTCAATTGAGTTTCTTGCCAGTTCTTCTCAATTGGATCTATATACAGAACTGGACGGTGGAGAATACAGTATTGGACAGCTTCTAATGAAATTTTGTCCAATCTACGATTACTGCATAAATTTATAAGGTAAAGTAAGGTAAGCACCGCCGCGATACAGCTACTAGAGAAGAGAATACACATATAATTGGAGGTAATAAAAATTCTTCATACCTCTTTCAGATCGTACTCATAATCTTCCCTAGGATAGACGTCATCCGAATTTATATCCAGGTTACTCAACGCCCGGCACAGTTCAGTATAATATCGATCGATGAGTCGTTCATAGTGCTCTCTCCTGAATGCCTCATCAGAACCCGTGTAGATAAAGTACAGCAAATCCAGTACGGGACTACCCATCTGTATGGTTTGGTAGTCCAACGGGACAATAAGAATAGACCCATCCTGTAAAAAAATGTTGTAGATTCATATGAATAAATGAAGCAAAAACCTTATAAGACAAAAAAAAATCAAGTATTTGATGCACATAAAATATACAGCGTAAAGAATTTTTGAATAAGAATTTTGATCATTATGTATTACTAGATGTACACGCGACTTCGTCCGCGTGGAATTTAACTTTATTTTTCTCAAATAAAAGTAGCCTAAGTTACTCTTTATTACATCATACAACTATATTTACCATTCCACCTTCAACTCCTAATCTTATATATAAAATTCTCGTGTCACAGTTTTCGTTCCCATACTCCTCCGAAACGGCTTGATCGATTCTCATGAAATTTTGTGAGCGTATTGAGTAGGTCAGAGAATCGGCCACCATCTATTTTTCATTCCCCTAAATGTTAGGGATAGTCCACCCCTATTTTTTTTTATATTTTAAGACAAAACAACGTTTGCCGGAACGGCTACTTTTAATATAGATATTTATAATAACTGATTATTTTTGCCGCTACTACAATGTCGATAGTTTCTATGAAAGTGAGGTAGTCTGTAAACAAGACCTATGAAAGCTAAATGTAATTAAAATAAAAAATAAACTTTATATAGTATTATTAAGGCTCAAATTACCTCGTTTAATTTGTGCATTAAGTTGCTGACACGGTAGTCCCCATGTATTATAAATCGTCTACGCAAAGGATTATAGTATCCCACATGTTTCTCGTAAATATCTGTTCCCTCTACAAATTTTCTTAATCTTTCTTTATTTTTATCATCTGTTGCATCTATAGCTTTTTCTACTACATCAGGATACGAGTTTCTAATACTTTCAAGGAAGTATATTAAACCACTATTTCTACTCATTGCAGCTTTAAAACTACTAGAACGTTCGTCTCTATGGGGTATAGATAAAGCATGAAACTTAGCAAGTTCTTCCACAGCTTTGCAAGCATATTCCCAATCTATTGATGCAAATCTGTCCAGCATTGTGTAACCTTTTGCTACTAAATTCTCTAAAACCAAAATATCCTTTGTAATATTAGGATTACCATAGTATTGAGGTATAACAAACCTATCTTCAGCTGCCAATTTGTGTTCATCTTCTATTGCTTTATATATATTTGCTAATTCCGTGTAAGTAAAACGCTCCAGCTCGTAACCACGGTAGTGTAATTCTGAACAAAATTCCTCACTGAATATATTGAATTTCACGAATAACTCTAAATTTTCCTTGTCCACTTCGGATACAGTAACGAGAAATAGCACTGCAGTATAATTAGCACCGCCCGTAGTTATGGATGTAACTGTAACATTATAGTTTGTAAATTTATAATCTTTAGCAATGATATCGACTGCTTCACGCAAAATTTCCTCGCGCTCCGACATGTTTCGTCATGTTGTGTTCAGTGTTGTGATTTTAATGATATTTCATTTGTATTAATAAATAAAATCGGCTTATCTTTTTAACAAGTTTATGATAAAACATACAAGGTGCGTACGTTGGTGATAAGAATGATTTAGAGCCGTGACAAACGAGTAACAGTGTAGAATCAAGAAATAGAATAAAATAGAATAGAAAATTATTTATTCAAATAAACTTAATTTAAGCACTTTTGAATAGTCATAATAATTTGTTTTTTATCTACCACTCATTCGGAAAGCTGTCTCATCACAAGAAGAACGAGCAAGAAATTTGTGTGTTGCTCTTTTAAATAATCCTTGTAAGTTTACATTTACAAGTCGAAACGTGTGAATACAAACTACCAACCAGCACTAATTTTTTGGGTCAAATATAAATATACAATAAGATTAAATCAGTCGTAGTGAAGGAGCAGACCAGTCCATACAAGCGGCACTCGTTCATGGTTTCTATAAGATTACAGAAACCTTGATTTTCATCTCCTGATGTCTCATTATAGTGGGTACTTACATCAAATAAATCATATACGCCCAAACTAATCAAAATGAATCTGTGTTTTCGTAATCATGTACAAGTTAATTTGAAAAGAACAAGAGCTGAGTTTCTTGTCAGTTCTCCATAGCTTTATAGTACATATCACAAGAGTCTGTAATAGACCTACATAATATTTTGATTTCGTTTGATTTGACTTATATATGTAGTTGAAAGCCTTTGGTTGCTTAGGTGCTGATCTGCGTCAACGGTTATTTGAATTTATATTGATATATATTTAAATTAATATTATTATACATATATTTATTTTGATTTATTTATTTTATTATTTTTAAGATTGCTAAGTGAATATGTCGCTGCACGCACCACCGCTGTGCTGCTACTGAAAATCAGTGTTTTGCTCGTTGAGCAAATTTTTCACTGAGTAGCTGAATCCTTTCACTATTATTTACGTGTAAAATACAATTATTTTACACGTAAAATGAAGGCCACTATACTCACTCATTGATTAATAGTTCATTCTGTAGTTTCAATATTATCTTATATATAAAATTCTTTCGCCGTTCAAAATCATTACATAGTATAAAATAAAGTCGCTGTCGCTGTCTGTCCGTCTCTATGTATGCTTAAATCTTTAAAAGTACGCAACGGATTTTAAAGCGGGTAATTTTAATAGATTGATTCAAGAGGAAGGTTTATATATAATACATGTACACCCGTGAGAAACCTGGACGAGTAGCTAGTAAGAAATAAGAAATGAAAGAAATATTTAAAAAATCAGAATGAGTTTAACTAACGTATGTGAAAGACCTTATTATAATTATCTTATGATATAAAAATATTATATAAAATGTACAACCACTGTCACGTTTAAACGATAACATGATTTTGATGTCTCGGTCATCATCATGATGATTGTTGTGACGAATATCATGAGTGGTTCACGTAAAAAATATTGTAGATGCAAAATAATGAACTTAACCAGTTTTTATAATCTTCGCATTTTAATGTGTCAATTATATTTGTCTGTGGTATTATAGCTGTAAACAGATGTATTTTTTAGTTTGTAATCTGACTGAATTCGAATCTGGGGGAATTGTATTGGTTTTTGCATTTTGTCGTGGAGACTTTAGTCTCATGTAGCCAGGAAGCTAAAATATTTTTGACCAGTGTTTCAGCGCTTATCGAGGTTTCTTGTGACCCGAGAGCTGGTAAAAAACCCCTTAGGAAAGTCATCCTTATATCCTCTGGCCAAAGGCTTTCCTAAAGGGGAAAGCTGGGAGTATCTTGGGTCCACTACCTTGATAAAACCACAAGGTCCTAAGGGTACTATAAACCAAAACACTACACTCGTGTATATAAGGTTTATTGGTCGGTTTCAAATACAGGTACAAAAAAAAAATTATAAAGTAAAATACGTATGGACTTTCTACAAAACAAACGTTAGCGAGTTTCAATTTTGTTACAGCGCTCAATCAATTGATTATTTTTTGAGTGAATATACGAAATTGTTTATGATAATCTTATTAATATTATAAATATGGATGGATGTTTGTTATTCTTTCTCGCGAAAACTACTGAACAGTTTTAATGAAACTTTACAGTAATATAGATTGTACATTAGAATAGCCTATAGGCTATAAATTTCATGCGGGTGAAAACGGGGGCACAGCTAGTATCAAATAAACACAGGCAAATTTTCGTATAAAAAGTAGGTGAAATCTTGGGTAACAATCAATATTTTATAACAGTAAAAGTTACATAATATGATAATAATGAAACATTATCTTAATTGACATTTGACTTATATGAACATTATCAATATTTTGAGACATAGAACATCATAGGTTCGATCAGTTTGCGCATTGTCTGTCAACATGAAGGTTGTAGTGACAGGTGCTGCTGGATTCCTAGGATCTCAGTTGGCTGATGCTTTGCTGAAGTCCAATTCTCCATTGCTTATTACACAACTAGTTTTAGTGGATGCCATCCGCCCGGCTCAACGTTCTGATCCACGAGTTAGTGTACTTGCCCTTGATTTGAGAATACCAGGCGCTGCTGAACGCCTCATTGATGCAGATTGCAATGTATTCTTCCATCTCGCTGCCGTCGTCAGTGGACAATCTGAATCGGATTTCGATCTCGGACTATCCGTGAATTTTGACGCAACTAGAGCACTATTAGAAGCTGCCAGAAGAACCGTCCCATCACTGATATTCGTTTTTGCTAGCACTTGCGGAGTTTTTGGAGGTGAACTGCCAGATGTTATTAACGATAAAACAGCAACAATGCCCCAAACATCTTATGGGACTGCTAAGGCGATGTGTGAGCTATTAATAAATGATTATTCGAGGAGGAAGTTTTTAGATGGCCGCTTTGTACGGCTACCTACTGTTAGTATTCGTGCTGGTAGACCCAATACAGCCATGACATCTTACGCCAGTGGTATTCTTCGGGAACCGTTGAATGGAGAACAAGCTGTATGTCCTGTACGTGAAGACCAGAAGATTTGGATATCCAGCCCTGGTACAGTTGTGCATAATATTATTCATGCTGCAACCATCTCAGCTGATGTTCTGGGAGACTGGCGTGGAATCAATTTGCCGGGGTTCGCTGTATCTGTAGAAGAACAACTAAGAGCTCTGGAAGAAGTATCTGGTCCGAAGGCCGTGGCATTAGTGCGTTTTAAAAGAGACGAGAAAATCTGCCACATGGTCGAGTCATTGCCGATTAAGTTTGACAACTCCCGTGCTCTGAAACTGGGATTTCATGTGGACACCAATTTCGTTGATGTTCTCAGGGAATACATTCAGGAAGAACAGAACAAAAAATCAGGCTCTATTTAGAGATGCTCTTAAGTACTGACTCTGTTGTTTCTTTTCTAACTGTTAAATACCTACCAAACCTCTTTCGTGGAAAAATTCGTAATGTTTTTATTAAAGTATTTAATTTGGGTTGTTTCATTTTGGACTAGCCTAAAAACTCAACGAACCAAACTCTTCAGCCTTATTAATATTGTAACAAGTACATACTATACGACCTCCATGTTATACAAATATAGTTGAACTATTATTTAATCTGTAGTTATACGGAACTAAAGTAGTCATTTAGTGTCAAGGTTCATTGTGATTTTCCTGCAATTTATGAAATGAACGTACCGCATTAATTATACTGTGTATGCTACATGTAAATTATGGGATAAAATAAAATAAACATAGTATTTGATAGCTGAGTTGTTGTCGTCGGCCTCGGTGGTCACGCCGCCTGTCCTCCGACGGTTGCGGGTTCTATTCCTCGTACGTTACAAACATTTGTATTCATGCATTTGATTCTTAGTATCGACCTGTATATTTAAAAAAAATGTCCATTGTTATTATTAATGATGATACGGTAATTTATGTCATGACATCAAATTTCATTATGAAATCAAAGACTCTAAGGAACGGTATAAAGTCTATCTTATATAGTTATAAGATATACTTAGTTATATAGCATAACTGTAGAAGGATAAGCATAGTATAATATTTTATAGAGTTATCTTCAAAACGCTTTATAATAAGAATTTAAATTTATAACGCAAAATAGTTTCTGATGACAATTGCAGTTATAATTTAGTAGGCGCTCATGTAAGTTATGTATTAATTAATAAATCAAATTAAATTAAAAAATTATTTATTCATGTAGGACGTTTCTGCCGCTTAAGAACGTCAAGATTTTGTATTAATATTATTTCTCTACCGTCCAGTTCAGTATTCAGTTTGTATAAATCATAATTTAAAATTGTGCAGATAAATGAAACTCCATGATGGTATTTTCACATATCTCTAATATTTATATTCATAAAACAAATAAATGCGCAGCGCATTCTAAATTTAAAATAAACACAAAAGAGTTTTTATGTCTCGTACACAGTTTCAATTGAAAAGAAACACAACAGAATTTATTTTTTATTAAAAGTTAGATTCCTTTGTTTACATATATAGTCTATTCAAAAGAAAAAAAATATATATATAGTCTATGTCTAACACTAAATGAGAATCACGTTTTAAAAAAATTTTTCCATGCACGTTTGTTATTTAAGTGATCGTTTAATTATGACTTTATTGATCAAGTAATATGTTTCAGAAAATACATACTGAAATACTACGAGAATTAATTACATTTTTATGCTTCGATTCGATTTCCTCATTAATTGTGTTAGTTCATATCAAACAAAGAATTAATCGACAATATTTATTTGGATTACATTTACTTAATTCAGTTTCAAAACAACTGTACAAAATTAAAAGGAAGAAAGAAATAAAGAAAAGCGCATGCGCACACCCAGAGGATATCTATACACTATAGACTTGACGTATTAGTAATATTTTCTAGTTTTTTATGGATCTGGTAATCATATCGTTGTTAATAATTTTACGTGGCTAAATAAGTGTATGGTCAGGCTCTCTGATCCATTTAGTTCTTCCTGACATACTTGATACAGGATTTTATTTGTAGAAAACAATCCGGGGTGTATTTCTCCGGGAACACGAAAGCTGGACAAAGCTTCCACTCTTTGGCGATGCGTATTCAAAATGATGACGTGAACCGCTCGGTGCAGGGAAGAAGGATTGTTAGTAATGTGGATTGATAACCCCATTGCTAGCAATGCACCTTGTCAGGTCGACCTCCACGCGGTTCCCCTGGAAACCATCGTGTTAAATTCCTGGTGAATTTGTCACGATGGGCTAACTGATCTGACCTAATGCTCATCTTATCATCCTCCACTGGTGTCGGGACACCAGTGGAGGATGATAAGATGAGCAAACCGTTAACGCAGGCGGGTGCACCATTCCATTATCATCCACAAAAAAAACCGCTTGGTGCAAATATGTGAGATTTCTACGACGTAAGCATCGTAAGTAAAGGTAATAATAAAAAAGTCTAGGTTCTTATACAACAGCGCATATTATGAAGATTTCACAGTTCTTGATCTTCCATATAAATTAATGAAAATAAAGTAGAATACATATAATATATGACATATAATAGTTTATGAAAATTTATGAACATAAAATTTACATAATATCTTATTTATTTATTTATTTACGTCACACTAAGTGAGCTTTACAGAGTCCCAATAAGGGAGATACTTAGGAAGATTGTATACAAATACACACAATTATAAACACTAATTACATACATACATTATTAAATCATAGCCTATATGTTATTCTGATATATAAGCATATATCACTGTAAAGTTTTATCAAAATCCGTTCTGTAGTTTTTGCGTGAAAGAGTAACAAACATCCGTCCATACTCACTGTGAATATGAAGTGTGAATGATAAAGATGAATTTATGTAAAGTAAAAAACAAATAATAATTTGTAAAATTAACATCATGTTGATATATTTAAAAGCCATTTAAATTTTTAAACTACATCCTTATTTGTACGGCATATTCAATCTGGAGGGGTAAAGGTAATTGTAGATTTTTAATCATCAACATTTAGATTTGTTACTATAAACAGTACTAGCTACCTACCAGACAGATCAATACTAAGATAAGTTAAAAGTTAATATAGAAAGTAAAACAGTGATCAGATCAAACCCGTAGCTACGAATAAAATACCTACACTAAATGATGACTGATGGAATGTGTCTGGAATGTGAGTCTACTGCATAAAACAAAGTGAGACCATAGAATAAGAATAGAATAGAAAATCATTTATTCAAATAAACTTACATTGAAGCACTTTTGAATAGTCATAATAATTTGTTTTTTATCTACCACTCGTTCGGAAAGCTGTCTCATCACAAGAAGAACGAGCAAGAAACTTGTGTGTTGCTCTTTTAAATAATCCTTGTAAGTTTACATTTACAAGTCGAAACGTGTGAATACAAACTACCAACCAATAGAATAAGAATAGAATAGAAAATCATTTATTCAAATAAACTTACATTGAAGCACTTTTGAATAGTCATTACATTTTTTTAATCTACCGCTAATCGGAAAGCTGTATAGTGTGCATAAAACAACTGATTCGTCAGATAATGCGGCTAAGGTAATTTGCCCACTTGTAAAGTTATTAGTTTTAGGGTAGGTCCCATTGGACTGACATGTGCTTTGACATATACATGACAGTTTCTACAAAAATCCTAATGAAAGAAAGAGAAAAAATAGTAGATGACAATATAGAATTACAAATAAAGATACCGGTGTAATAGGAGAGTCGAGGTGACACATATTGTGATAATATACGCAAGAGTAGGCCTGCATTCTGCGAGATTACTCTGAATTTTGTCGACAATCAAACTACACTTTATATCTCAATCACGTGGCATTACCGAACAGTATTAAAATAAACGTCCACAATGGCGGACGCTGAGTGCTCACTTCGTCAAGTGCTCGTTGAAATCGCGGAGAGAAATGATTACACAAACCACAATATCGACATCAAGGGTTTCAACAGTGGCGGCGCGAACTACACCTCAGCTATATTCTTCGCGACCATTTCTTCCTCAGGAAAAGACGATCTGGACCTTTTCGCGAAAGTGGCAATAGTTGGTGAGAAAATACGCAATAAATCAACTGTAGATCGAATGTTTACGACCGAGCAGACGTTTTACAACGATCTGGCGACGGTTTGGGACGGCTACCAGTCCAAATATTCGGTACCCGACGATGAAAAGTTTGTCTTCCCGAAATTTTACGGCGGTAGCCCTAAACGGGGGGAGGAAACGGTCGTGCTGAATAATCTTGTTGCACGTGGGTACGAGACGTATAACAGATTCAAATCTGTGGACTGGCAATATGCTTCTAAAGCTATTGAGACATTAGCTAAGTTTCATGCATTGTCATTTGTTTTCGAGAAGGAATCGCCTGAAGAGCACGAAAAGATATGTAAAGAATTGGTATACCAGATGGGAGGAGAAGAAGATAGTACAAAGAAAGTTTGGGAAAGGATGGTAGAGAGTTCAATACAGGTGCTCAATGATGAACATAAGGGACGAGTTATGAAGTTTATGGAGAAACATACGAGCATGGAATCATTCATGAAGTATTACAGACCTCTCGGAAAGTCTGTATTAATTCACGGAGACTATCGGCCGAGTAATTTATTATATAAGAAACAGGTGAGTTTTTTTAAAATGTTATCTACGTGTTTATATTACTTAATTAAATAAAATAACAGTGAAGTTGCTTGCGTGGTTACCTATGGCTCATCTTTTACAAAGCTATTGGTTATTATATACATCTGAATGGCTTTCTTTAAGTGTGTATTTAGTATAATGTAGGTATATTGAAAAATTTTAGTCTTTAATCAGTCCCGTTTTCTCATACCATGTAAATCTATGTTTTATGAGACCATTATTTGCGATTTTTCTTCACTACAAAAGTTGAAATAGAAATAGACATATTCTTTATTCAAATAAACTTAATGTAAGCACATTTTTTTTTATTTTACCGCTCATTCGGAATGTAGACTCATCACAAGAAACTTGTGTGTTGATCTTTTTTATAAATATTGTTTTAAGAATGAGCAATAAACTTGTGTGTTTCTGTTCTAAATATAGATTATTTTAATTACATTTACATTAACAATGATTAGCATGCGACAATCGACATAGAAACCGCTACACATTTAATCTCTATTCAATCAGATGACATTGTCAGCGTTATGAATTTTAAGATAAATATTTTCTACAAAAATATTGATCAATCCTGTAACAAGAATAATGGATATGATATCAAAGATGTCAAAAATGAAATATATAATTATCAGCCCCGAATGATTTGTAATTGCTGAGAAAAAATAATATTACTACCTTCAATATTTGTGATGCGTCGTCTTAAACCTTGTATGAAAGGTAAAACGTACCAACGTAATGTCCGGGAATATTAGAGTTGCCAGATTTTTTTTCAGCCTAGAAGGGGCAAACGTTTAAATAGGCAAGAAAATACGGGAATTTAGTTTTTTACCCGGGACAAATAAAAAACAAAATTATATAGTAACATTCTACATCTTTTTATATATTTTTCTGAGGAGCAAGTCAGTTTGTATGTTTTTATTGGTTTTAACACATTTATAAAAATCAATACAATTATAATCGTAATTAAAATGTCATCATCAAATCGCTTTTTATTAAATTAAGGGTACGAACGTTGCGTGCGTGAGTATTTTTGTCTAACGTAGATCGATCGATAATAAAAAACGGAGCACTATTCGAATACGGGACAGAGTCAGTCCCGCCGGGACATTTTAAAGTAAGCCTAAAATACGGGACGTCCCGAAAAATTCAGGACGTCTGGCAACGCTAGAGCCAGGCAACCCTTAACAGATGAGATCTCAGGAATAATGTATTGATGTTCATGTTTACAAGTGGTAGTTAGCATTTTGAATTATACTGACCATTAACCTAAATAAGTAAACAATATTAACAAAATGGCTTTAAAAAAAGTAATTCACTTGAGTTTCTTGTCAGTTCTTCTCAATTATAAAAAAGCTGAGAATAAAAGAGAAGAAAAAAAAACAAAATCATTACATAGTATAAAATAAAGTCGCTGTCGCTGTCTGTCCGTACCTATGTATGCTTAAATCTTTAAGACTTCGCAACAGATTTGGAAGCGGTTTTTTTTTAATAGATCTAGTCATTCAAGAGGAAGGTTTATATATATAATACATGTACACCCGTGCGAAGCCGGGGCGAGTAGCTGGTAGATAGATAAATGAACATCAAATATATTCAAATTCAAATTCAAAAATCATTTATTCATGTAGGACATTTCAGCCGCTTATGAAGGTCCCATTTTTTAAATGTATTATATTTTTTTTCCTACCGCCCAGTTCAGTATATAGATTCAATATAAATACTTTAAGTTTTTGCCATTAGTTTCCAAAATATCTTTTTGACCCAGCAATTTTATCACGTTGTACACATACATGGCTTGGAGACATGATTTGCAAGATTTTATTACTGGACTAGCTGAATGTACCGTTCATTTTCTAAAATAAAAGTATCCTAAATTACTCCTTATTACATCAGCTACCTGCCAAAAAAAGTCCCGTCAAAATCGTTCCAGTTATTTCAGAGATTAGCCGGAACAAACATTTAAACAGACAAACATTGAAAAAAAAAAATTTGGTGTATGTGCCGTATTTATATTTATATGCAAGTAGTAAAGAAACGGTATGGTAGTAAATTTCCATATTACAAACAGACACCAATTTTATTTATATGTATAAATATCCTAGATATAAAATAGTCGACCTCCAGGCATTCCCTCAACTTATAATATAATTCCTTACCCCTGGTGGTTAAAGTCAAACTGAATTTAAAGAAATTTAACAAAATAATTAAAAGTGAAATCAAGAATAAATTAATAATTATTAAAATTATTTTTAATATTAACACTAGAATTAATATTAAAACAAATTAGAATATATAATAATAATAATAATAATCTCAGGACAATTCACACAACACCATCTTGTCCCAAGTTAAGCTAGCTAAAGCTTGTGTTATGGGTACTAGATAACTGATACAAATACATGATTTTTTTTTTTTGTAAATACATACATATTATACATAGAAAACACCCAGACCGATACAAACAATCATACTCATGAATACAAATGTTTGTACCGTGCGAGGAACCGAACCCGCGACCATCGGTCGTAAAGCGGTGTGCCAGACCGCTAGACCACCGAGGTCGTCAATTAGATGTATTATTAGATGTGTTTAGTTTGTTTTACTAGATAATACTCATGTACAATGTTAAATACATTGTACATCAGTATTATCATTGTGTTCAAGGTATTTTAATATTATGAGAAGACGTTAATACAACTATGTAATATTTTATTATCTGTGGGTATACGAAATATTAATAACTCGTTAATATTTCGTATACCCACAGATAATATAACATTACATAGTTGTATAAACATTGAATGATGTCCAATGATTTATTCTGAATTACATCTAAATTATCTATATATGTTTTATACATATTTTACTAGTAAATCTATACATATAAATAAAACTGGAGTATCTATTTGTAATATTGAAATAACCGTTTTTTACTACATGCATATGAATACAAACACGGTACATACACCAAACTAACATTTTTTACAATTTTTGTCTGTCTATCTGTTTGTTCTGGCTAATCTCTGAAATGACTGGACCGATTTTGACGGGACTTTAATTGGCGGGTAGTTGATGTAATAAGGAGTAACTTAGGGTACTTTCATTTTAGAAAAAATCTTTTATTTTAGAAAAATAAAGTTAAATTCCACACGGACGACGTCGAGGGTACAGCTGGTAATAAATATTAACGTTATAAAGGACTGAAAATATCTATAGGAATAAATAATTTTGACTTTGATTTCAATAATCTTGGGATATTAACTTAAAATTCTGCCGGTTACCAACTATATAAGATGTCAGTACTATCCCGGAACTTTACAAACGATTTAAGTTGAAAACCTTGAACTTTGACTGGGTTTTTAGTTATAAAGTGTTAATTTAAGTTATAACTTAAGGTTAAACATATGTTTTTGTCATGAAATATATGAAATACGCGTGAATTAGTGATATCTATAAAAGGTAATGAGTATTGTTCTAATCATTTCTACTTTGTGATTAGACTGTATTAAATATTCAATTTGCAACCATGTGTACGTTATTACAAGGTAGATTTTGTAACATATTGTTTGCGTGGGTACCTCAGTCTCATCTAGGGTTGCCATCTTTTTTTGAGAAAAAAAAACGTATAAACTGGTTTGGATAAGAAAGAAATATAGTAAAAGATAGTATATGAAATACGCGTGAATTAATGATATCTATAAAAGGTAATGAGTATTGTTCTAATCATTTCTACTTTGTGATTAGACTGTATTAAATATTGAATTTGCAACCATGTGTACGTTATTACAAGGTAGATTTTGTAACAAATTGTTCGCGTGGGTACCTCAGTCTCATCTAGGGTTGCCATCTTATTTTGAGAAAAAAAAACGTATAAACTGGTTTGGATAAGAAAGATATATAGTAAATGGGGAAAAAAAGTATTTTTCAAATTCTATGTCTATATTGCTTTAAAAACGTATTTTTGTGTGCTTGACGATCTAACGTCGTCCAAGGTCGCGTGTTCGATTCCTCGCACGGAACAAACATTTGTATTCATAAGTACGACTGTTTGTATCTGTGTGTTTTCTATTAATATTATACCTATATGTTATTATAAATATGTGTATGTTTTTTTTTATTCGATATAAATATTATATTATAACTATTTTTGATTTGATATCAAATCAAAAGTAATTCATTTAGGACATTTTAGCCGCTTATATGTCAGTTGTCTAGTACCCCCATAACACAAGCTCTGTTTATCGTGGGACTAGATGGCGCTGTGTTAATTTTTAGAAATAGAAATAATCTTTATTCAAATAAACTTAATATAAGCATTTTTGAATAATCAAGTTTTTTGATTTTACCGCTCATTCGGAATGCAGACTCATCGCAAGAAGAATGAGCAAGAAACTTGTGTGTTGCTCTTTTAAATAAATATTGATTTGCTTGTATTTAATTAACAACAAGGATTAGGCATGCGACAATCAACATGGAAAACGCTACGCACTTAATCTCTGTTCAATCAGATAACATTGTCAGCGCTATGAATTTTAAGTTAGATATTTTCTACAAAAACATTATTATCATTTATAAATTCTTCAATTTTATAATAAGCTATTTTACAAAGAAATTATTTTATATTTTATATTTTATAACACATTTGAATTTTTTTCTGGCAAATTGAGTGCAGACTCTGTCAAATTGAGTACAGTATTGTCCAGGGTATATATTATGTATTATTTTATTAATCATAATAAAAAAAAAAAGGAAAGAGAGAGCAATATTTGTCATACAAAGAAATATCTCACAATGCAACTTGAGAAATTGTTTACTCAAGGCACTTTACTAACAACCAAATATCACTATAAAGGTCATTAAAAAAGTCCACGAAAGTTTTATAGGACATAATCGTGAAGCGTGAAATTTAGGCCATTGACTCAATTGAATTCATTCATCCGCGCCTGATGAGGCCACCAGGCCTGTTACACCGGTGTTCCTCAGTACCAATTGTGAGATGACCTCGGCAGCGGTTTACTACGTCCGAGATCAAGGGAGATCAAGGCCTCTCCTAGAATATTGTATTGTGCTGTTAAATGTACCGATAAAATAGCACCGTTTGTGACACTATCCGCACATTGTCTTGCCTTTACACCGTTATTTGGGGTCGGCGCAGTATGTCATATATAGTCTAGTCTATATATATACATCCTTACTTCCTTAGTTAATATTATAAATGCGAAAGTAACTCTGTCTGTCTGTCTATCTGTCTCACTTTCACGCCATAACTACTGATCCAATTCCAATGAAATTTTATATACAGTATAGTTGCAATATAGTTTTATATATAAGAGCAACACACAAGTTTCTTGCTCATTCTTCTTGTGATGAATCTGCATTCCGAATGAGTGGTAGAATCAAAATATGACTATTCAAAAGTGCTTGTAATGAGTTTATTTGAATAAAGATTATTTCTATTTCTATTTCTATTTCTATTTCTATAGTATTTCCCGGGACGTCCCGTATTTTAGTTTAAAATGTCCCGACGGGACTGACTCTGTCCCGTATTCGAACTGTGCTCCGTTTTTTATTATTAAATTGATCGATCTATGGTAGTCCAAAATATTCACGCACGCAACGTTCGTACTAGATGTACTACAGAGATGTGTCAACCTGAGTTATCTCGATAGTTGAATTCTTCCAAGTCGAGTTGGCATAACTCGAGTTGAATTTTGCCAACTCGACTTGGAAGAATTCAACTGGTAAATGAATGAATCAAGTGAAAGAGTGAGAGCATGATTCTGTCATCGAACCGACAATGACATGAAATTTTCCGATCATTTCATATCATACAATTTTCACTCGTCACAAATATTTCAACATTGATTTGAGGTTGTTATCATTTTTTTACGCATATTCGTCCGATTATGTTATCATTAAAATGATTATGCGTTCTATAAGTCCTTCTGCGGCTTTAAAGTGTTATTTCTACTCTCCCCCTATAGTTCGGTGAAGATTTCAAGGCTAGCTGCGTCCAAAAACATTAGATAACCCTTTTTATTCCAGGTCACTCAAGTCAACTCAGGTTACCTGGGGGGAAGGGGATTGTTAGTAATGTGGTCTCATGACCCCATTGCTAGCAATGTACCAATTCAGGTTGACCTCCACGCGGTTCCCCCTGGAAACCATCGTGTTAAATTCCTGGTGAATTTGTCACGATGGGCTAACTGACCTGACCTCATGCTCATATTATCACCCTCCACTGGTGCCCCGCCAGCGTAAACCGTTAGCGCAGGCGGGTGCACCATTCCATAATCATCCATAAAAAAAAAACTCAAGTTACCTGGGGGGAAGGGGATTGTTAGTAATGTGGATTGATAACCCCATTGCTAGCAATGTACCATGTCAGGTCGACCTCCACGCGGTTCCCCCTGGTAACCATCGTGTTAAATTCCTGGTGAATTTGTCACGATGGGCTAGCTGACCTGACCTCATGCTCATCATCATCTTATCATCCTCCACTGGTGCCTCGCCAGCGTATACCGTTAGCGCAGGCGGGTGCACCATTCCATTATCATCCACAAAAAAAAACTCAAGTTACCTGAATTTCAACTCGAGTTAACTCGAGTTTATTACGAGTAGGCACATCTCTAGTTCGTACCCCTAATTTAAAAGAATAAAGGTTGTCACTTATATAATTTTGTTTATTTGTCCCGGGTTTAAAACTATATTCCCGTATGTTTTTGCCTATTTATGCATTTGCCCCTTATAGGCTGAAAAAAAACTGGCTACTCTACTTCTAGGCAAAGTACCTACCAACTCTCGGTTGAGTGTTGCAGCTGAGTCGAAACATAAATTGTTACAAAAAGTAAGCTAAAATGAGTCGCGACGTTAGCCAAAGACTTTTTGTAACAATTTATGTTTTTATAAATTGTTAGTTTTTTTATGTTATAGCTAGTGATATTTACAATAATGTATGACTCCAAGGTGACGGCTAAAAAAGTCAAGTCCAAATCTTGTCAAGTGTAATTTGTTTCGATCCGCATTAAACCTGTTCATCTATACATATAAATAACATTGAAGTGTCTGTTTGTAATATTAAAATAACTGTTTTTTACTACATGCATATGAATATAAATATGGTACATACACCAAAATATTAGGGCACATAGCTCGTAGGACAGATGGCCGTTGGGGCAGTAAAGTCCTCGAGTGGCGACCACGTACCGGAAGACGCAGCGTGGGAAGGCCTCCAGCAAGGTGGACCGACGATCTGGTCAAGATTGCGGGAAGGCATTGGATGCGAGCAGCGCAGGACCGATCGTCGTGGAGATCTTTGGGGGAGGCCTATGTCCAGCAGTGGACGTCTTCCGGGCTGCGATGATGATGATGATGATGACCAAAATATTTTTTTAAACAATTTTGGTCTGTCTGTCTGTCTGTCTGTCTGTTTGTTCCGGTTAATCTTTGAAATGGCTAGACCGATTTTGACGGGAGATCGTTTGGCAGGTAGCTGATGTAGTAAGGAGTAACTTGGGCTACTTTTATTTTAGAAAAACAAAGTTAAATTCTACGCAGACGAAGTCGCAGGAACAGCTAGTTTATAATGTATATACTCAGTAGATCTGAAAATAGGCTGTTATCTAATTTTTATACCCCTAAGTGAAAAGGTTGGCCCACCGAAAAAATAATTTTCCTTTTTTTGACATCATTTTTTACGATTCGCTATTAAAAACACAACCCTACATTTTCACCCTTCTACATTCTACACGCAAAAGAAAAATAATTTATTTAAATTAAAAACTTTAAATGCTTGTTTTGTAAAAAAAATACATTTTCAATACTGTCATTTTTCTATTTAACCGACGAAATGTTGATGCGATGGTACTGCCCTTTACGATAAGTAAACGCCAAAATACAGCTACAAAAATATCTACGGTAATTTGCAGGACGACTCCCTCCAAGTCATACCTGTGGACTACCAGACTCTGCGCGCCGGCAGCCCAGTTTCTGACCTCATCTACTTCATTTTCGTGGGGTCCGACCAGAAGTTCAGAGAGAACCACTACCAACAGCTCGTCGAGCATTACTACCAGCAGTTATGCCTGGCGCTGGCCAGGTTCCAGATAGACCCAGCAGACGTGTACCCGAGAGAGAAGTTCGACGTTGACTTTAAGGAAGTTAGTATATATTTTGTTTAGAGTTTCAATAGTAGCAAATATATATACCTATATATTTATACATTACCTCTATATCGATAGAACTTTATGCTCAATTTACACTCAGCCCAAGTGGGCAGGGAAGTGAGCCGCGCGAGAGTGTAAACACGAGTGGAAACACTTCCCATGCCATTGGCACTGCCACTCGCGCTTGCCCGGCGCTCCCTCGATAGTCGGTTTTTCGTGCTCGAGTCAAAGGAATGGCAGCGCGAGTGGCAGCGTGTTTTTACATTCAGCCCTCTCGTTCAGTTGTCGCCCGGCAGCGCGAGTGGCAGGGGAAGCGGCTGAATGTAAACGTAGCAAATAATTGATATAAGGACATGGACAAGACTTAAATTTTGAATAGGAATTTAAGTTTTGTTCATGTATATAACTCAAAGGTGACTGACATTGTGATCTATCAACGCACAGCCCAAACCACTGGACGGATCGGGCTGAAATTTGGCGTAGAGGTAGATGTTGTGACGTAGGCATCCGCTAAGAAAGGATTTTGATTAATTCTACCCCCAAGGGGATAAAATAGAGGATGAAAGTTTGTATGAAACTTTGTCAATTTTAAACCGATCAGGCTGAGACTTTGCTTGCATAAAGATACTATGACGTAGACATCCCCTAAGAAAGGATTTGATAAATTCCACACCTAAGGGGATAAAATAAGGGATGAAAGTTTGTATAAATCTTCTTAGATTTTCGCCAGATTGAACTGAAATTAAAGATTGGAGCTACTATGATGAAGACTTTCGCTTAAATAGGATTTTGATAAATTCAATCATGGGGGTTGAATGGGGATAAAATAAGGAATGATGGAGAATGTAAATGTATTAGTTTGAACCTATCAGTACCTAATGCAAAGAATAAATTAAAACGAACAAAATAATTTTTAGTTCTTTAGGCTACTTTTATTTTAGAAAAATAAATATACTTATACAAATATGAAGAAGTTTAATAGTAGACTAGGCTGTACAGTCTAAGGATCCTTGCCCGTTCCATCATTGAAAAGGTGATGGACGAATGTAGAAAAAAAAGCAAACAACAAATGACGACGTGTGAAGGTAGACGAATATAATAATAAAAAAAAATATTTCCCATCTACCCGCTGCTGTTAAAATCATGGCGGTTGATAACTGTCGAAATATCGGCAACTCGACTAAAACTCAACTTTTTTGGGGGTATAAGTTTCGCTGTGTGAATTGACAGTTTTTATTATTAAATTTAAAAATAATGAGAGATTTATATGGGTTATTCTATGTTTTAAACACGCTAGGCACTGGAGGACGCGAATTGTTAGTAATGTGGACGAATAACCTCATTTGTAACTTTGCAAATTGATCTCTACGTTCCTCCTGGAAATTATCATATTAAATTACTCATGAATTTACCACGATGGGTTAACTGATCTGACCTCATACTCATCAACTGGTGCCCCGCCAGCGTAAACCGTTAGCGCAGGCGGGTGCACCATTCTATTATCATCCATAATAAATAACCTGTGAGGCCTCAACCTGTACCCTTCCAGGATATGTATAATAATAATAATCTCAGGACAATTCACACAGCGCCATCTAGGCTCAAGTTAAGCTAGCTATAGCGTGTGTTATGGGTACTAGATAACTGATACAAATACATAGATTTGTTTTTTCCATAAATACATACATATTATACATAGAAAACAGACCGCTGCAAAGAATATAAGTGTTGGCACCGTGCGAGGAATCGAACGCGCAACCATCGGCAGTAGGTAAACCGCTAGACCACCGAGGACGTCAAATGGGTATGACCCTGTATCTTTTATAAAAGATGCAGGGTTTAGCATACCGCCCTACTTCCGATGGTTGCGGGTTCGATTCCTCGCACGGTGCAAACTTATATTCATGAGTATGATTGTTTGCATCGGTCTGGGTGTTTTCTATGTATGTATTTGTTTAAAGCTATAGCTTTAATTATATATTTTTTAATTGCAGATGCTGCCATTTGCCGTACTTCTAGGTGTGTTCCTGTTACCAATAATAACAGTTGAGGCAGAAAGTGCTCCCCGCATGGACGGAGATGCAGATTTCGACAGCTTCGTCGTGAAGCCAAATGAGTTATTCGCCCAAAGATTCACTGAACTCATCGCGGATTGCATCCGATACGAAATTATTTAGCGAAGACCATAGACAATAATGTTACATAGACAAGACTTTTTTATTTTCCTGGACAATACACGCAAAGACAACCGGAGCTAAGTCGTACTTCTGTTTTGGGTACTAGCCAACTGATAGAATACTTATATGCATTTGTTTTAAAAATACATACATAATATACAAAGAAAACACCTAAACCGATGCAAACAATCGTATTCGTAGTTACAAACGTTTGTGCCGTGCTAGGAATCGAACTGGCGACCATCGGAAGTAAAGCGCCGAGCTAAACTATTAAACCACTAGAAATATTTTTTTAATAGATCAACTCAAGATGGCGCCCGCTGACTTTCGCGCGCAATATCACGCGCGAAAAAACATATCGTGTAAAAGCAGCTTTAACAGTTTTTAATTTGTTAAAGTTTAACGTTTATTTTAAGCATGTTATTAGTAGTAGTAGTTTTTAAATTAATTTAATCTGAGTATAAATTATAACTAATAAATAAATTGAGAATGGATTATGCAATGCAGTTGTATTTAAAAAATTGTAAAATAATTTATTTATTGGATAATCTGTCCACGAAATGAGTAAAAATAAAGTATTTTGACTGAAAAGGTCTAGGGATTTCAGTAAACATGCTTAATGTTAATTGTAATTATGCTATTTGTATTAAATTAAGTAATGAAAGAATAAATGAATGAATTATGTTCAATTATATATGTAATTAAACTTATTTATATGTAGAATGTATGAATATAAATAGTAAATTCCAGAAAGTACTCTGTGATGATAAATCTCTGTAGTTATTGCATGTGTGTAGTTTTCATATAAACAAACATTATATTTTAAAATTTTTGTTAAGGATATGACATGATTGACTAAATTTAAAACTTCATAACTAAAAATAATTGTTTTATTTAATACTAGCTGAGCCCGCGGTTACACCTGCTTGAAATGTATAGTCTATATGTTATTCTTATGTGTAAGCTGTATAAACTGTAAAGTTTCATCCAAATCCGTTCAGTAGCTTTTTCGTGAAAGAGTAACAAACATTGATCCATACTCACAAACTTTCACCTTTATATATTAATTAATAAGATAGAAATGAAATATAAATACCAGCAAAATACATATTTAGTAGTTTTTCGTTTAAAGATTTTTATTTCTCATGACATCGTAATTTAGACGAATGACAAAATTATAATATAATAAAACTAAAAAAATGTTAGATTTATTTAATATGGCAATCAAATATATTATTATATATATATATATATATATATATATATATATATATATATATATTAAGATTATAGTTGATATATTAGAGTTGCAGGGTAATAATATGATGTTGTTAGTAGAAAGGATGTATATTATAGATGATAATAGACTGACAAAATGTACATAGAAATATCGATGTGCATAGTCTCAATTATAAAAATTGTTATTCTATCACTTATTCAGAACGCAGATTCATTACAAAAAGAATGTAAGAAACTAGCGTGTTGCTCCTATGAATAATTGTTGTTTTAAATAAATACACAATTTTTATGGATGAAAATTTCCGGGAGAGCCGCGTGGAGGTCAACCCGAATGGTGCATTCAACAATCCCCTTCCCTCTTTAATGAATACACATTATCAAGGACGATGCATGCGACAATCAAATGTTAACTATCGTGTCAAACACCATTAATTAAAAATGGTAAAATCAATAATCATGTTTCTTTATCTAAGGCATTCAGAGTAATCTGAAACGAAACGGCAGAGTGCGGAGCCTAAATAATCTTTGTGACATTGACAAGTAGACTGATGGATGGAACTGACGTAGCGGGAGCTTTGGAGCGAAAAGGTTGGAGTGTTTATTATTATAAAAACAAATAAGAGATAGGTAATTGTGAATATTGTAGGCATTGGGGGGTTTATCAGTTGGGACTGGGAGGATACCACAAGTAGTGAAGGTGAGTGTTAATGCATTCTAAAAGGGCCCTTTTAACCTACACACGTGTTACTTGTCTCAGGCACTTGGGGTTCTCTCCCTGAACCTTCGGTGGCCGGCATCAGGGCCTAAGTCGTCATCAGTCATCATAAGTTTATTTGCGGAAAACTTTATAATTTATTTTTCATACTGCTTTCTTGATATATGATAGCGTAGCGGCTTTTGTATTGATTGCCGTATGCATCCTCATGTAAAGTGCGAATACTGTAACTACTATATAGTAATTTTTGTAGCTGTGACGTGGTCGAGTGGAATGAGTAGTCATGCTCACTAAAATGTCCAGACATGTGGCGGCGTGTTGGGCCGCGTCATTGGGCTCCCTAAAATATGGTTTAGCGCAGTGATGGCTGGCTCATCCGTCATACTCGTGAACGAGTGCTGCTTGTAGGGACTGGTCTGCTCTTATAACTACGACTGATTTAATCTAATTGTGTTTTTATATTTGAGCCTAAATAAATTAGCGCTGGTTGGTAGTTTGTATTCACACGTTTCGACTTGTAAAATGTGAACTTACAAGGATTGTTTAAAAGAGCAACACACAAGTTTCTTGCTTATTCTTCTTGTGATGAGACAGCTTTCCGAATAAGCGGTAGATTAAAAAAAATGTTGACTATTCAAAAGCGCTTAAATTAAGTTTATTTGAATAAATGATTTTCTATTCTATTCTATTCATCATAACTAGTGGTTTTAAAACAACATAGAAACCGCTACACACTCATTGTACAATCAGATAATATTGTCAGCTATGAATAGAGATATTTCTATAATATTATTTAGCAATAACAATTGAAAATGCCGAAATCGGTAATAGGCATGTTATCTTATTAACTGATTATATCATAGAAACACTGTACTATTATCAATGATTAATACCTATATTAATTAATTTAAAAATAATTAAAACTTGATTAATGATATATTAATACAAAACAAAAAAATCAAATGAAGCGACACAAACAAATAATTATATATTAGTAATTATATATATCATTAGCTAATTGTTAAATTATACATATCATATATATATTGAGTTTGTATCCTATAGATAGCATGAGTCAAGGTTACGCAAGGTCGTAATTGATGTTGAAAATATATGTATGTCCAAATAAATAAAGTTATATGTAAACTGTATTATATTGTACATATAATTATATTTATTAGTAAATACATATATTTTATATATATATATTCTATACAAACGGTAAACGGTTACCGTAGCCTATGGACGCCTGAAACAACAAGGGTGTCACATACGCGTTGCCGACTCTTATGAAACCTTAATATACCCTTCTTGAAAAACCCCAAAAAACTATTACTGATAAATTAAAAAATAATCAATTTGTAAGTTAATGAAATAGTTAATTAAAAGAATAAATGTATATAATTGCTGGAAGGCATTGGATGCGAGCAGCGCAGGACCGATCGTCGTGGAGACCTTTGGGGGAGGCCTATGTTCAGCAGTGGACGTCTTCCGGGCTGCGATGATGATGATGATGATGATGATGTATATAATCATCTTTAAAAAAAAAGCAATGTAAAAAAATCGGTATCGGCACATAATTTAAGAATTGATAAATAAATGTTAAAACTGAAATTAGTTTTATTAATTACTAGCTGATCTGCACATATCTATTCGTCTGCATCACACACTTGACATTTATCATTATATTTCTCTCAATTTATATAATATATTTTTAAATTATAGCCTATATTTTATTGTGATATATAAGCTATATTACTGTAGTTTTATCAAAATCAGTAGTCTTATGAAAAAATTTTTACATGAAAGAACAAATATCTATACATACAAACTTTCAAATTCAAAATTCGAATTCAAATTCAAAATATCTTTATTAATGTAGGTCTATTATAGACTCTTATGATATGTCAAATCTACCGTCAGTTCGCAATGATATCAAGATGAGAAGAACTGTCAAGAAACTGAGCTCGTTTTTTCTTTTCAAATAATAGTGGAACATGTTTATAATAATACATAGTCATTAAAATTCAAATTTGGGAGAATAGAGTGACCACCAGCATATGCTATCGCAAAGAACAAAAAATTTAATCAGTGTTCACAACCCGAACAGACCAGTCCCCACAAGCAGCACCCGTTCACGAGTATGACGGATGAGCCAGCCATCATTGCACTAAGTTTCAAGTTTAGTATTTAGTAAGGAAATAAGGATGTAAATGAATGAAACATGAAAAATCTTAAGTTAAATTAATATGACGTCCATGATGGTATTTGAATATACAAATTTAAAAAAGAAACTACATTTGGGACCTATTGAGGGTGAATAAAAAATGACCCTTAAAACTAAAAGTTCAAGGTGCACCTTTCTAAAGCAATTCTGATGAAATTTGAATATCTACCGATTATAAAATTTCAAAGAAATCCTATCAGATATTTTTCATAATAAGATAACTTTGGTACCTCAATACCATCTATCAATTATGAATCGCTGATTACGGTTCCTCTATCTATTCATTTTTAATTAAAAAAATAACTCATTTTCCACGCTTCTGGCACCTTGCAATTTTATTACGGTACTTATAAATTATCTAAATTTAATGTGCGTTAAAGAAAATCGATAAAATATTATCTGCCATCTATAAATAGTATGTAATTACTTGAATTCTTTTTAGTATTGCAAACTTCCGTGATAGTAACAGAACTAGAGATGGCGTCACAAATTCTACACAAACTATTGAACGAAATCGTTAAGGAGAACAAATATGAGAATCCTAGTGTTGCTGTCAATCTAGTTTACTATGAAGGTATCAGTTACACTTCATATGTGCCGTATACAGTCACTATAACTGAAGTTGGAAAAGAAGATCTTCATATGTTTGCAAGAGTCGCCATCAAGAAAGATGCCAAACAAACAGCTATGTTCGACCTAGAGCATTCAATGCACATGGAATTACACAAGACATATGAAGACATACAAAATGCATGCGATATACCACCTGAAAAGAAATTAGTTATGCCCAAATTGTATGGATACAACCCAAAAGAACTGGAAGAAACAATAGTGGTTGAAGATTTACAACCAAAAGGTTTTATTCCATTTAACAGACTAAAGTGTATAGATTGGAAATACGCTGCCAAATCTGTGGAATCTCTAGCTAAGATACATGCGTTGTCTATGGCATACAGAGACAATAACCCGGTTGAGTTTAATGAGTTTGTAAAGAAAGCGAATGCACAAGAAGATATATATTCTGGAGTTGCAGATACTGCTTATAAACAGCGTGTTGAGGCTACTCTTGCCGTAATATCGGACCAAAATAAAAATAAATTGAAAGTTTATCTGAATAAAGTGAGTGCAGTGTCTTTGTATGATATTCAGAAGTCATATCAACGTCCAGTTCTGTGCCACGGAGACTATAGACCAAGTAATATATTACATAAAGTTCATAAGGTATGTAATTGTAACAGTTTAACAGACCATCTTATATTGGATAGGCGCGGGTTCTAGTCCTTGCAGAAATCGTACAGTCGCACACAGTCTAATATCCTAGTAGTTATGAATACAAATGTTTGCATTATGCAAACATGACTGTATTTCAGAGATTAGCCGGAACAAACAGACCGACAGACAGACAGATAAAAATAGTAAAAAATGTTATTTTGGTGTATGTACCGTATTTATATTCATATGCATCTACTAAAAGACGGTTATTTCAATATTACAAACGGGCACTCCAATTTTATTTATATGTATAGATCAGCTATTTAACATCACGCAAAAAATCAAAATTAATGCTAAGTAAAAACGAAATATCCGCGATATGCTGCAATACATAATGAGTATTTAATGGAATTAGTTCAATTATTAATTGGTAGTTTGTATTCACACACTTCAACTTAAAATGTAAAGTAACAATAAAATTATTTCAAAGAGCAACACGCAAGTTTCTGTCTCGTTCTTCTTGTGATGAGACAGCTTTCCGAATGAGCGGTAGGTTGAAATGTGTTGACTATTCAAAAGTGCTTCAATGTAAATTTATTTGAATAAGTGATTTTCTATTCTATTCTATACCACAATACGGTAATGACGGTGGTGGACTGGTATAATATATTTTAAATTAGACTACAAGCAAACAAAAAAGGTACAAAGTCGCGGGTAAAACAACAATTTGATAAATATATTGACGATACTATATTATCATGAGAATTGTGAGTCTTGCTATTAAAATGCGGCAATATTATCAGCTATCAATGATTCACGTAAGAATTATTCAGTAGTCCATACAAGATGGTTATCTATCGCCATACCAAGTGTTTGTAGACAAATACGAGCCAAGTGTCATGAGAAAAATTGAAATATAAGAGAGAGAACTAATAAATGAGGAGAAAGATAAACAATATTAATTCAAATTCAAAATATCTTTATTCATTCTGTAATAGACCTACAATTAAAGACTATGATATTTCAAATCTACCGTCAGTTCGGAATGATTTTTATTATTAAAAATCGTCTACATTACTCATACATTCTAGCAAACTTTCGCATTTATAAAATGTGTAGGTTTAAGTGTATTTGGTAATAAAAGACCAAGACAAGGTCATTAGGGCAGAATAATTCACACAGCGCCATCTAGTCCGTAGCGAAGCAGAGCTTGGTACAAGAGAACTAATGCAAATTTAAATTTCCAATTCAAATTCAAAATATCTTTATTCATGTAGTCTATTACAGACTCTTATGATATGTCAAATCTACCGTCAGTTCGGAATAATTTCGAGTAGAGGAGAACTGACAAGAAACTCAGCTCGTATTCTTTTCAAATAGCCTTTACTATTAACTTAACTTAAGTTTACTTTAAGCTTAATTTTTATTCTAATTATACATATATTTTGCAGTAACTGTATTCCTGTTAGTTACTATTTAATTAATTGTTTTTGTTCATCTGAATGTTAACAGTATGTCGTGATGTAACTTAGGTCTCCTCCAAGTATTCCCGTAGTATCCGGTCCTTTGCTCTTTTAGACCTACTTTTTCCCATCTTTTAATTTGTCTTTTGCTTCTTATGTATCCCCTTGGGTCACTCTATGTTTTTTATCCATTTAGGTATTTTTTCCTTATTCATATAGCCTGTCCCACCTTCATAGACTTAACAGTGGTTTCAACATTTTAAAATTTTGCTTTGGAGAAAGGAGAGAAATTATTTTGTACATCTATCTCCCATATTCCACATGGGATACATGTGGTTTCTTTGTTTCGCCCGTTTCTGCCTCCAGTTTGTGTCTTTTTTCGGCCGCAGCTGGCCTTTACAGTTTCACCGGACGATAGCGAGTGCAGATGGCACTTCAAACCCGCGGAAGGACTTATGGAATGGCTGAAGGCCAACTCCCGCCTGACGGATATGACTTTAGTGTAAGAGCACCGCTAGGGCTTGAAACGTCGTCATAATTTCGATCCCTGCTTCATCTGATCGATCGAGCTTGTTTTGTACGCATGTCCCAACAATTTCAAGCTACGGTACTTATTTGAAGTTCATTTATTAAATTACTATAAGTAGCACTGGTTTATTTGCTATTTCAGAACGGTAGTCTCGAGGTGGTGCCCACATCGTTCCACTCAATCCAGAGTGGCTCCCCGTTGTCCGATCTTCTGTACTTCATCTTCACGGGATCTGATGAGCAGTTTCGACGCAGACACTTCCAAGCACTGATGGATCACTATTACAAGGAATTAAGCAATATATTGCGGTCATTGAAACTCAATCCAGATTATATATACTCAAAAACAAACTTCGAGCATGATTTGAAACAGGTAAATATTGTTATTCATTTGACAGTCAAGTAGTCTAGCAGTTTTAGCACACGTTCGATTCCTCGCACGATACAAACATTTGTATTCATAGTTAAAATTCAAAATATCTTTATTCATGTAGGTCTAATACAGACTCTTCTGATTTGTCAAATCTACCGTCAGTTCGGAATGATTTCGATTTGAGAAGTACTGACAAGAAACTCAGCTCGTATTCTTTTCAAATAAATGTTGTACATGTTTACAATAATACAGATTATTTTTTTATATTCAAACTTGGGAGAATAGAGTGACAACCAGCATATGCTATTTTAAGAAATAAATTTATGTGTAAATGAGTATTAATGAGTATGATTGTTTGTATCGGTCTGTGTGTTTTCTATGTAGGTATATTATGTGTGCAATATATGTATATTCTATGTAGAAAACACCCAGATCGAAACTGTTTGTATCGATCTGGGTGTGGGATCATAGTCATTAATACAAGTATTTGTGCAGGAATCGAACCCGCGACCATCAGAAGTACGGTAGCTTACGGACTAGATGGCGCTGTGTGAATTATTCTGTCCTAATGACCTTGTCTTGTTCTTTTATTGCCATATACAATAAAACCTACGCATTTCATATACAAACTTGGCAAGAATATATATATATATATAGATGTTTTTTAATAATAATTTATTTAATAATAAAAATTCTTAGACCTTATCTACTGATGACGTCGTAATGATTGCAACATTGGACAATACTTGACATATCTACTTTGCACTGGGCATATTTGAATAATATGCAGAGGATTAGCCTATCTACATAATTCAGATTAATTTAGTTTAGTATCGACGTTATCCATTAAGTTATTTGGTATCAGTTAGAACCGAACTCAGAATTTTTCGGTCTTAGTTATTGTATTCGTATTCGCTATATATAAATATGCATACAGAATTTAAGATCGATTTAAATGAAAACATTAAGCACATTGCTACCTGTAAGAAAGACTGAACTGAAGAAAATGAATCACTTATGTAGTAAAACGTCAGATGATTCTCGAACTGACCACATAAAATCATATTGTGGGGTACATTAAATAAAAGATCTTCGATTTTCTATATGTGGACTGTTTTTCTATTTGTTTCTTATCCTATGGGTCGGCCGGCCGGAGTGGGGTTTTCTTGGTTGTTGCGCCGGCGGTGTTTCTTCGCCGGTGGCGTATGCATAAGAGAGCGCGACCGTTTTGTTTTTCGGACTACTCTAATGCTGTTGGCCGCAGTTGGCCTTTACAGCTTCACCGGACGTATTATATTTTATTATAATAAAATTCAAAAATTCAAAATTCAAAAATCATTTATTCATGTAGGACATTTTAGCCGCTTATGAACGTCAAATTTTTACATTATAATTTTATTTTTTTCCCTACCGTCCAGTTCGGTATATAGATCCAATTGAGAAGAACTGGCAAGAAACTCAATTGAATTACTTTTTTTTTTAAAGCCAGTTTATTTACAATGTATATTTATATAGGTGTCTATGTCTAACATTAAATGAAAATTCAGTGCATGAACAACTATTGCCATGCACACTCGTCATTCAAGCAATCGTTTAGTGAGTAATAGGCTTTGCTCAGTAAATATGATTTAACAGATGTTTTGAATTTATTTAAGGGTAATTCCAACATATCCTTTGGTATCTTATTGTAAATTTTTATACCTATTCCCATAAAAGACCTATTAACTTTTTCTAAACGATACTTGGGGACAGCAAGTTTGTCTTTAAATCTTGTATTAATATTATGAATATTGCTGTTTTTTAAATAAGATATATAATAATATATAATATATTATATTTTATTTATACATAAAATCATGTTACAAAACTATTACTACAACTAACGACATTACAAAAACACATATCCAAATATTTGCCTGTCTGAGACGCGTAGGCGTATTTATCCTTACTAATATTATGAATGTGAAAGTAACTCAGTCTATCTGTCTGTTTGTCTGTCTTGCTTTCACGTCAAAACCACTGAACCGATTTAAATGAAATTTAGTACACAGATAGTCTAGACCCAGAGAAAGGCCATAGGCTACGTTTAAATGCGAAAAAAGGGTTGTAGGTAGTTGATAGGGGAGATGAAAGATTATATGGAAGTATTGTCATTAAAAAAAGAAAATAAAATTGTAGTGTTTGTTTATAATATCAAATTAACAGCTTTTTACTAAATGGATATGAAAGTATATACGGTACTCCATCAGAAAATAATATTTTTTTGTCTCTCTGTTAGTATGTTTTTTCTTGTTAATTTCCGAAACGACTGGATCAAATTTGATGGCATTTTCACCTACAGATATTTAATATTATAAGGAGTAAATAATTCTAATTTTAAAAATTCAAATTTCAGATTTTTATATCCACGCTGACGTAGTCACTTGTTACATTTAGTGTTAACTACATATAAATAAAAAATTGTTTTCTTTCTTTCAGTATTTACCATACGGACTCATAATGGCGATTTTATTCCTGCCAATTGTGAGTGAACAAGATGAGAAAGCACCAACGGTGCAGCGCGGCCACCGTGGTATCGAACCTGTTACACAAACGAAAACTGGACCGTGGTTTAAAGAGAGGATTAACGGAATCATCAATGATTATTTAAGATGGGGCCTCATCTAATATGATGTTTACTATGTATTGTGTAACCTATTTCTTTCGCCATACATTTTATGCTGCATTCTCATTGGGTGTTTAAGGAATATTGAGATATAATTCAATGCTTTAGAGTTGAGTTTTAAAGAGATCTGTTTACATTCATTGCGATTAATGGGAATTAAAAATACAATTACAATATCAAATTTTGTCATAGTACTTTTTTCACACTAATATAAAACACTAAACAAAAAAATATGATTGAGAGAAAAATAGAAGAAAAGAGGGGTAGGTGAAGACCAAGGTACAGCTACATCAAGCAAGTGAAATACAGAATGGAGTCGTGACGTATAAAGGTATAAAGAGTACGGTGGAAGATCGTGGAAAGTGGCAAGAGCTCCACTGACAAGAGCATTGCTGATGAAATTCATTAACTGATGAATGAATAAAATAAAATTAAAAAAAAAACATGGTATCGGACGCGACACATCGAGACAGGACACTGTACCCAATGTGTCATATACTTTTGTCTGTCTTTAAACGCCGTTAAGGAAACATCTAATTATATGGCATATGGCAAAACTAGGCCTATGCACGACAAAAATCTGCATATTCTGCCAAACTGAAGAGGAAACGCCACTACACATCCTATGTGGTTGTAGCCCACTCATGCATAAACGAAATATCTCCTTTGGAAAGTTTACACTCTTTCCGGACGAGATAAAAACCATCGCTCCTAAGAATATCCTTCAATTCTTGTCCCTGACGGGTCTAGGTAGCGAACTTTGAAAAGGGCGAGCACAATAGATCTATGTAGGTCTCTGTACTACAGGTGCTACAAAAATCTGACAATAATCAAAACAACCCAAAAAACAAAAGAAGAAATGTATAATTTCTATATAAGAAGTAAATGTAACTGGCAGCCTACAAACATGTGCGTTGCCATGTCCGCAAAACATAATAAAAAAGAAAGCTAAAAAAGAATAAAATTCAAAATTAACAGAGACATTAACACAACGTTGCATTTTCATTTCATAAATATAATAAATGTCTATCAATCATCCCTCAAATCCTCGATCAGGTTTACACGTTCCGCACATTCGCACTGAGTGGTTCGCATCGTCCTTCCTGCAAAAGAGTGGAACACACTTCCAGCTTTTGTGTTCCCGGAGAAATACAACCCCGGATTCTTCAAGTCTATGGTGAATAGATATCTTCTGGGTAAGCGCGCTACATCCTAGGTCTTACCATCATTTACCATCAGATGAGGTAAGACCAAGCGCAAACCCATTATTAATAAAAAAAAAAACAACATTATTTAACTATTTTATTCCTCTCCGCTGTAGAACATTCCAGCATTTCTCAATACTCTATTTTAAGTTCTATATTTTAATAAATGTTGTCTTCATACTACAAACATAGATTATTATCGTGTTATCTAAATGAAACCCATTATATAATGGAAAATTATTAAAATTTAAATATTGTCTTTGAAATCGGTTATCCAGATTTTGGATTATACTTACGGAATACCCCTGCTTTTATTTGATCCCTATAATCAGGGTTGTACTGCATGTAAGGTTAAGAGATCACGGGATCTTATCACAGTTTGTTTATTATTATAGAATTCGTCATATTTCGGGAGCATAGAATCCCGTAATTTTACTGTGATAAATAATTAATTTGCCTTTAGCACACATATAATAATAAAAAGTATAATAAAACTCGGGCTCAAATTGAGAGAAACTTAACAAATGATAGTATTTTGCTTTGTAATTAATTAATTTAATAATTTATTGAAAATAAATGTGACATGTGAATGATTTTTATTTTTTGTTCCAACTTCGTTTATACCTTACCTTATCTATATTAATAATTCCATCAAGGGGTACGGTAGACGGAAACGAAATCTTATGTGAATAACAAAACATAAAAAAATATTGATTTCGAGTCGACAACATATATCCGCAAAATTCGGATTATGGAGTATTTCGTTAAATTCTAATGACACTTACAAACAAACCGCAGTCGCCATCTTTTCATTTTTTTTTTTGTTTTATTTATCCGTAATGGAAAGGCAAGTCTAAGCCCATACAGCCGTAATCATCTTTTCATTTCACTAGCATTTTCTTCGGTCGTTGACGTTTCGCGAAAATATTGTTTTTGACACTTTTTTATGATAAATGAGTATGTGTTTTTTCTTTAAACCTGAAATTGACCGATTGAGAGACAAATTTGGCAATTTTTTTTATTAATTTGTTTTACGGCTCTGGATACAAGTTCTTTTTAGCCCAACTTAAAATTTACAAAAAATAAAAATTATTTGTATAAAAACTTTTGCACTTTTTATTTACTATATTTATTAAACACAATGAACGAATCTTTACAAATCTATGCCTTGCTTACTTTTAATATTCCATGAGAACCGATGACTACAGAAATATCTACCCACATTTCACCCGAGCGAAGCCGGGTTTTCATCTAGTATGTCTATATGTTAGTGTACACACTAATATATAGACATATAAGGTCGTAAGATCAAATCTGGGTATTAAAACTTCTGTTTCAATTTCCGACCATCTTCTCGGTGATGGAAAACACAAATGACATATCAAATTCATCGAAGGGATGGCAGCAATCTTACAACATTGTCATGTTTGATGCTGCAACTATTTTCCCCTGTGATGACAGGAGGGGTGGTGAGAGTAAACACACACAGTAGGGTGTAACTTGTATATTAACTGTTACATCTTGAATTACTCTAGCTTACACTAATTACATAAACTATGTATATGTGCAACTGCGTGACCTACGTGTCGTTAGATAAAATGTACACTGTCACAATCTACTATAGAACGTGCTGATTTGCATCACTTTATCACACCCCCTGTGCTACAACAAATATATAAACAAAAGTGTGTTGATTTTCGCCGATATATTATATGTCTTTCTTACATATAGAGTTACGGAACTCCTACAAACTATATCTCAGATTCAAATAGAAATAGAAATAATCTTTATTCAAATATACTTATTACAAGCACTTTTGAATAGTCATATTTTGATTCTACCACACATTCGGAACGCAGAATGAGCAAGAAACTTGTGTGAAACGACATTTAGGTAAAATCAGTGTGTTATTAACATACGTTATTGCTTTTATTAGTGTATTCAAATCTATTAACACTAGTTTTGGCCTCGATATATCCTATACCACTCTGTACAAAACATAAAACTATGCCCAATATCAGAATATAAAAAAAAATGTGACGACTATTCAAAAGTGTAAGTTTATTTGAATAAATGATTTTCTATTCTATTCTAATACTTTTTAAGAATCATTCTGCGCGTACGTCAATCTAATCAAATCAAATTTTAATATTATCACAATATTACCATCGAAAATATTGAGATGTAATGAATGGTTAAAAACGTTATCTTGGATCGCATATTCTCAAGAATTTCTACTAAATCTGACAATTAAACAGAAATCTGATAATGTCCGTATTTTATTAAAAGGAACGTTAAATTTACTTAATTAAAGAATATTTTCAAACCAATTCAAAATTATAGCGATAACATGTTAATCGTAAACAAGTACATTACTTTATAAAAAAATTGAAATGCAATAGGTTAGTTAGGTAGGTTTATCAAAGAATTAATAACATTAGCACAGAACATAGTTTTAACAGAGCTCTGAATCTTGCTCTGCAAGATCTCTATGCACATTTTCCAAGTTGTAAATAATAATTAATTGCTAATAGGAATGTTGGATTACGAATCCTTATAAATTAATATATAAAAGAGAGAGTGGACTGTATTTATTGAAAAGAAAATAATTAATGAAAAAGGAAGTAAAAATACGATTTCGACCTGGAAGAACGTCTTCCACACTCCGAACACCCCAAAGTAAGCAATGTAACACCACACTTACTCACCTTTGCTCAGGAACGTCCCGATGTGTAGTACTGTTTAGTGGCCACGCACTCTACAGTGTATATTTTCATCAAAAACAATTATATTGTGTTAAATAATTCCTTAATTATCTTGTTTTATATAGATAAAAATACGGAGCGTCCTTTTAATTCCAGTCCTTATTTTCAATTGTTTTTTTATTCCTTTTTTGTAATTTAAGTGGCCGCATGTTTTTATGTGGCCAGTCTTACCGAGCGTCCTTTGCTCCAGTAAGCAAGCCGGTGATACAACCTGCTTAGACTAAGGAGGTTCGGAATACGGAACAAGGAAATAGCGGCTAGTATTGGTTACGCTTGACACTCAAGCACAATCACTATCCATAAAGTCTCCCATGAAAGTAAACGTAGTTAATTCCTAGAGCACAGCACAGTGGATGGATAGATAAAATCTTTATTTCCAACATTAACAGATTACCAAACACACACAAAATAAGTAAAAAACATACATAATGTACTCAGCTACAGCTGAGGCAGCTTCCATTGACAATACGAAGTGAAGTGCACTAATACAGCACTGATTTTGAGGCAGCCTCTATTACTTATTAGAAATCATCATCTTGAAGAACATAGCAGAGGTGTGGGTTCAATTTTTGAGATTACAATATCCGTAAACGTTGTTTACTTAAAAATGTAAAAGAATAATCATTAATGCCGATGCAGGTAAGCGTGGAGTGGTGATATACTCAGGAATGAAACCATGATTGAAGTTTACAGCTGTCCGTGTCGCTTGCGCTATATATGCATAGCGTGGGGATAGTGGCCTGCGGTGTGAGGGAAGTGATAACTGCTTAGGGGTCGCTATCTAAGCACAAGCGGTGGGATCAATTTAATTACCAGATAAGTAGGTATACAGGTAAGTAACAAACAGAATCTTATAGATACACCCTACAAACAAACAATATATATTAGATAAGAGTAAAAGGTAAATAATCATTTATATATTTGTATGGTTATCTTATATATAAAATTCTCGTGTCACAGTTTTCGTTCCCATACTCCTCCGAAACGGCTTGACCGATTCTCATGATATTTTGTGAGCGTATTGAGTAGGTCTGAGAATCGGCTAACATCTCTTTTTCATCCCCCTGAATGTTAGGGGTAGTCCACCCCTAATTTTTTTTATTTATTTTTTAGACAAAATATTTAGTTTCTATTTTTTTATGATAGAACATACAAAAATACATACAATCCAAAATTTTCACCCTTCTATCATCAACCCCTATTTTTTATAGCGTTATTAATTTATATGGCAAAACAACGTTTGCCGGGACAGCTAGTTCATATATATTTTTATTCCTATCAATTGTCCGGTTTGCAGTCGCGCGGCACGTCGGCAATAATCATATTTTGAAAATAAACTAGTATTCAATCACAGTGCATTATGGCCTTGTCAATCAATATGTTTACGCACAACGAGACCTAAATGGTCAAATATTACTCTGACCACCTCATCTGGGGTTACAGTCGTAAGAATATGTCTTTTATTATTGTTTTTTACATGACCCACGTCACAAATTATGATTATCTTATATCCAATTACAATTACAAATTTATTGTTATCAAATATATGATAAAATATTATCAAATCATAATGAAACGTACTTATAAGTTATTAGTGTATAATTGTATTCTTGACAGAAATAACGTAATCGCAATGTCGACGGAGAAATTAGATTCATTACTCAAAGATATTGTTAAAGAACAAAATTTTGTAAAACCTAAAGTGACTATCAATCCAATATCCAGTGATGGAGCTAACTATTCATCATCCTTGTACACGATCACTGTCACTGAATCTGGTAAGGAAGATCTTCATCTATTCGCTAAAATTCTCCTCATTAAACAAGATATACCTCTACCAATAGACATGGTCGACATTGAACAATTATTTTACCGTGAACTACTTAAGAAATATGAAGACATACAGAATGCACATAATGTACCATCTACAAAGAGGTTGGTAGTGCCAAAATTCTATGGTTGCAATCCGTTTGAACCGTACGCAGAAACTATAGTTCTTGAAAATTTAGCAGCAAAAGGTTACACCACGTATGATAGATTTAAACCTATAGATTGGGATTATGCCACAAAAGCAATAGACTCGCTAGCTAAGTTCCATGCTCTTTCTGTGGCATACAGCGAAGAATATCCAGAAGAATTTAAACAGCTTGCTGAAAAAATCAAAGGAACTTCTGATATGATGACTGGCATAATACAACATATGTACCAACAGCGTATAGACACTACTTTATCTGTGACATCAGAGAAACATAAGAATAAACTGAAAAAATATCTAGAAACTGAAGTAAGAATAGAATCCATGTTCAAAACTAAATTGCAGGGACCTTTTCTGTGCCATGGAGACTATAGAGCAAGTAATTTAATGCATAAAGTTAATGAGGTACGTAAATATTAGCTCAAATTTGAATGTTATATATATATATATTATATATACAGTAACTATTATATACGATCTTTAAAAGTGAAACACATTTTGCAGAGCGTACTATTGGTGGCACAAGTACGCAATCTAAACTTTGGTTCAAACATTTGCAAATTGGATTTAAATGTAATATCTAATAAATGTCGAATAGGTATCAGATCTGTTTTAGTACATTTATTTAACATCAATTATAACATATATAATTTTATTTCATATTTTGAATTAAGGAACAATTAAGGAACAATTAGGCCCTTGACAATTTGCAACGGTCATATCACAGATTGAAAATATTTCGAAGAAGTACAATTTTGTATCTAAGTTTATATCTTACAATCCTAACGCACCGATTAGGTTTTTGATGAAACCTTTCATTCTTGCATTCTGAAAAATACTTGTATTATATTTCTTACTAGCTGTACCCGCGACTTCGTCCGCGTGGAATTTAACTTTATTTTTAACTAACAAAAGAATATCGCTATTAAAAAATAGGGGTTGATTGTAGAAGGGTGAAAATGTAGGGTTGTATTTTAATGCCGAATCGTAAAAAAATGATGTCAAAAAAAAGGAAAATTCTTTTTTGGTTGGGCCACCCTTATCACTTAGGCGTATAAAAATTAGATAACAACCTATGTTGAGATCACTGAGTATACATATATATTATAAACTAGTTGTTCCTGCGACTTCGTCCGCGTGGAATTTAACTTTATTTATCTAAAATAAAAGTAGCCTAAGTTACTCCTTATTACCCTTGCTATCCTCCAAAAAAAGTCCTGTCAAAATCGGTCCAGCCATTTCAGAGATTAGCCGGAACAAACAGAAAGATAGACAGACAGACGAAAATTGTAAAAAACGTTATTTGTACGTATTTATATTCGAATGCATGTAGTAAAAAACGGTTATTTCAATACTACATACAGATACTCTAATTTTATTTATATGTATAGATAGACGACTAGTGGCCTATGATACTTCAGAGGCCTCATCCATTTATGTATGAGCCTGTCTGAATTGTCTATAAAAACTTTACGCTTAATGACCTCTTTATTTTACTTACCATTTAAGAGAAAGAATAATATAATAGTATAATATAAGAATAAAATAATAATATAATAGAATAAAAAATCCTTCGTTCAAATACACTTAATACTTCAGCACTTCTGAATAGTTAGTTGTTCTTTTAAACTACCACTCATTTGGAAAGCTGTCTCACCATAAGAAGAATAAGCAAGAAACTGTTGATCTTTTATATAATCGTTGTAACTTTACATTTTTAACTCGAAACGTGTGAATAAAAACTACCAAGTAAAGTTGTAGACTCTTGAATTCAACTTTTTTAAATGTACAATAAACAATTTCTTACAGGACGGCTCTCTAGAAGTGATACCCATAGATTTTCAAACTATCAAAGTTGGTTCTCCTCTTGTTGATCTATTCTACTTGATCTTCACGGGAACTGACAAGAAGTTTCGACGCCAGCACTTCCAAGATCTTACAGACTACTATTACCAAGAATTGAGTAATGCTTTGCGATCTTTCAACCTTGATCCTGATGTTATTTATCCGAAGAGAGCCTTTGATCTTGAACTGAAAGAGGTATGTATTCATTCATTACTTTATGGTATAGATTAGTTGAGACTAGTTAGTTATTATCAAGCTACTAGTCTCTCCGCATAAATCTTCCTATTTAGCCTATGTTTGCCTAGTTTTACCATGCTGCTAGGTAGGTTTAGGATGTAATAACAACATAGACCCTAACAAGGAAAACTCAGAATAGCGGGTTTTCCTTCTATTGTATTTATATAGGTAGACTTTTAATGAAGTTTCTAAGATGTGTTTCGGCTAAAATTATTTAAAAATTATAGGGTACTGGACATGGTATTGTTTGTTTGATATTATGAACAAACTATGAATCGGTGAAAAAATTTTTTATGCGCATATTTGTAAGCAATTGTTTGCATATTGCATAGATTCATTTTGAAGATTTTGTCCACATTTTTGTGTGAAGATATGCTACGTTTTCTTTATTAGAAGCATTACAGGTAATTGCACTTTGGTTTCCATCACTAATATTTTTTTCTTCCGTTCCCATCACAGAGAACGGCAAAAGAACTCAATCCGTACAGCCATTGTCTTCAATAGTATTCTGATATGAAAATACACAATGATTTTTTCTGACAGCTAGAATTAAACCTTTTAAATTATTTTTCCTTTTAGCATTTACCATACGCCCTTGTAACTGCAATCTACACACTTCCCATCATCACCGTGGAATCACAAGATGCACCGACGGTAGGTTTCGAAAATGGTGTTGAAGGTTTTGATGGATTTCTCAAAGCCAAGACCGGCTCGCTGTACCCGGAGAGAATGAACGGCGTCATTAACGACTTCTTCAGATGGGGCATCATCGAATAGCATAGACAATCTACCATAATACAATTACAGTTAACACAGCGCCATATAGCCCCAACTAAACAGATAATGTTATGGGTACTAGACAACTAATATAAGTACAAAGATACGGTTAGCGAAAATATTAACTTAAAAAAAAACAGAAATGTGTTGATGTAAGGAAAACTATATGAAAGTCCGTTCAATATAATTGAAATTATAGTGAAATCAGCGTGGAATCTATTTTTTTTTAAATATGTCGCGATGTTTATTATTCTTTAAATTTATAGATTACTAGCTGTTCCCTTGACTTCAACCGCGTGGAATTTAACTTTATTTTCCTAAAATAAAAGTAGCCTAAGTTACTCCTTATTACATCAGCTACCTACCAAAAATAGTCCCGTCAAAATCGGTCCAGCCATTTCAGAGATTAGCCGGAACAACAGACAGACAGACAAAAATTGTAAAAAATATTATTTTGGTGTATGTACCGTATTTATATTCATATGCATGTAGTAAAAAACGGTTATTTCAATATTACAAACAGACACTCCAATTTTATTTATATGTATAAATTACATCAGTATTCTAATCACAATAATATTTCCTATACAACTTAAAAACTAACCAATTTAAAACCTAAAACATACTGATAACGCTGAATGTGACTCCCACTCAGCACTTATACTGCAGTATATATTATTGTAACTCTGAATACATTGCTCTACCTAAATTATTTTTTTTATTATTTTGAGTATTTAATTGAATTAGTGCTAATTGGTAGTTTGCATTAAACTTAAAAAAGTAAAGTAAGAATAAAATTATTTAAAAGAGCAACACGCCAGTTTCCTTCTCTTCCTTCTTATGAATAGACAATGATTGAGCGGTAGATAAAAAAAAATGTCATGACTGTTCAAAAGTGCTTCAATGTAAGTTTATTTGAATAAATGATTTTCTATTCTATTACTATTTAATTAATTCTTTTTATTTCATTTATTTAATTTTGTGAAAAAATTTGGCATGCCAGATTCTGACACATCTCGATTGTCCATTTTGTGTAACTAATGTACCTAACTAACGTGTTTGCCTGCAAATAAATAATCCAAGTAAAGTTATATCAACCTGAGTAATTCAGTACTCGCAGATTAGATTACCCTTTTTTTTTAACGTGTGGAAAATCTTCAAAAGACCGTCACCCCGCCGGAGGGAGGGTGGGGTGGTGTGTGAGACTTGTACTTACCAAAAACCACACGGTGTACCTACGAGCGCCTATGCTGGAGCCAAAGGATTCGCATGTGCATATCCACCCCAGCTCCGACGGCGACGGCCCGCCCTGTAGATGTGGTAGGGCAAGCCCCATCTCGTTACGGTTAGGTCTATTTCGTCCTACTCCATTGTGGAGGCGTGTGGGTACACACGCTCACCTCCGGGGCCTTTGGATTGGGGGACTGCGTCCCTCAAGGCAGTCACCCCGACCCCAGTGGGGAATAAAAGGGGGCGGAGTTGGGTACGCCCCCACTTCTAGGCCTGGCTCTTCTGCGGCGGAGGGAAGCGGGAAGAGTCCACTCACGCTCTCTTACCGCCGCCTCCTTCCGCGAGATAACTTCCTCGCAGAAGGAGCTGACCGCCAGCCACGATCTCTCGCTACTCACCATCCTCCGAACTAAATTCGGCAGCGAGAGATCGTCGCCCACTATTCGTGTGAGGACACGGCGCTCACCCGCGTACGCTGGAGAATGGATTACCCTAACATTATAAAACCTACCCTTAATATTGTGAAGCATGCTGAGGGTTTCCAAGCAGTAAGGATTTATAACTCTTTGCCCAATAGTTTAAAGATAATACATAATTGAAAGCTTTTTGGGGAGAGGTTGCGTTGTTTGCTGTTGGAGCAATCTTTTTACAGTGTCGATGAATTTATTAGCGGCAAAAATTGTATAATTTCAAACACAATATCAATTGTTAATGAATAAATAAATATCAAAATATCAAATATCAGTTACATTGAATAGAATAGTAATAATAAACACTTTATTTTTTAATATAACAACTCAGTAGAAACAGTAAATAGAAAATTAATAACAAAAGGTATAAGCAATTTCTTACACACAACCTGCAAGATAACTAACGTCCATAGAAGAGGTCGATGGCACACACGAGACACTATAATTATTAAATGAATAAATATACATACATATAAATAAAAGAACTTACAAATATACATGCATATATACAACATATTGGAAGATTTCAGAGATAAATAGGAAAATTTTAGGTATAGAGACAGATAATGAGATCTTAGACGATTTTTAAATATTGCATGAGATTCGGAGGATCGAAAGGAAAGTGGTAAGTAGTAAGTAAGTTCCAAAGGCGATTGACATGGACAGTGAAAGATTAATTGAGTTGTATTAATACGTGGAGGAATGAGCTGGGATCGTCAAACAAAGGCTTCTGGTACTACGCAAAGCAGACCCTGGGGATTTAGTGTGAAATGAAAAAGTGCTTTTAGATATTCTGGAGTAGAAGGATAGAAAAGAGCGGTGTAAAGAAGGGATAGTATGTGAAAATTACTGTGAAGACGAATGGGAAGCCACTTGAGTTGATTGCGAAAATTGTAAATGTGGATGATCACATTTACAATTTTCGCAATCAACTCAAGTCAATTTCTATGGAAATGTTTCGGGGTCGCTCAAGTTTATTTAATTGTTCTTCAATTAGATTTAGCATAGCAGGAATCCGCATAATCTAGGATTAGAAGGGTCTCCGTAAGTTCATACTTACGGAGACCAAATATGAATCGTATGGAAATGTTTCGGAGTCGCTCAAGTTTATTTAATTGTTCTTCAATTAGATTTAGCATAGCAGGAATCCGCATAATCTAGGATTAGAAGGGTCTCCGTAAGTTCATACTTACGGAGACCAAATATGAATCGTATGGAAATGTTTCGGAGTCCCTCAAGTTTATTTAATTGTTCTTTAATTAGATTTAGAATCCTCATAATCTAAGATTAGCAGTAATAAGGAATGTGTAAGCGCAGTTTTGGTATCCACTGGCAGGAAGTTCCGTAACCTATTTGTTACGGACTGTATTAAGGCTGGTTTAAAATGAGACACGTTCCTAGGTGAGGTAAAATAAGTGTAATCAGCTCGCTAGCAAAAATATAAAGACAATATGGCATAGGAAAACAAACGGTATACAAAAACAGAACGTCAAAATATAAAATTCAAATATATATATAAATCATAAAAACTATCAAAAAGGTTGCCATGAGCTGTTGCTATTATGTAATCATTGCAAACATTTTTCGATTCAACTGTGAAATTTATTGCGACAGACAGATTTTCATCAAGATGTTTTCCAAGATTTTTGACTTGAACGGAATATGTGTAATTCTAATTCAAATTACAAATTCAAATTCAAAAATCATTTATTCATGTAGGACATTTTAGCAGCTTATGAACGTCAAGTTTTTACATTATAATTTTTTTTCCCTACCGTCCAGTTCGGTATATAGATCCAATTGAGATGAACTGGCAAGAAACTCAATTATATTACTTTTTTTTAAATTCCAGTTTATTTACAATGCATAGGTATTTATATAGGTGTCTATGTCTAACATTAAATGAAAATCCCGAACATAGTTTTCATGTTCGGGATTGCCATGCACGCTCGTCATTCAAGTAATCGTTTAGTGAGTAATAGGCCTTGCTCAGTAAATATGATTTAACAGATGTTTTGAATTTATTTAAGGGTAATTCCAATATATCCTTTGGTATCTTATTGCAAAATCGTATACCTATTCCCATAAAAGACCTATTGACTTTTTCTAAACGATACTTGGGGACAATTGGGGATAATGAATTATAAAAATATAGAATCGATTAATAAAAAGTGCCACAGTTAGCAGCAACACTATTGAATCATGTTAGTAATATTTAATCATCATGATGTACATACACATTCCGTTACTGAAAGACTGCACAATCTATATATTATAAAGTTATCATTGTAATCACTTCAATATCTAAATAGTTCACATTGTAATATTGCAATTTATCATTAATATGTATTTTAAAAATATCATAATAATATAATCTACAGACCTACTTGACAACATATTACCATAGATAAAAAAGAAATAAAAAAGAGACATCATGGTAATATTGTAATAGCAAATATACTTTGAATACATATAAATAAAATAAATAACTCTGAACAATTAAGACTTTGGCATCTTCTTATGGCAAACAGAGCTTGTGTTATGGGTACTAAATAACTGATACAGATTCTTAGATTTTTTGTAAATACATACATAATATACATAGAGAACACCCAGAACTATACAAACAATCATAATAATGAATAGAACAGTAATAAATAAACAAAAGTCTGCACCGAGCGAAGAATCGCACCCACGACCATCCGACGGAAAGCGGTATGCTGAACAGCTAAACAGGTCGTCAAATGTATATGTTCTGCGGGGATCGAACCTGCCATCATGAAAATATAAGGTATTGTGATAAACTGTTAGACTACCAATATCGTAATGACAATTAATAAAATTAAAAGATACATACGAATAGAATAATCTGTTTTTATATGTATTAAAATCAAAATGATAAATTCGATAAAATATTATCTACTGTATAAAAAGATAGATACACGAATATCTGCTAGTCACAACGCTATTACAAACACTGCGGCTATGGAAAGTTTACGGAATTTGTTGGAGGAGATCGCGAAAAAGAACGAATATGGAAGACCCAATATAGCTATCAACCCTGTATCTACAGGAGGTGGTAACTTCTCATCAGAATTATTTACGGTAATTGTATCTGAATCTGACAAGGAAGACCTACATTTGTTCGCTAAGATTGCCATCGCTGGTGAAATGGTGCGTTCGCAAATGCCAGTGGACATATTCATGATGGAGAGACTATTTTACCTAGACCTTTTAAAAAAGTTCCAAGACATAGAAACTGCACATAATGTACCAAAGGAAAAGAGATTACCTGTGCCCAAATACTACGGCAGCCACACGAAACTGTATGAAGAATCTATAGTTCTAGAAAATCTTGCAGAAAAAGGATTCATCACGTATGACAGATTTAAGTCAATAGATTGGGAGTACGCTGCGAAAGCCGTGGAGTCGTTAGCTAAATTCCATGCTTTGTCTATGGCATACCGCGAAAAGAACCGAAGAGAATTCAGAGAATTTGTAGAAAAGACGCAATTTGAAAAGGAAATGTTAATAAATATGATGAGCCATATGTTTGAACAACGTAAAATTACTACATTAGCTGTCACGACGGAGAAGCATAAAAGTAAATTGCAGAAATATTTAGACACTCAAATAAATGTAAAAGCCCTTCTTGACCTATTTGTATCGACTCAACGACCAGTTCTTAATCATGGAGATTATAGAACGAGCAATTTAATGCATAGATACAATGAGGTACGTATATGATTTTTACTTATTTCAGCTTTTCTACAAATAGTAATACCAGTTAGTACTCATTATATGTTGATATGATACACCAGTGTCTGATCTTATGTACGTGCGGAAATTCAGTAGTTCTTATTAGTGATATTTAATAATATAACTAAATATGTTTATATTATTATTTGGACAAACTCAGTCCAAGAGTTGTGACTTGTAAACTGATTGAATTAATTATACACAAAATTTTTTAATGTTGTTTAGGACTACACTAGTGGGAACTTCACGGACTAGGTGAAGCCATTTCTGAGATTAGCGCTTATAAATTTCAATTTAAATAAAATCCAGAAAAACAGTCAAAAAATCTAATTTCGACTTTCATTTTGTTGACAAAGTAATAATAGTTTTTTTCATATATGATGACTTTTTTGTAAATTTGTGTCGATCTGGGTCGACACAAACCAAACATACTCATGAAAATATTTGTGCCCTGCACAAAATCGAAAGTAAAGCGCTGTGCTAAACCACTACACTACCGAGGTCAGCAATCTAAGAAGTTCATCTGTATCCATTTAAACCTAGTTCGATATCGTTCGTATTCGTTAGTTTTATAAAAAAGTTGTCTATTTCAGGACGGTACCCTTGAAGTGATGCCCGTAGATTTTCAAACAATGATATATATGTCTCCGCTATACGATCTCTTATACTTCATATTCTTGGGAACCGATGAGAAATTCCGGCGACAGCATTTTCAAGATCTCACCGACTACTATCACCAAGAATTGAGCAACGCTCTGCGTTCTCTGAAACTAAATCCTGATGCCATTTATCCAAAGACTGCCTTCGAACTTGAACTGAAAGAGGTACTGTATATTTCCTCGTACATCATTAGTATTGGAAATAGAAATAATCTTCATTCAAATAAACTTAATACAAGTACTTTTAATAGAATAGTCATATCATATATCTTTTAATTCACCGCTCAATCGGTAAGAAGACTCATCACAAGAAGAATGAGTAAGAAACTTGCGTGTTGCTCTTTCAAATAAATCTTGTTCAACATTTTTTTAAAAGAGCTTTATATTTTTTTTATGAAAAATGGAATGTAAGATACTATTAATAGCCACATGAATACATTACTCCATTTATTGATTCTTAAGTAGACAGAATATTTGATTATTAAAAAGAGGTGGTGTTTTGATATCAATATTAATATCAAAGATATCCTGAGTGGGACTATGAGAAATATTTCACATTAAACTTGAAATATAAGAGATATATTACAGAGGACAGAGGCTATCTTTTCGCTTAAAGGGCAGAGAAATTACAGTGCACATAGGCATAACACCTTAGTTCTCTGGAATGGCAATACATGATAGTCGAGGATTGAGGTGTTGTTTATGTAAATAGACAACGCTTACCATCTGATGTGCTGTCAGTTTGCCTTTTTTTTACTATACTCGTATAATGCCACGTAATCTTTTTAAAATGTCTGGTACCTATATTTCTTGATGTTCATTTATATTTTATCGAATTAGTCCATTTCACTAGTTTACAATTAACTATTACAGTATTTTGTTTAATTCCCCTACAATTACCATGTGTAAAATCACAAATATTCAGTGTCTCGGATACTTGGCTACCGTTACGATCTTTTCTCTATTGGGAAATTCCGATCGTTATTGAGTCTAATCCATATTGCGACACGTGTTTCGCCTCTGAACGAGACATCATCAGGCATTGAATAGAGTTCAGATATACCTTGGAAGCCTAACTTAATTCTATCTAATCGTTTTTATTACAGATGTTACCTTACGGCCTAGTAATTGCTATCAATGGTCTACCTATAATCACCGTTGAGACAGAAGATGCTCCCACCATGCAAGGCGACGACAATACTTATGAACAGTTTGGGAACACTAAAACTGGGTCCTTGTATCCAGAGAGAATGAACGGAGTCATCAATGATTTCTTCAGATGGGGCATCATTGAGTAAATAACTGCTAACTTCAATCATAGCTGTAATTCTAAAATTAAAAAAGAGTAATTCAATTTCACAGTTTTTTTTTCTCAAATATAGTCGTAATAATAACAATTAGTAATTTGTACTCCTTCTTTATATAAACTAGGTTTGTTACCAGTATGTTGTTTACGCACCATGTCACATTTTAAGCGGAGAGCGTTTATTCTTAATAACTCTGCCATTAAAATCAAATTATTTTCCATAGCGCGTGTATATTTTCCGCCATGCTGAGTCTATGGCAACCTTATCATCGACCTCAAGGACATGACTGAGCCGTTTCGCAGGAGTATCGTTACAAAGAGTACAAATCTGATTTTTTCGCTCCGCATTTCGCAATCCGCTCAACTATAAACATTAATTCGAAAGTTTCTAGTACCCATAACAGTAGATATTGGTCGCTGACCAATAGCGGACGAGGAGTACTAAATTTCGGACACTTAAGTTTATATAGAGGAGTGCAGACTGCTAATATTATCTAATTAAAAATTAATTAAATTGATAAAAACATCACACATCATGTATTTTATTATACACCCATATGTACTCTTTTGTTTATTGTTAAAGTCTGAGGTCAATTTAAGAACTTGAGAAGTTAATATTATTTGTATATAATTAGGGTCCAAATTCGACCATAATTCATTATATTCTTTAGTGCACAGATGATATTATGATTTAACCTTTAAAAGCAAAGGTGGACTTATCCCTAAAATAGATCTCTTCCAGTCACCTTAAAAAAGTGGCATAGGTGGTACAGAATGGGTAATAACTGATGCAAAAAAAATGACAAATGCCACTGAACAAAATACAAATAACAAATTAATTCAACATTCAAATATATACATTAAGTAATAAAATTTCCGCAAATTAACACAAATAATATAATAATACGTCCCCACTATACACGCGGATTATTTTTTTTTTAACATTATTTGGCAACTTAACCCTAGATAGCCATTATTGAACTGTTTCCAATTAAAATACCCGAGTTACGGTGATTATATCATTAATTATGATTGATATAAATAAACATATATCATGCATCGTCATAATGAGTTGAAAAAAATTGATATGCATATTTTTTAGATATGGCCAACGATTTCTTGAGTAGGATACACATAAATCATACCTTGCAATTGTGAATACTTTTTACAATGGATTTTAAATTAATTTTAATTGCGAATTAAAAATATACATTCCTTGACTCTCTCTCAAATATGGCTTCATTACATAGTATAAAACAAAGACGCTTTCGCTGTCTGTCTGTTTTATACTATGTAATCATGATGATTGTGATTAAGATGTAATTACAAACGTACACGCGTACAAAGTTGCGGAGTAATATTATCTAATACATTCCAATACAACATATATATACTTAAAATAGTTACAATATCTGCAGTTACAGAAAATAATTTCCGAGGGCTTATAGGTAGACAGTAATTATAACAATAATTCTAATCTATACATTTCTTTAAATGATTTTAAATCAATCCACACTGATAAGCTAGATAAAACATTATCTTCTTAACATAAATATGTGTACTCACACAAAATTCTGTCAGTCTATAAAGCGTCTGATAACTGTAAGAATATAAAACAAGATGGCAATGGAAAGTTTACGTAAAGTAGTAGAAGATATCGCCAAAGAGAATGGATTTGGAAAACCCGAAATAGTTATAAACCCAATATCTACTGGTGGTGCAAATTATTCCTCAGAGCTATTCACAATCGTTGTTTCGGAGGATGCCAAGGAAACACTACATCTGTTCTCGAAAATTATTATAATTAATGAGACTATACGCGCGCAAATGCCACCTGCGATTTTTGACGTCGAGAGGTTAATTTACGTTGATCTTTTAAAGAAATACGAAGACATAGAAATCTCACATAATGTACCACCTGAAAAGAGATTAGTCGTGCCTAAATACTACGGTTGTAACACAAAGAAATTTGAAGAATCCGTTGTTCTTGAAAATCTAGCAGAAAAAGGTTTCATCACTTACGACAGATTCAAGTCAGTAGATTGGGAGTACGCTGCCAAAGCCGTGAAGTCACTAGCCAAATTTCACGCCCTATCTATGGCATATAGCGAAGAATATCCACAAGAATTTGAAGAATTTGTAAAAAAGATGGATTTTCAAAAAGAAATGTTTTTAGGAATGTTCCACCAGTTCTATGAACAGCGTATAGAAACTACTTTATCGGTGACAACAGAGGAACGTAAAAGTAAACTGAAAAAATATCTGGATACACATATAAGTGTAGAAACTATAATGAAGCTTAGCGAGTCTTCTCAACGAATAGTTCTGAGCCACGGAGACTACAGACCTAGCAACTTAATGCACAAATATAATGAGGTATGTACAACTACTAATAGTGATATACTAGTGGTCCGCACTAACTTCATCCTAGTGCTCATAATTTTTGCACAAAATATAGCTTTCGTCACATATCCTCTCATCTGCGAAGGAGCCAATGATTAGACTCGGACAGTGTAGCCCCATCTGTGAGAAGTTCTGTAATTGGTCTCACAGATCGGGCGCTAATATCATTTTAATAGCTAGTGGTTGAAAGGTTAAGAATAATGTAACCTTAAACAGTGAAGGAATTTCTAAAATTGGTATATTTGATCAGGAGTTTAATTCAGCAAAATTAAGTAACGAATTTTATGGTGCGGATAAGAGTTGTAATGTAAATTATATAAATATTATAAAGAGAGTACTTCCAAATACAATGTCAACAGAAAATGTATTTAGGTACATATTTCCTACTATTATTTATTATTTTATGTTGTAATAGGCTTTGTTATGAACTAGTCTTTTCAACAATTTAACTAAATTTATTTTCTTATTTTATATGTATATGAGGCCCGTAGCTACTGTTACTACTGTTTGGTTATTTTTATAATATGATGAGAAACAAAAGCACTGTACACTGTTCTTAGGGTCCCTAAAATATAATCGAGCGCAGTGATGGTTGGTTCATTGGACATACTTGTCAACAAGTGCTGCTAGTAGAGACTGGTCTGCTCTAATCACTACGACTGATTTAACATTATTTAGTGGCTTAACCAGTTGCTTGTGTATAATTAATATTTTGACTCAAATTTATTAGTGCTAGATAGTAGTTTGTATTTACATATTACAACTTGAAAATGTGTTGTTACAATAATTATTTGAAAGAGCAACACGTAAGTTTATTGCTCGTTCTTCTTGTGGTGAGACAGATTTCAGATAGGTTGACTATTCTAAAGTTCTTTTAAATTTCAGTTGGCTTGAATTCTATAGCCGTAGGCGTACGCTTGTTTTATAGAAAATATTTGTTTCAGGACGGCACTCTTCAAGTGATACCAGTTGATTTCCAAACTATACAGTATACATCACCACTGTTCGATCTTTTGTACTTCATATTCACGGGATCTGACGAGAAGTTCAGGCGACAGCATTTCCAGGATCTCACCGACCATTACCACCAGGAGTTGAGCAGTGCCCTGCGCTATCTAGGGCTTAATCCTGATATCATTTATCCAAAGAGGACCTACGAGTATGAGCTAAAAGAGGTACAGCAATTGTTCTTGGTATACAATTGAAATATATATTGTTTTTTGTTATTGGTGACAACAAAATAAGCAACTGTCATTTATAGACCGGAAGAATACCTAGATTACCCGAGTTCAGTTACTCTGTTTACTGTGAATTTATTTATTTAAAACTAGCTCACCCCGCAAACGTTGTTTTGCCATATAAATTATAATCGCTTTTACAAAAATTAGGATTTAGGCTACAACGGCGAAAATTTAGCGTTGTATGCCTTTTTGAATGCTAAATCATAATAAAACTATAAACCTTCCTCTTGAATCTGTCTATTTTTTAAAAACTGCATTAAAATTCCTAAAGAATATAAGTACTTTCCTAAAAAATATAGTTACCTATAGATAAGTAACCTCTATAGATAGATATTCATTAGATGAATTACTTTTGTTTCAGTTGTTACCATACGGCCTCTTCGTTGCTATCGTCGGCCTTCCTATTATCACCGTGGAGCTAGAAGATGCTCCGTCCATGCAAGGAGAAGGTGGTTTCGAAAACATGACGAGTTCTAAAACCGGTCCATTGTATCCAGAGAGAATGAACGGCGTCATCAACGATTTCTTCAGATGGGGCATCATTGAATAGAATATCTTCTTCTTTATGCCCCGTCTCCTACTGGAGGTTGACGATCATTCTGGTGATCCTAATTTTGTCCACCGCTGTTCTGAACAAGGATCTGGTGCTAATCCCAAACCACTGCCTTAAATTCTTTAGCCATGAAGCACGGCGCCTACCTGGTCTTTGACGGCTCTGGATTTTTCCTTGAATGATTAATTGTAAAAGACTATATTCTTCATTGCACATTATTATGTAGCGCAGTAACTTTCTACGTTTTATGGTATCCAAAGATAAAGTAATATGTAGGAGTTTAGACTCATTGACTTTTTTAAACGATACTTAGGAAAAGCAAGTTGTCTTTAAAGCTATTAATATTATGATCATAATATACATAGATTATCCATAGAAATTGAAAAGCTCTGTTTTTTTTTTGAGTACTCTAATGCTGTTGGCCGTTGGCCTTTAAAGCTTTACCAGCTTCACCAGACGACGAGCGAGCGTAGAGGCACTCCAAACTCGCGGAGGGCCAACTCCCGTCTGACGGCTACGACTTTAGTCAGAAGACACCGCTTAGGGTTCGAACCTCGACTAAGGCCGTCGTAACTTCGATAATCATTGAATTGGACGAGGGATCGATCGGAGGGCAGAAGCTCTGTGTCTACGCATCACCACTATGGATTGCAGAAACGGGGCAAGCACGTCGACCACTGCTGCAAGATGTCAATGTTTGTTTTTTGTTCAATGCACAATATTATCTATTAGTTTATTTTAAAGCTATTGTTAAAGAACTATTTGCTACCAGCTGTGCATATATCAATATAAAATATAGCCTATGTGTTGTTCTATTGCATAAGCTACAATTACTGTAATAATAAATTATTTTTTTTCTATTCTATTCTACCCCATTTTTAGGCAAATTGCGCGGAGGGAGTAGTATGATGTTTCAAACACTTAAGTTTATATAGAGACTAACTGTCCCGGCAAACGTTGTATTGCCTTAAAATAAAAAAAAAATTGGGGTGGACTACCCCTAACATTTAGGGGGATGAAAAATAGATGTTGGCCGATTTCTCATGAAATTTTGTGAGCGTATTGAGTAGGTCTGAGCCTACTCAATACGCTCACAAAATTTCCTGAGAATCGGTCAAGCCGTTTCGGGGGAGTGTGGGAACGAAAACTGTGACACGAGAATTTTAAATATAAGAAAAAGTACAGAATACTAATATTTTTGTAATATTATGCAATTAAAAATGTATTAAAGTAGTAAATTAATAAAAACCATTCCACACATTACCATGTATTTTATTACACGTCCATGCCCATGCGCATCCACGCCATGTATTTTGTTTATTATTAAAGTATGTGGTCAAATTGAGAAGTTGAGAAGTTAATAGTTTTATTTTTAATAGTACTTATTAGTATAGTTAATAGTTTTATTTTTAATAGTAATTCAATATTTAGTAAGAATAACTTACTAAATATTGAATTAACTATAGTCGATTTTTTACCATTACTTCAAACAAATACATTAAATAATGAAATAGACTTCCGTAAAATAACATTCAATTCGACAAAATATACAATAATACTTATCTACAATATATGCGGATCATTTTATGTTACACTTTATTTGGCAACCTTAACCTTAGATAGTCAGTGTTGAACTGTTTCCAATTATAAATACCCGAGTCATGGTGATTCTATCATTAATCGTAATATGATTATTAGTTTCTAGGATTGACATAAATAAACATATATAATGAGTTAAAAAATCATTTAAATAAGCATATTTTTAGACATACATTGAGATTTCTCTCAAATCTTCTGACCTTTCAATTATAAATACGTCTTACAATGGATGTTAAATTAATTTTAATTACAAAGTAAATTTATATATGTGTCAATGTTTAACATTAAATTAAACCCCTTTGCATAAACTACTATTGCCATGCATACATTGTTCAAATATAAATATCAAACACTACAAAAGTAAACACGTACAAAGTAACGGGGCAATAATATAAAATATATACCTACATACAAACAACTGTGGTAAGCTATTTAAAATAGTTACAATATTTGCAGTTACAGAAAATAATTTCCTGAGTCTTATAGACAGTAATTATAACAATAATCCTAACCTTTACGTTTCTTTCAATGATTTAAAATCAAGTCACACCGATAAGCCAGATAAAACATTATCTTCTTAACATAAATATGTGAACTCACACAAATTTCTGTCAGTTTATAAAGCGTCTGATAACTGTAAGAACATAAAACAATACGGCCATGGAAAGTTTACGTAAACTAGTAGAAGATATCGCCAAAGAGAATGGATTTGGAAAACCCGAAATAGCTATAAACCCAATATCTACTGGTGGTGCTAATTATTCCTCAGAGCTATTCACAATCGTTGTTTCGGAGGATGCCAAGGAAACACTACATCTGTTCTCGAAAATTATTACAGTTAATGAGACTACACGCGCGCAAATGCCACCTGCGATTTTTGACGTCGAGAGTTTAATTTACGTTGATCTTTTAAAGAAATACGAAGACATAGAAATCTCACATAATGTGCCACCTGAAAAGAGATTAGTCGTACCTAAATACTACGGTTGCAACACAAAGAAATTTGAAGAAACCGTTGTTCTTGAAAATCTAGCGGAAAAAGGTTTCGTCACTTACGACAGATTCAAGTCAGTAGATTGGGAGTACGCTGCGAAGGCCGTGGAGTCACTAGCTAAATTGCACGCCCTATCTATAGCGTATAGCGAAGAAAATCCACAAGAATTTGAAGAATTTGTAAAAAAGATGGATTTTCAAAAAGAAATCAAAAGTGAATTTCAAAAGTCCTTAAATTAAGGTTATTTGAATAAATGATTTTCTATTCTATACTCTATTCTAATTGTTTTAGGAATTATCTACCAGTTCTATGAACAGCGAATAGAGACTACTTTATCGGTGACAACAGGGGAACATAAAAGTAAACTGAAAAAATATCTGGATACACATATAAATGTAGAATTTATAGTCAAGCTTAGTGAGTCTTCTCAGCGATCAGTTTTGAGCCATGGAGACTACAGACCTAGCAACTTAATGCACAAATACAATGAGGTATGTACAACTACTAATGGTGATATACTAGTGGTCCACACTAACTTCATCCTAGTGCTCATAATTTTTGCGCAATATGTAGCTTTTGTCACTTATCCTCTTATCTGCGAAGGAGCCCATTATTAGACTCGGATACTATAGTCCCAACTGTGAGAAGTCCTGTAATTAGTCTCACAGATCGTGCGTTAATGTCTTTTTAACAGCTAGTGGTTGAAAGGTTAAGAATAATGTAACCTTAAACAGAGAAGGAATTTCTAAAATTGGTGTTGTTGATCAGGAGTTTAATTCAGCAAAATTAAGTAACGAATTTTATGGTGCGGATAAGAGTTGTAATGTAAACTATATAATTATTATAAAGAGAGTAATTCCAAATACAATGTCAACAGAAAATTTATTTAGATACATATATCCCATTTTATTTATTCTTTATATATGCTAATATCGCACATAATTACATAATACAAAACTTACACATGTACTTTTTGAGGTATAGCAACATAAATGCGAGACGTACAAGGCACACTTGAGTATTGTATCTTCCAGATGTTATTTAATACTGTAATAGGCTTTGTTTTGAAATAATGTTTTCAACAATTTAACATATGTACAAAATTTATTTTCTTATTTTATATATGAAGACAGAATTTGCTATATATTGAAAGGGACATTGGGTAAGGCCAGGAGCTATGGAGCACTAGATTGGATATCAGTTTTTTTTAAAAAGGTGACAAGAAACAAAAGCTAAATGCATTGGTCGTAGGGTCCCTGATATATGGTCGAGAGCAGTGATGGCTGGCTAATCCGACATACTCGTGAACAACTTGTGCTGCTAATAGGGACTGGTCTGCTCTAATCACTGCGACTGGATCAATATTATTTAGTTACTTAACCAGTTGATTGTGTATTTAATATTTTGACTCAAATTAATTAGTTTGTATTCACACATTTGAACTTTTTAATTTAATAATTATTTGTCTGGGTGTTTGCTATGTATAATATGTATATATCTAGTACCCGTAACACAAGCTTTAGCTAGCTTAACTTGGGACTAGATGGCGCTGTATAAATTGTTCTGAGATTTTTTAAAAGAATAACACGAGCACGAAACTTATTCTTGCTCGTTCTTCTTATGATGAGACAGATTTCCGAATGAGGGGTAGATTAAAAAAAATTGACTATTCTAAAGTGCGTAAATTTAAGTTTATTTGAATAGCAATAGCAAGCATTTTCTATTCTCTTCTATACACCACATGTAAGATAATATTACACAGTGGTACGCTTGTTTCTCTGCTATATTTTTTATAAAAAACGTCTGTTTCAGGACGGCACGCTACAAGTGATACCAGTTGATTTCCAGACGATACAGTATTCATCTCCACTGTTTGATCTTCTATACTTCATATTCACGGGATCTGACGAGGACTTCAGACGACAGCATTTCCAGAACCTCACAGACCATTACTACCAGGAGTTCAGCAGCGCCCTGCGCTATCTAGGGCTTAATCCTGACATCATTTATCCAAAGAGGACCTACGAGTATGAGCTAAAAGAGGTAAATATACATTGTAAATGAACTGGCTTTTAAAAAAAAGTAATTCAATTGAATTTCTTGCTAGTTCTTCTCAATTAGATCTATATACTGAACTGGACGGTTGGGAAAATATTATAATATAAAAAAAAATATGTTCATGAGCGGCTAAAATGTCCTACATGAATAAATGATTTTTTAATTTGAATTATATTTGTAATTAGCAATTATTCTTAGAACACAATTGAAATTATTTTATATTCTAGGTGACAACGAACAAATAGTACAGTATAATATAGTATAATATTACTGTGAAAGATGTTCATAATTGGTTTAAGATCATTATAGACCCTGTTAGGGCACATAAACATAATAAAATTATTATTACATATAATTTAATATTATTCACAGATTTACCTATTATGATAAGACTTTAATTAAATACTATAAATCTATACATATAAATAAAATTGCAGTGTCGGTTTGTAATATTGAAATAAACATTTTTTACTACCTGCATATGAATGTAAACATGGTACATACACTAAAATAACACTTTTTACAATTTTTGTCTGTCTGTCTGTTTGTTCCGGCTAATCTCTGAAATGGCTAGACCGATTTTGGCTGGTGTTTTCTTGGCAGGTAGCTGATGTAATAAGGAGTAACTTAGGCTACTTTTATTTAAAAAATAACTTTAATTTTATATTTATTTTAGATAAATAAAGTTAAATTCCACGCGAACGATGCTGCGGGAACAGCTAGTATTGCATAAAAACTAATTTACTATTCTTCTAATACCAAATACATATTCACCAAATTTATACATAAGTGTTAAATTACATAGACATGTACAATCTTATTAGAGCCAACTTTGTATTCTGTTTTCAATTTGACTCGGACATTGTTTATACGTATAATTAGTAAAAATCATGGGATCTTACTACCTTTTATATTTATTTGCTGAGTTCCCCGTGATCATGGTGGTTGGAACGCTACCGAAATATCGGGACCTCAGCAAATAAATATAAAACGTGGTAATCCCGTGATTTTTACTAATTATACATATAACTTTGTATTCTTTTTATATTGTTGTTTTGCTATATAAATTAATATCACTAAAAAATAGGGGTTGATTGTAGAAGTAAAATTTAGGGTAAAAATACATATAGTATTTTTATTTATGTATATTAAAAATCCCTGTATCGTTATATTGGGGCGTGTTCTATTTATACTGTAGCCTAAGGTCTAACTTGGCTAGTTTTCATATACGAAATATACTGTAGCCTTCGCAAGTTCTAATCATTTACAACAGTTACTTGTTGGTTCCTATTTTATTATTAGTAGTAACTAGCAATCGAAAGTAAAAATTAGTAAAAATATGAGAACTGGCCAAGTTAGACCTTAGGCTACAGTATATTATCCTAAGTTATAAGAAGAAATGATATTTTATATTGTTATAAATACATTTCAGGACATACCATTGAACTTGGCACCCATTTAGATCTCACCTCTTTTGTCGTAAGTCAACAATCAAGGCATATATCATAATATTAAACTCGGCTATCATTTCACATTTATGTTTTTGATGGGATATTACTCACATGAACTACTTTTGTTCCAGATTTTACCATACGGCCTCTTCATTGCTATCGTAATCCTTCCTATTATCACTGTGGAGGTAGAAGATGCTCCGTCCATGCAAGGAGAAGGTGGCTTCGAGAACATGACGAAATCTAAAACAGGTCCATTGTATCCAGAGAGAATGAATGGCGTCATCAACGATTTCTTCAAATGGGGCATCATCGAATAAATAATAATAAATAAATAAATAATCTCAGGACAATTCACACAGTGCCATCTAGACCCAAATTAAGCTACCTAAAGCTTGTGTTATAGGTACTAGACAACTGATACAAATACATAGATATGTTTTTTTTCGTAAACACTTTTATACATAGAAAATACCCAGACCGATACAAACAATCATACTCATGAATACAAATGTTTGTGCCGTGCGAGGAATCGAACCCGCGACCATCGGAAGTAAGGCGGTGTGCTAAACAGCTAGACCACCGAGGCCGTCAAGAATAGAAATTGATTTTTCTAAACAATACTTAGAAACAGCAAGTGTCTGTCTTTAAATCTAGTATTAATATTATTATCATAATATACGAATAACATAAGAATTATGTGTTTTATGTGTTTATTAATGTCTTTTGTCAATTTAAGTATTTTTTCCCTATTCATATGGTCTATCCACCTTCATAGACTTAACAGTGGTCTCAACATTTTTAATTTTATTTTGGAATTTTACTTTGGAGAGAGGATAGAGATGGTTTTGTACATCTCTCTCCCATATTCCAGTATCCCATATGTGGTTTCTTGTGTTTCGTCCATTTCTGCCTCCAGTTTGTGTCTTTTTTTCGGAGTACTCTAATGCTGTTGGCCGCAGCTGGCCTTTACAGCTTCACCGAACGATAGGGGGCGAGTGCCATCAGCACTCGACACGGCACAGACACAAAAATAATTAGGATTTTTTAAATTTAAATAGCACATATCCTTTCAAATACATTTAGTGAAAAGCAGTTAATTTGAAATTACATTAATTACTATGTACGGTACCTTAAATCACAGATACTACTTGAATATAATAAAACTATTTAAGATTAAATACGTTATCTAAAATAGAATAGAAAATCATTTATTCAAATAAACTTAATTTAAGCACTTTTGAATAGTCAACATTTTTTTAAATCTACCGCTTATTCGGAAAGCTGTCTCATCACAAGAAGAATAAGCAAGAAACTTGTGTGTTGCTCTTTTAAACAATCCTTGTAAGTTCACATTTTACAAGTCGAAACGTATGAATACAAACTACCAACCAGCACTAATTTATTTAGGCTCAAATATAAATTAAATCTAATATTATAGCTTCATGTAAAAAAATCCTTTGGTATTTAATCAACATGCTAAAACTGTAGGTCATCACTAATCTAGTAAATATCAATAAAGTGAATGTAAATCAAATCACATTGATAAATTTGATAAAATATTATCTGTTTAATACAATAAGGAAAATGTACAGAAATTTCTGTCAGTCTAATAAAAAATATTTGATAACTACCACGTACCAATAAGACAAAATGGCAATAGAAAGTTTATATGGAGTGGTAGAGGATATTGCTAAAGATAACAATTTTGAAAATCCCAATATAGCTATAAAGCCAATATCATCTGGTGGTGCCAATTATTCATCATTGTTGTACAATATCACAATATCAGAGTCTGGCAAGGAAGATCTTCGTTTGTTCGCCAAGACTTTGGCTGTGAAGGAGGCTATTCGTAAACAATTGCCAGCTGGTATTTGCGATGTTGAGAGATCGATCTACGTTGAACTTTTAAAAAAATATGAAGACATAGAAATCGCACACAATGTGCCGTCAGATAAGAGATTACTCGTGTCTAAATACTACGGTTGCAATACAAAACTATTTGAAGAAACCGTCATTCTTGAAGATCTAAGTGCGAAAGGTTATACCACGTACGACAGATTTAAGTCAATAGACTGGGACTATACAGCAAAAGCCATGGAGTCTTTGGCAAAATTTCATGCCTTATCAATAGCATTCAGCGAAGAGAACCCACAAGAGTATAAGGAGTTTGTAGAAAAGATGGAATTTCAAAGAGAATTGTTTACGGGAATGATGTACCAGTTCTATGAACAACGAATAGAGACAACTTTATCTGTAATCACAGAGAATCATAAAAATAAACTGAAGGAATATCTGGAAACTCATATAAATTTAGAATCAATAATCAAACTTTGTAAATCTTCAGAACGACCCGTTCTCTGCCACGGAGATTACAGACCGAGTAACTTACTGCACAGATATAAAGAGGTATGTAGGAATCTTAAATAATAGAACTTAAATCCATGTTATGGTTTAATATCCTAATTTCCACCCAGAAGGTCCACAACCCATGATTCTAACCAATTTGACATCAAAAATTTGTCGGCGTGCTCGCCGCCTGCCAATTAAATTCAAATATACCAGAGAAATAGTCAATTACTCTGCTCACTATGATGTCGACAATTGTCAATGGCCCTGCTTACCCCCTGAAGTAACAATCGTAAAGGTATATTATTTATTTATAATATATAGACTAATATAAAAACTATTGTTTCAGGACGGCACTCTTGAGATTATACCTGTAGATTTTCAAAATGTGCAATGTAATTCACCAATAACAGACTTGATTTACTTCGTCCTAATGGGATCTGATGAGAACTTCAGGCGGGAACACTACGAAAACCTTACCAAACACTATTACCAAGAAATGTGCAATGCTCTACGTTTTCTAAAACTTGATCCTGATGTAGTATATCCAAAGAGTGTCTTCGATCATGATTTAAAAAAGGTATGACCGTATATCTCATGCTCCTCAAATTTCAAACGTCATCATATTTTCATTTATATTTACATATATACATTTACATATATGTATATTTATACATTTTATAAATAATTCGACACCTTGGTCTAACATGTATATTCGCTTCTCTCCTTAACTTGAGTATGTCTGGAAGATATTGCTCATTGTTACATTCTTTATCTTTATTTGCTTATCAATTGTAATAGTGTTTTTTTTATATTAGTATTGTCCATATTTTGTATTTTCTATGAGAATTTATTAATACTTCTTTAAGATTTCATTTTTACTTTTAAATTCATCGCAACTATTTTAAATAAACGTAATAATTTCAGAACTAAATATGTAATTTCAAAATATCAGCCTAAGTAAAAACTTTTATATTTTTTTTTAATAAATGATAATAGAATGCACACCATTCTAACACTAGTAAAGTAAAGCGCTAACGGTTTACGCTAGCAAGGTAGAGGATGATAAGATATATATGAGATCAGGTTAGTCACCCATCGTGACAAATTCACCAGGAATTTATTTTGATGGTTTCCAGGTGAAATCTACTGGAGGCTAAACCGACATGGCATTAGTTACAATGGTAACGATAAAGCAATGGTTAACATTACTAACAATCCTCTTCCTCTCAAACCCTTTATAGACACTCTAACTTCTAATTACTAATTCAATTGCTTTCGTTTTAGTTTTTACCACACGGCCTATTCATGGCCATTTTTGGTTTACCCATTATCACTGTGGAGGAAGAAGATGCTCCGTCGGTTCAAGGGGGAAATGCCATTGAAAACTTTACACGATCTAAGACTGGCGCGTTGTATCCAGAAAGGATCAACGGTGTCATTAATGATTTCATCAGATGGGGCATCATTGAATAGAAAAAATTGCTTATTAAAAACTAACGTGTGATTTATTAAACATGGGCCTTGACGGTCTAGTGGTTTAGCTCACTGCTTTACTTCTGATGGTGGTGGCTTCGGATCGGTACAAACATTTCTATTCATAAGTATCTTGTTTGTACTAGCCTCTTCCCTATCTATATTATATATATATTTACAAAAAAAGTGTATAATTATTTATATCAGTGGTCTATTACCCAATAACACAACACAAGTTTGGGACTACATGGCGCTAAAGAATTTGCCCTGCGTTGTTATTATTATTATTATTCTAATAACTATTATTATTAACCATCAATGTCGTAAGAAATAGGGAAAATATTTGAACAGTACCTACATTCACCAGCGCATTGTTTCATAAATTTATATCGGCAGAAAGGGCGTTTTTATTAGTAGTTTTAAGTAGGTACGTAATATTAATAGAATCCAATTTATTTGACCTTAATCATGATTTTGATTTCTTTTAATATCCACTTATCTAAAAAATTGTTCATACACGTACTGTGTACATTTTAATGTCATTATGTCGTGATAAAGTCAGTCAATTATAGAAGATTATCAATGTTTTCAATGTATTCATACCAATTGATAATTTTCAATGTTGATAACTTTCTTTTTAAAATGCAGAAATGTCACAGTATTAATATATTTCAAATATTCACAGATAATTACTGTATCAACACATAAAAATATATCTTAGATACGTCAAAAATAAAGCCTAAATTAACGTATGTTTGTATTAGTTAGAAGGTTAACAAATACCTTAATGATATCACAGATGGAGTCGGATCAAACATTTGTTTCCAGTAGTTATATGTATTCTGTACAAGTACTTACAATGCAGAATTTTAAGTACAATATCCAATCGAGTTCTATTCAGGCGCATCATGTTGTTAAATAAATAGGATGATTTAAATCAATTATTTCGTCTTCCACTAAAGGTCGAACAAAATCGATATCTCTGAAAGTAGCTTCATAAACTTTATTCCGATTTGAAGAGTTCATTATATATCAATGGAATGATAGGAGACAAGACAAATGATCCTCATAAATGACGAAACAAACGAAATACTAGAGATGTCATAAAGTATTATCATAAAATATTGTTATAACGGTAAACATCTCCGCAAAAATGAAAATAATCTATGAGTAATAACACTAATCTACATTATTCTTCAAGTGAATGCAAATTGATAAATTTGATAAAATATTATCTGCTTCTTATAAAAAGGTATACGTGTATGAATTTTTGTTAGTCCAATATAAAATATCTGATAGCAATCGTGTGATAAATAATATGGCATCCGAACGTTTACGTAAATTGGTAGTGGACATTGCCAAAGAGAACGATTACGGAAATCCTGAAATAGCTATCAATCCAATAAACACTGGTGGTGCAAATTATACTTCAGCACTATTCACGATTATTGTATCTGAATCTGACAAAGAAGACCTAAATCTGTTCGCTAAAGTTATCAACGTTAATGAAGCTATTCGCTCACAATTACCAGAAGGTATCTTCGACATAGAAAGATTAGCCTATGAGGACCTTTTAAAGAAATATGAAGATATAGAAATTGCACAAAATTTGCCAAGTAGCAAAAGGTTTGTCATACCCAAATATTACGGATGCAATCCGAAATTATTCGAAGAAATCATAGTCCTTGAAAATCTAACTGAAAAAGGTTTCACCACATACGACAGATTTAAGTCTATAGATTGGGAGTACGCTGCCAAAGCTGTAGAGACACTAGCAAAGTATCACGCTTTATCTATGGCGTATAAAGAAAAGCACCCAGAAGAATTTAAACAATTTACTGACAATCTGAAATTTCAAAGGGAAATGTTCACAGGAGTTCTCCGTCAACTGTTTGTACAGCGCACAGCGACTGCATTAGCTGTAACATCAGAGAAACATAAAAGTAAACTGGAGAGATATTTGAAAACTGAAATGACCCTAGACGCTGTAATCAAACTTAGTGAATCTCCTCAACGACCTGTTCTCTGCCACGGGGACTACAGACCGAGTAATTTAATGCACAGATATAATGAGGTACGTACAGATCTTAAGTCTTTGTATGATATAAAAAAATATGCAATTTCCTTTATAATTATAATGTCAGTCGAAAAGTCGACACTAGGCTTCCAAGTTAGTTACAATATCTGAATACGCCTCTTTCAGAGGCGAAACATGTGTCACAATATGGGTGTAGGCTTAATAACGATCGGATTTGCCCAGTAAAGAAAGATAGTAATACCTCCAATAGCGGTGGTCAAGTTTCCACACTGAACGTTTGTGGTCTCACACATGCTAACAGTAATGGAATTAAACAAAATCATATAAATCCATTAAGTAATTAAATTAACTTCAGCAAAATAACACTAATTTCGATAAAATACATGATAGACGCGTTTGTCTGTAGAGATAGATCAGAAAATATCCTAGTCAACTTTATAACATTAGTTTCCCTCAAATATAATTTAATCTAAGTAGTGTTAATCATTTCTTTTACAGGATGGGAGTCTTGAAGTGATACCTGTAGATTTCCAAACGTTACAATATGGATGTCCCATATCCGACTTGCTATATTTCATCTTCACGGGATCTGATGAGAAGTTTCGGAGGCAGTACTTCCAAGACCTTACTGACCACTATTACCAAGAGCTGAACAGTGCCCTGCGCGCTCTGGAGCTTAATCCTGATGTTATATATCCTAAAAGGGCCTTTGAACTGGATTTAAAAGAGGTACAATACTGTTTTTTTATATACAACTAACTGTACCCATGGTTTCACCAGCATGAAATTTATTGCCTACGTGTTGTTCTCATGTATAATCTATAGTACTGTAAAGTTTCATCAAAATGTGTTCAGTAGTTTTTGCGTGAAAGAGTAAGAAACATCCATCCATACTCACAAATTTTCGCATCTATAATATTAGTAATATTAGGTCTGTGGTTACTCTTACATAAAAGATGGAGATAGAGCTTGTTAGTTTTATGGATCTATTAATCCCATTACCAGTAATATACCCTGTATCTTTGGATCTACAAGTATCTAAAAAGTAGATTAATTTGGTAAATAACCACATTGTGTAAATTCAGAACCATTTATTAGTTTAGAACATTTTCTATCACATACGAAATTCAGTGTCTAGTTCGGCGAGCTGCCTCAGTTGAGAAGTCTCTCTAATACATTTATCAGCTAATAAATTTATCTTTAATAAAGTAATATAGTATAAAGTTAGATGAATTAGACTATCGTAACAATTATATCTTTAACTAGCTGTGGCCGTGGTTTCACTCGCATGACATATAGCATATGTGTTATTCTCATGTATGCTATATTACTGTAAAGTTACATCAAAATACGTTCTGTAATTTTTACATGAAAGAGTAACAAACATCCATAAACACAAACTTTAGCGTTTGCGATACTAATAAAAATGAGATTACCTATTATTTACTGCATTTTTAAATTGACTACTAGTCTGCATTACTAACAATCATTTCCCTATTTTCCCTTAGTATTGGTAGGTTTACTTCATTAATTTCATTCATAATTTAAGAGCTACGCTCTTGTCGGTGGAGCTCTTGCCACTTTCCGTGATCTTCTATCATGCTCTTTAATTCTTGATACGACACGACTCCCATTTTGTCCTCAATTTGTTTGATGTAGCTATTCCTTGGTCTTCCCCTCCCCCTCTTTCCTTCTTAGGTTTACTTATTAGACTAATCAAATCTTCATTGTTTCGTTTTAGTTCTTACCATTCGGCCTCATCATTGCCATATTCAGCCTGCCTATCGTCACCGTCGAGGTAGAAGATGCTCCGTCCATGCAAGCTGATAGTAGTTTGGAAAAAGTGGCTAAAGCTAAAACCGGGTCATCATATCCAGAGAGGATGAACGGCGTCATCAACGACTTCTTCAGATGGGGCATCATTGAATAAGAATGCCTGTAAATCTGTATCAAGTATTGACAAAATAATATCATTATTGATAATTTAATTTACAATAGTAGGTAGCGTATTTAAATTTTAAATAAAAGATACTAATTTACTCATTTGGTCATATACTGAGATTTATCCTACATGTTTGACCCACATTTAACAACGTATTCTTTGAAAATTTTATCCTAATCCATTCAGCCGTTTTATGAAACCTTAACTCAAAAACAGAGGGGGAAGGGGATTGTTAGTAATGTGGACTCATGACTCCATTACTAACAATGTACCATATCAGGTTGACCTCCACGCGGTTCCCCCTGGAAACTATCGTGATAAATTCCTGGTGAATTTGTCACGATGGGCTAACTGACTTGACCTCATGCTCATCTTATCATCCTCCACTGGTGCCCCGCCAACGTAAACCGTTAGCGCAGGCGGGAACACCATCCCATTATCATCCATAAAAAAAACTCAAAAACAGACAGATATTTTTGCGTCGTAACGATTTTATAACTTTGTTTTTATATGTAAACATTAGTCTTCTTTAAATCTTTATTAGGGAATGTCTATGAAACCTACACAATTATGTTTCAACTATAGTATTTGCTTTCAAACAATTATCTAATAATCACAATCAATTATATAGTAAGTATATAGATTGAAATAAAATGAAAGGCAATGTGTCAAAACCGATGAGTTCCCTGAAACTCTTTTGTTTAATCTAATATTTAGTTGTAGTACATAATAGTTCCGAAAATGAAACTAGATGTCGCTGTCTCATTTATGTATAATTTCTACATCGCGGTGGCAAGATATTTTTGCATTATGTCTTAAGTTATAGCACGTTTTGTAAAGAGAGAGAAAGAGAGAGGAATATGTTCTAACTACGGAATATACACATGTCTAGTACTATCCTTGGGTTTCATTTACCTATAGGGTCTAACATCTAGTACAGTTCAGATCATTAGTACAGCACTAAATACTTTCTAAATTAATTGATGTAACAAAGTTCTTGCATTTTGTTGTCAGGTAAAAAAAAATATTTGGTCTATGACACGTCTATCATAAATTTTGTTTTTACGAGTGTTATTCGTATTAAGACCAATATTTTTTGTTGTATACATAATATATAAATTATTTAATTTTAACGTTTTACATTTATATATTTACTTTCTACAGAGCCGTCTACGTCAGTACCTCGTAATAATAAAAGTATAATCAATTATTTGTATGCAGCCATTTAATTAGTCATAACATTTTCAACATTACAATTTACATTAAAATAATATTTAAGTATATATTGATTCTCATTAACTAATACAAAATTAAACATCAATGAAGACAACAAAAATATATATGTATAATAAATCAATAAAAATGTCTTAATTGTTATACTACTTGAATTAATATCTGAACACCACATCAAATGATTCCCCATCTGATGAAATCATTAATGATACCATTGAGTCTCTCTGAATACACTGCGCCAGTCTTCACCTCCAAAAATGTGGCGAAATCGTTTTCCCCGCCCAGGGAAGGTGCGTCTTCCGCGTCCACAGTGATAATGGGAAGAGAAAATAATCCCACTAGCAGTCCAAATGGAAGGAACTGAAAAGTAATAAAAATTAAATAAGTAAACTGGCAAATAATGTCAATAGCAGCCTTTAGGCGTACGTTCTTAGATCACTTTAGACTTTTACGCAGCAAAGTGTATCTAAATGTAGACAACAAAAACGTGAAAATCTAATGGGAAAAGGATTAAGTCATATATTATCCTTTGAACTAAAACACAGTCGAGCAAACTGCTAGGCAGTATGATGTAAGACAATTTATATAAAGATTATCTCTTCTATTGGGCAAAATGTGACTTCTGTGAGGATTTATAGATTAACTTTATTTTTTAAATAAAATATAGTATATTTTATTTAAAAAACAAAGTTAATTTATAAATCTTAACAGAAGTTTGTATTAAAAACTCATATTGTAATGGGAATTCTAATGGACGCGTCGTACCTCACCATGATGACGACAAGTCGAAACAATTGTCTCGAAAGACATAATCAGTAAGTTAATTAAAGTTAAAATAGACCCAATAAAATAGTTTTTTTGTAAAATATAACTTATTACAAAAAAGAAAATATTATCCTGATATCGTGTAAATAAGCTCTAAATACCCCTTTAGTAATAATTACCAAAGCTTTAGTATTTTTACTATGACTAGAAGTGTTTATATTAAATTTATTTGAATAAAAATTATTTATTTTAATACTACAGAAAATAGACGAGGAAAAATGTAAAAGCCATTTGATACAGCACAATGAATTATTGAGGGAAATATAGAAGGAAAGAGCGGGAGAGGAAGACCAAGGCATAGCTACATTAGCCATAGATAAAAGACATAATTGGAGCCGTGACGTTTAAAGAGTATGAAGGAAGATCGTGGAGAGCACCACCGACAAGAGCGACGCTCTTAAATTATGAATGAGTGAAAGATTATTTCTAGTTTTGATAGGGCATTTACAAACCTCTTTGACATCTAAATCATACTCGTCCTCCGGGTAGATCTTGTTTGGGTCCAGGTTCAGATTTCGGAGCGCGCTGCACAACTCACGGTAATAATGATCGATCAGATCCCAGAAATGTCGCCGGCGGAAGTTCTCATCAGAGCCCATGAATATGAACGACATCAGATCTATCAGCGGAGAAGAAGCCCGTAATGTTTGGTAGTCTACAGGTATTACTTCTAACGTGCCATCCTGGAAAAAGTAATAATAAATAAATAAATAACCCTGAACAATTAACGCAGCGCCATCTAGTGCCACGATAAGCAGACTGGTACTGATATAAATAAATAGCTATTTCTTTGTAAATTCATACATAATATACATAGACTACACCCAGACCCATACAAACAATCATACTCTTAAATATATGAGGAATCTAACCCGCGACCATTAGAAGTAAAGCGGTGATCTAAACCGCTAGACCACCGAGGTCGCCAAATATAGAGTGAATCTGTTTATTTGTTTCTTCGAATCTGTTAATTCGACTAAATTCAAACAAAATAGAGTTTAGACGGAGATTTCTTATATAATAGATAAGATAGTGACGCAGTACAGTTACGAGAGAAGATAAAAGAAATCGTAACTTTAAAAACATATAAAAATGTGATGTCTTTTTTTTATTATTATGAATGGGTTTGCGCTTGGTCTTACCTCATCTGATGGTAAATGATGACAAGACCTCAGATGTAGCGCACTTACCCAGAAAAAATCTATTCACAACAGACTTGAAGAATCCAGGGTTGTATTTCTCCGAGAACACGAAAGCTGGAAATGTGTTCCATTCTTTGGCTTTGCCTATTAGAAAGGACGACGCGAACCGCTCAGTGTTAATATGTGGAATTCAATTGTCAATGTCACATTTGTTATCAAACTCCGATACCGTTTGACCAATTTTATGAAATTGTTGGTGTATATTTAGTAGTCTGTGTCTGAAAATCAGTAGGCTGTTGTACAGCCCTAAGCAATAAGAGTATCGCTATATAGACATTTATATAGCAAGACAACCTTTTCCGGGTCAGTTACTATTAAAATACATATACTATGCTATAGTATTCGTATTAATATCACGAACAAATATAAGTTAACTATATGATACGGACGCGTAATAATTTAGTCGAGAGGAATTACAATGCGTGAGAAGTAATCGTGTGTCATGATGTATTATATGACGTTAACGATTCTGTTCATGCATATAAGCTGTAGTTACCTCTAAATTTTGATTAACTTTTCATCCGTTAAATTACGATTACATTCTAACAGTATACCTAAGTTTCATTTAACGTACCTCATTCAGTCTATGCATTAAGTTGCTCGCCCTATAATCTCCATGACACAAAATGTTACGAGGATTGGATAAATAAAATTTTATCAGCGTTTGCGACGTTACATTGTTGTCTAGATATTTCTCTAATTTCTCTTTATTATTTTCCCATGTACCATTTAAAGCTGTAGCTTTTAACTTTCCGAAAGTTGCTTCCATAACTGTTACAAATGTATCTTTGTCAAATTTCATAATTTCTAGAAGCTTGTTGTATTCTTCTGGATTTTCTTCACTGTAGGCTATCGACAGAGCATGGAACCTCGCCAAAGCCTGCACAGATTTTGATGCATAGTCCCAGTCTACTGACTTTAGTCTATCATAAGTAGTGAAACCTTGCACTGCTAGATCTTCAAGAACAATGGTTTCTTCAAAAAGATTTGCATTATGACCATAAAACTTAGGTATACGTAGTCTCTCAGAGATAGGCACTTTGTGGTCCTCTTGTATTTTTTCATACTTCTTCAGTAAATCTTCATAGGCATGACGTTCAATATCGAAAAAGTTTAAAGGCATTTCCGACCTTATTTTCTCACCAACTGTACCAACTTTGGCAAATAGCTGTAGGTCTTCATTCCCAGGTTCAGAGACCGTTATGGCAAACAGCACTGAAGTGTAATTGGCACCACCGGTAGATATAGGTTTTATATCTATTTTGGGATCTCTATAATTTCTATCTTTAACTATATCATCGAGCAATGTACGCAAAATTTGTTCTGGCGTCGACATCGTATTTATAATGTTCACAGTCGATCCTGTTTTACACACTAACACAATAACGATACAAAAGTGTCTTTTATAAATCACAGATAATGGTTTATCAAATTATCTACGCCACTTGTTCGCCAGCCGTCAGAACGTGTTGTGTTGCCGGTAACTACAGTTGGTAATGAAATTCGAGACTAAAATGTAACCAAAGACTCGTCATCGTCAAAGTTCCTAAATATATTTATTATTTCGGAATGATAACCTTTTTTTTACATTTTTTGTCTCGAATTCTATATTCGATTCTTGTTTGAGATAATGTTCAAATGACGGCCTCGAAGGTCTAGTGGTTTAGCACACCGCTTTATTTCCGATGGTCGCGGGTTTGAATCCTCGCACGGTGCAAATGAGTATGATTGTTTGTATCGGTCTGGATATTTTCTATGTATATTATGTATGTATTTACAAGCCAGTTGTCTAGTAAGTACCCATAACATAAGCTCTGCTTGCCGTGGTACTAGAAGGCTCTGTGTTAATTGTCCAAGGTAAAAATATATATCTTATATATAAAATTCTCGTGTCACAGTTTTCGTTCCCATACTCCACCGAAACGGCTTGACCGATTCTCATGATAATTTGTGAGCGTCTGAGAATCGGCCAACATCTATTTTTCATCCCCCTAAATGTTAGGGGTAGTCCACCCCTAAATATTTTTTTTTTATTTTAAGGCAAAACAACCTTTGCCGGGACAGCTAGTATATATATAGTATAGTATATACATATTTGTTATTTATTATATGTTATTTTATGCAATTGAATGACATGGACGACTCATTAGCTACATATATACATGAACAGCACTACAGACATCATATGTCATCAAGTCATCACTGTTATCATCAAGTCATCACTGTTGTCATCAATGTCATCCCTCTTATATTGTCCCTATTTCACTGTCTACAACCGAAACAGTTTACAAAACAAACTGCTCGGCAGCTGCAGTACATGTGACTGAGGTATCCAGGCAAAAGAAATGAAGTCTGATAAACATCTATTCAAAATAACACACAAGTTTCTTACTCATTCTTCTTGTAATGAGATAAAGATATGGGTTTCGAATGAGTGGTAGAATAAAAATATGACTATTCAAAAGTGTTTGTAATGAGTTTATTTTGCCCAATTTACACTCAGCCCGAGTGGGCAGGGAAGAGAGCAGCGCGAGAGTGTAAACACGAGTGGAAACACTTCCCATGCCATTGGCGCTGCCACTCGCGCTGCCCGGCGCTCCCTCGATTGTCGATTTTTCGTGCGCGAGTCAAAGGACTGGCAGCGCGAGTGGCAGCGTGTTTTTATTGTACGTTTACATTCAGCCGCTTCCCCTGCCACTCGCGCTGCCGGAAATATTGCCAGACGACAACTGAGCAAGAGAGCTGAATAAAGATTATTTCTATTATTATTCAAAAAAGCATTAGTGGCTGAAATAGGTGCCACTGAGACGCGCAAAGATTTTACAGTCTGTCTAAAAAAATGCAATAAAAAATGTTGACAATTAGCAAAAATATCTATAAATATCTCTAGACGAAACGATAAAGTAACAAAAAACAATACTTGAAATAGTCATTATTTTTAAAGTACGGTTCACAAAAAGCTAATGACTGATAATATCAAAATACTTTACGACCTTGGCTAGTTCGGTGTTACTAGTATTATATATGTACCTAAGTGGTGATAATATATCCATTAATATAATACATGTATTTATATATAAGATAACGTATATTTATCGTTGTTTATAAAAAACAACAGAACTCTATAAATATTGCAACATACTGTCATTACAGGAAGTGATGACAGTCTGTTGCAGTGATGATTATGGTAACGATCCCACATCGCAAATATAGGCAATTTTTAACTGCCTATAACTTTTGAATTTCGTATAGTAGATCTAAAAGAAAATTAAGAGTGCGCGAGAAATAATTATTAATATCGGACCTATTTGTTACAGAACAAACTGTTTTGGATTAAGAATCCGTATATAGAATAAATAAAAATGGAGAGAGGTTTTTTAGAAAAGAAAATAATTAATGAAAAAGGCACGAGAAATACGATTTCGACCTGGAAGGACGTCCTCCATACTCCGAACAGCTCAAAAGAAGTAATGTAACACCAAACTTACTCACCTTTGCTCAGCAACGTCCTGATGTGTAGTACAGTTTAGTAGCCACGCACTCTAGAGTGTATATTTTAATAACAACAATTATTTATATTAATTAAATAAATAATTTTCTTATTTTAAATATGGAGCGTTCTTTTTATTCCAGTTCTTATTTTCAATTGATTTTTTATTCTATTATATTACCAAGCGCCCTCTGCTTCAGTAAGCAAGCCGGTGCTTGATTCACTCACAGCTGACATTCGTCGGCGGGAAAATTTGTAATTGGAATTGCTTGAGTGAATGAAATAGATAGTCATGGTTTATACAAGGATCCGGAAATTAGGAAATTATGTCAAAACAAATATTTTAATATTAAATTAATGTTATTATTCAATAAAGTATTCATACAATTTATTTAAACAGTAATATATTTTATTTATAACTAAATTTGGTATAATAAGTATTAGAATATTTATCTACGGGCTGTATTAGTAAATAACTTAATCATTTATCTAATTATTATAATAATTTTGGTAATTAGACATTTACAAATATTGTTTGCGATAGAAATAGCTATATAATACATTTAAAAAAAAAATTCAAATTTGTAACGTCACGTATGGAACATCGTTGTTGTTTTGTCTTTATATACATTTTTCACTTCTTCTCGAACATTCCGTGGCGTCACTATTAAATTCAGTGTACAATAAATTCTAACCATTTTTTATTTCATTATTATAACAAATTAAACATAGCAAGATTCCTCCAACAAACAAGTATATTGTTGTAATTTACACCGGTAAAGGCACGAAATGTGGAATAACAAAATAAAATACCTTCATTATTCGTAATATGCACCCATTTTCATGTAGATAAATAAAATAAATTTAATTTAATTCACCGTAATGTAGATAATACAGGGTGGCTCAGAAGTCACTTTACATTTTGAAAATGAAATAACTTTTTTTCTATTAATATATTTCTTTTTCTCTTTTCGAATTAAAAAATATAATCCCTGGAAATTTTTATCATGGATAAGTTAACAACAGAATAGCGAGTGAAGATAATTGAATTTTACTTTGAAAATGAATGGTCAATTGTTGCAACGCAAAGATCGTATATTGGCCATTTTAATGTTCGACATCCCCTGCCATAAGGCAGGCCTGCAATAAGGAACTTATACTATGTCAAGGTATGGCCATAGAGAATAATTTTATTGCCTTAATTATATAACACCCCATCTGATGTAATCGTTGATTATACCATTTAACCTTTCCGGAAATAACGAGCTGGTTTTCATGTTAAAAAAACTGGACATGTCGTTTTCGCCGTCCATGGAAGGTGCATCCTCAGTGTCCACCGTGATGATGGGAAGGGTGAATATTCCAATAAGAAGTCCATATGGTAGAAACTGAAATATAAGATTAATAATAATATCGCAGGAAAATTCACACAACGCCATCTAGCCCCAAACTAAGCAGAGCTTGTCGGTACTAGACAACTGATATAAATATATAGATGCATTTTTTTTTAATAAATACATATTATTAATAGAGAACACCCAACCCGGACCCCTCCGATCGAGCCCTCGTCGAATTCAAAAGGGATCGATATTACGACGGCCTGAGCCGAGGTTCGAACCCCTAGTGGTGCCCTCAGACTAAAGTCGTATCCGTCAGGCAGGAGTTGGTCTTCAGCCGCTCCATAAGTCCTTCTGCGGGTTTCGGTGCCATCCGCACTCGCCCCCTAACGTCCGGTGAAGCTGTAAAGGCCAGCTGCAGCCAACAGTATTAAGAGTTGACCGAAAAAAAACCCAAACTGGTACAAATAATTATACTACTTGAATACAAAGGTTTGCAATGTTCGCGGAATCGAACCCGCGACCATCGGAAGTATATACTATGAACCAATGAATGATGAAATGATCAAACCCGACATAGTAGTACATTTTCTGTTAAATTTACTATATTCAGCAAAATCAAGGGATTGAGTGATTGATTGATGCATTGATGGATTGATTGATTGAGGGATCTGAATAATCTGAGAAATATATTATTAAAGCTACAAACCTCTTTAACCTCCCGATCGAACTCGTCCTCCGGGTACACCTTGCGAGGGTCTAGACCCACATTTTCAAGTGCGCTGCACAACTCCCGGTAGTAATGGTCGACCAGATCCCAGAAATGTCGCCGGCGGAAGTTCTCATCTGATCCCGCGAAGATATAGTAGAACAAGTCTATTAGCGGGGTAGTGCCTTGTATAGTTTGGAAGTCTACAGGTATCACTTCCAGTTCACCATTCTGGAAAATATTTAATTTGGTGCATTAAATACAATTTTTGTATGTTACTCGCCCCGGCTTCGCACGGGTGTACATGTATTATATATATAAATCTTCCTCTTGAATCACTCTATCTATTAAAAAATCCTCTTCAAAATCCGTTGCGTAGTTTTAAAGATTTAAGCATAGGGACAGACAGCGCCAGCGACTTTGTTTTATACTATGTAATGATTGTATTGGTAAACGAGCGAGCAGTACAGACACTATGAGCACAATGGACATCACGTATTGTTATTGGAAACAAATAGTATATCTAATGAATCTTACATTCACTTTATAGGAACAATAAATTGAAACGAGAATAAAGATTAATTGTTTTGTAGAATTTTGTTTTATGTTCATGGTTACTAAATAGTAGATAACTTAGTAACTATGAACATAAAACAAAATAAATTAAATTGTAAGTACTTAAAAGATATTTAAACACATGATAAATCTTATTTTCAAATTCAAATTCAAAAATCTTTTATTCATGTCCTACATTCCTATCCTATTAACCGTTTATGAACGTAAAATTTTTACAATATATTTTTAATTTTTTCCCTACCGTCCAGTTCAGTATATAGATCCTAGATCCAATTGAGAAGAACTGGCAAAAAACTCAATTGAATATTTTATTCTTTTTCTTGAAAACCCAGTTTATTTACAATGTATATATATAGGTGTCTATGTCTAACATTAAATGAAAATCCCGTGAATGAACAACTATTGCCATGCACGCTCGTCATTCAAGTAATCGTTTTGTAAGTTTCAAATATTTGAATAAAATGTAACGTAACAAAGAGATAAAACGAAGCCTCTAGTGTTGTTGTTGACGTTTGAGTAGTATAAGTAAAGTCTGAACAGGTAGTTCAGACTTTACTTATACTACTCAAAAAAGAAGAAACCACTACCAAAAAAGAGAAAACTAAAATAGGACAGAAGCCATCTAGTCCCTGCCTCCCTCTAAATGAACGATAGGACTAAATAATACTAGACTAATCTTGCCTAAATACTTCTGAAGTCATTAATTTTCAAGGTATTCTGATACTTTACATACCTCATTCACTCTATGCATTAAGTTGCTCGGTCTATAATCACCATGACAGAGAATCTTTCGGCGGTCTGTCAAATAAAACTGTACCATGGTCTTCGCGTTGACATTCTCGTCCAAATATTTTTTCAATTTACTTTTATTGACTTCCAAAGTTACACTCAAGGCTGTCTCCTTTAGCTTATCAAACGTTGAGTCCATGAATGCAATGAATGCTTCTTCTTGAAATTTCATTGTGTCTAGATACTTCTCATATTCTTCTGGATACTCCTCCTTATAAGCTATAGACAGAGCATGGAACTTCGCTAAAGCCTCCACTGATTTTGATGCGTAGTCCCAATCTATTGACTTTAGTCTATCGTACGTAGTGAAACCTTGCGCTGATAGATCTTCAAGGACAATGGTTTCTTCATAAAGTTTAGCATTATAACCGTAAAACTTGGGTATACGTAGCCTTTCAGTGGCGGGCACTTGGCGGTCATCTTGTATTTTTTCGTACTTCTTCAGTAAATCTTCATATGCGAAACGTTCGATATCGTAGAAGTTTGTCGGCATTTGGGAGCGCATTTTTTCACCAACGATACCAACTTTGGCAAACAGTTTCAGGTCTTCATTGTCGGGCTCTGAGACTGTTATAAGAAATAGCACTGACGTGTAATTGGCACCACCGGTAGATATTGGTTTTATACTTATTTTTGGATCTTTATAATTTTTGTCTTTAAGAATATCGTCCAGAGATTTTCGTAATATTTCCTCGGGGCTCGACATCGTACTTGTTATTACGTTCTACACGACTAACAGTTATCGAACTTCTTACACACTGACACAGAAACGTAAAACAACGACTTTTTATAAGTTTATAGCAGATAATGAGTTATCAAATTATCTTTGCTTCTACATTTACCTATCGTCAGTCGCGACGCGATATATTTTTTGTTGTTGATGGCCCAATTATCTTTGTTGCGTTATGGTAATAGGCCCCATTGAAAGGTTATGTGATGAAGATAATTTCTTTAGTCCATCCAAGAGAATTCATCAGTCAACCACAATAGTTTTCAAACGCTGCGTGATGATAGTCGAACAAATGATCTCACTGTTGGCATTAGACCATAAACTTTTAACCACTAGTCATTATGGTATCTAGTATTAATCGTTATGACAATCTGCCCTCTCCGACGTTTTTGTTTCCGCATTGTCCATCATATACAATATATACGTATAATTTTGCTGCATAAATATTTTCAGGAGTCATAAATAAAGGTTAGCCGACAACTTTATACAAAGCTTACCTTAACATTCCAAGTGGAAAAGAACATCGTAATAGAAAATTATTGATGAAATAAAGGAGTATGCAGACGTCTAAGACACAATAATGTGTTTATATTCCACACTCAAATTTGAATATTATTTTTTTTTCTCTTTTCTTATCTGCAATCAGTCCCGGAACTATGAGCAGATTTTTTGGGTGTGGGATCTAAGAATGGAGTGTCCACCTTAGCGGGAGAATCTACTCCTTAAGCATACTGCAAACATTACACAATGTCGCTTCTTTTTAGTCGCTTGGGGTAAAGCATTTGTAGTAATTGAGCAGCCAGTTGATTTGGGTGATCACATAGTCGCTTTTTATATTTTTCTTTACAATTGAGGATCTCCTCCTTTACTGTCAGTACGCCAAGTTCCTTGTGAATTTCGTTGTTGGTGATGTACCAAGGTACACCCGATACTGTTCTCAGTATAATATTTTGGGCCCTTTGAATGATGTTGATATTTGACTTTGACGCACTTCCCCAAAGTTGTAAGCCGTATGTCCATACAGGTTTTAGAATGGACTTATAAATCAGTAGTTTATTGTCAATAGACAGTTTTGTATTTCGACCCATAAGCCAGTAAAGGTTTTTTAAATTTGAGTATAAAAAAACATTTCTTTTATACCACGACGGTGGCAAACAAGCATACGGTCCATCTGATGATAAATGGTTACCGTAAGCCTATGAACGTCTGAGACACCAGGAGTACCACGCGTCACCGACTCTTAAGAAACCTTAATATGCCTTTCTTGAAAAACTCCATGCAGTCTCGTGAGAAAACCTCGGCAGGTAGTTCATTTCATAATCTAAGTGTTTATTTGCAAAGTTACACCATACAACACACCATATTAAATATAAAAAAATAAAATTGAGTCACTATGTAGGATGTTTATTTATCAACATTAATTGTAACCTTATGTTACTAACTTGTTTATAAATACATTATCGATATATTTGTGTTTTTAGAACTATAAATTGCTGATTAATGATGAATTTCGTATTTCTACACTGTACTGTACTGGATATTTACGGTTTTATCGAGTCCAAAGGTTATTATTTCTAAAAAAATAAAACAATAATTAAAAGTAAAACGTTGTAGGAAGACATCGGACGTTTTGATTATTGTCAACGAAAATTTAATTTTGTGTTAGTATTTTAAACCTAACCCAAGTCATGATCATGTAGTAAATACATATACACAAGAATCCTGTGATTTAAGTCATATAACACCATCGAGATAAAGCAACAAAAGACAAAAACACCATAATTTAATTTTTATGCAGTTGGTAAGGAGATCTTTGGGCGAGGCCTTTGTTCAGCAGTGGACGTCTTCCGGGCTGAGATTATGATGATGATGTAAGTTTTTTTTATCTGAAAACAAAAACGTCTTCACATAATATATAATCTCTATAAAATATTTGTTTCTGTATTTTCGAAAAATCTACCCCGAAAAAGTAAATTAAAGAAAAAAAATTCACACCGAAATATGCTATTGTTTGGTTCACATGGACCAGTGTTTAAATATTTTTATATCTGTATTTAAATATATTTCCTAGAATATAATTTCACGACTGTATCACAGATGAGAGAGACAGACATTATTCTGAGTATGTTTGTATCAAACATCACACTATTTCCATATTTGGTATTTTATTATGTACGTAATAAAGCACCTAAAAAGGAATTTTACATACATTTGATCGATCACGATGATAATGCGATAAAAAAATTATATACGTGCGATTTAGATAAACATCAATTGAATAGCAACAGGAAAATGTATTCTACACAACAATACAAAAATAGCGGCTTAATCTAACATTACCTATTATGGAAGTGTAGTCACATACTTCTTTAAGATCTCCGATCGATCACCCGACTAATTCAAACGGGTATCGAAATTACGACGGCCTGAGCCGAGGTTGGAACCCCTAGCGGTGCCCTCAAACTAAAGTCGTATCCGTCAGGTGGAAGTTGGCTTTCAGCCGCTCCATAAGTCCTTCCGCAGGTTTGGAGTGCCATCTGCACTCGCCCCCTATCTATCTATATATCCGGTGAAGCTGTAAAGGCCAGCTGCGGCTAACAGCATTAGAGTAGTCCAAAAACTTCTTTAATATCTAAGAATGAGTGCGTAGTTTTATGTTTCTATGTTCATTATCGCATGCCTTTTACTTGTTATTGTGTAATTATTTATTTAAAAACAAATCGTTTATTCATAAGAGCAACACACAAGTTTCTTGATCATTCTTCTTGTGATAAGTCTGCGAATGAGTGGTAGAATAAAAAAATATGACTATTCGAAAGTGTATTAAGTTTATTTGAATAAAGATTATTTCTAATTCTATTTCTCGATAATAATACTTATTGTATTTATGGTATACAATTACCTAGATACCTAAATTTAATACTTGCAATTAATTAAGGGTTGTAAGACAAGCTAAATATTGTCTAATTTATAACAATGAATTACATGAATCATTACAAAAGCAAAATAACAAAACATATTAATCTACATATTATTACCTACACCGATGTTTCCTACATTACGACCAAATATAGCAATGAAGTTTTATAGATAAAACATTTCTGGTTTTTGTCAGAGATTTAAATACAATAGATATCGTTATCAAATTAAATAACACTTCTTTATAAAATGAAATATCGTTTTTATCGTATTTACGTTAGTATATTATTATATCTTTGACACTTACCACGTATATTGCAAAATTAAGATGTCAACTCCTGAAGAAATTTTACAAAAACTTCTCGACGATATTATTAAAGAGAGAAATTATAAAGATGCTAAAACAATCGTGAAACCAATATCTACAGGCGGTGCTAACTACACATCAGTGCTCTTCATTGTAACTATATCCGTACCTGATAATGAAGATGTGGAACTATTCGCCAAAGTTGGTATCGTTGGTGAAAAAATGCGTTCACAGATGCCAATACTTCTATACGATATTGAGCGATACGCATACCAAGAACTGTTAACGAAATATGAATTGATACAGAACAATCATAATGTTCCTACCGAAGAAAGACTGCGTGCAGCCAAGTTCTACGGATGTAATCCGACTCTCTATGAAGAGACAATTGTGCTAGAAAATTTAGCAGCCAAAGGTTTTACTACATACGACCGTTTCAAGTCCATTGATTGGGAATATGGTGCTAAATCAGTGGAAACTTTAGCTAGATTCCACGCATTATCTATAGCATATGCAGAACAGTATCCCGAGGAATTTAAAAACGTTCTCGACAATATGAAATTTCAAGAAAAAGCTTTCACTGTGTTTATTGAACAAGGCTTGGAAAGGTATTCAAACTTCGCAGTAGCTGCAGTATCGGAAAATAACAAAGAGAAACTGAAGAATTATTTGGAAACCAATGTGAGCGTGGAAAAGATGGTGAAATTTTATTTAACGAGTCGCCGGCCAACTTTGTGCCACGGAGACTACCGGCCAAGCAATTTAATGCACAGGCAGAATGAGGTAAAGTTGCGTTTAATACTTTAAATTTTGTAACGGTTAAATTTTTTTTTTATATATAAGTTAGAAACAAAAGACTCAATTAATTTCGCTTTTTAATCTCAATATGTATAATTTTTCTGTCCATGTGTTTCTCACCTGAAAATGATAAACAAGTAGCACCAATTTGGATGAAATTATGTGTGTACATTTCAATGGCAACTGGCAAACGTAGTATCCTACACTCGCAATTGCCATACGCAGCTAGGTGGAGCGACGACATATGTAGGGTTGCGGGTAGACTGGTCGAGAAGGGCTGAAGAGCGTGCCTTGTTAGAGACCTATGTCCAGCAGTGGAATGCAGTGGGCTCATAATGATGATGATTTCAATGGGTTTCTGAATGGTTTGAAAATACAAATGGGCCTGGTAGGTGATGCTGCTTCTCCGGGCGGTACGTAACAGTTTCGCAGTAATTTTTATTACTACTACGGTGGCAAACAAGTATACGGCCCATCTGATGGTAAATGGTTACCATAGTCTATAGAGGTCTTAGACACCAGGGGTGTTACGTGCGCTTCGCCGACTCTTAAGAAACCTTAATGTACACATCTTGAAAAACCCTATGCTGTAGTTTAGTGAGAGAACCTCGGCAGGTAGTTCATTCCACGATCTAAGTGTATGCGGGAGGAAGCTCCTCTGAAACCACACTGTGCGAGACCACTTAAGGTCTAGCGTATAGGGATAAATTTCCTGTTGATGGCGATTAGCTAATGCTAATTTATCCCCATATTAATAGAAATTTATCCCCATACTAATAGTATGACGTAATATAATTTTTTTTAACCTGCATAATTATCTTTCAGGATGGCACTGTCGAAGTAATACCAGTGGATTACCAAACAATACAGTCCGGAGCACCACTCATCGACTTGATGTACTTCATCTTCACCGGATCAGATGAGAACTTCCGCCGGCGACATTTCTGGGACCTGGTCGACCATTACTACCGAGAATTGTGCAGCGCGCTCAGAAATATGGGTCTAGACCCTCGCCAGATATATACGGAGGACGAATTTGATCTCGACATTAAAGAGGTAAGTGTAGAGACATGGAGAGAGAAAAATTCTAAAAAGGTATATATTTTTGTTACCTAATCTTTCTTTTCTTTCCCTAGATCTTACCAAGCGGCCTGCTGATTGGTATATTCTTCCTTCCAATTATTACTGTAGAAACAGAGAACGCTCCTTCTATAGGAGATGGTGACATCAACTCCATGGTAGACATAAAGGTCAGCCCGTATTACGCCGAGAGAATTAATGGTATAGTCAATGATTACATCAGATATGGTATAATTACATAATAGATAAGTGAAAATAAAAAAATTGTAGTAAAGAAAAAGTTTTAGTAGTTTTTGTTTTTAAATATCTTGTATGGATCAGAGTGCTGGCCCGTAAAGGTGATGAGAGACGATGTGTGACAAGAATGGATAAGATAAAGAATGAGTTTTTTTTTTATTGGGTTATTTGGGCTAGTGCCTGTAGCAACTGTAGCATTGCGACCTACATAGATCTATTGTGCTCGCCCTTTTTCAGAGTTCGCTACCTAGACCCGTCAGGGACAAGAATTGGAGGATATTCTTAGGAGCGATGGTTTTTATCTCCTCGGGAAAGAGTGTAAACTTTCCAAAGGAGATATTTCGTTTATGCACGAGTGGGCTACAACCACATAGGATGTGTAGTGGCATTTCGTCTTCAATTTGGAAACATCTGCAGATTTTTGTTGTGCATAGGCCTAGTTTTGCCATATGTCTGTTTAATTTACATATTAGAGGAAGCATGAAAGTGGCGCCGGTGTCAGAGAAGTTAAAGAGTAATCGTCTGTCGTGGTATGGGCATATAATGCGTAGGAATGAAGATCATATCTTAAGAAAGGTGTTCTATCACCAACCCCTATTTTTTAATAGCGATTTTAATTTATATATAAGTATATACAGATTATTAAATAGGTATTTCTCGGCATCTTTAGAAACTGGAATTTGTATAATGTTTATCTATACAATGATAATATCATATCGTGATTTTGATATGATAATCAATGTATCTTGGTAACTGTCGTCTGGAATCAACGATGACCTCGGTAGTGTAGTGATTAAGCAGTCTGCCTTACATTTTAATGGTTGCGAATTCGATATTACACTCACTAGATACATTTATAATTATGAATATAGTTATTCATACTACAATAGTTTGGAGTGGAGTTGTTTTATATTAAACTCGAAACAAATATTGACAGAAAATTTAACCATAACGTGTATTTTAGAGTGGTCCGATTTTCATGACTCTTTTTTTAATGAATAACATTTTACACTAAGTTTATTTTATCTGAAACTATAGAATAAAGTGACTCCTAAAGTTAGTTTTAAGTTTCATAAAAGAAAAATTCCCATAGCATTGATTTTGGTTTTGGTTTGAAATTATTTTCATATGAAATTTATTACACAAATAATACTAAAGTGTTATAATATATTTGGAAAATTCCAATATAATTAATTTAAACAAAACGACAAAATTCTGTTTGTAAATATTTATTGGACATCAACATCAGCAACAGCAAATAACACAAAAATAAAAATATATTTTTTTATGTAACCCTAATGGTAAACAGGCTGACAGCCAGAATGGTAAACTTGTTGCTTACCATTCCACATTTCTTCAGCCGTCCCACTTTTGGTTTGGAGTGTCAACTGCACTCGCCCCCTAACGTCCGGTGAAGCTGTAAAGGCCAGCGGCCAACATAATTAGAGTAGTCCGAAAAAAAATCATGTGATGTTTAGTACCTTCTATCCTGTAATTTCACTAACTATCACACACTTCAACCGAAAATCAACCTTCAAACAAGACACACAAGACATTTTTTTACAAAATCTTCCTTTATAGATACAGTAGTTAGATATTATACCTATATATTTAGAGCCTTAAATATAACCTATTTCTACAATCTATTTATAACAATTTGAGCAACTGCACAGTCTAACTATGAGACTTTGTTAATATTAATAATATATCAGTACAATTAACACAGCGCCATCTAGTCCCACGCTAGCAGAGCTTGTGTTATGGAGGTACTAGACAACTGACAGATACACTTAGATACATACATAATATACATAGAAAACACTCAGACCAATACAAACAATCATATTCATGAATACAAATGTTTGTACCGTACGAGAAATCGAACCTGCGACCATCGGAGGTAAGTCGGTGTGCTAAACAGCTGTACAACCGAAGACGGCAAATATAATTTATATAGTTTACAGTATTAGATTACTTTAAAAATTACAAACAAAATAAAAAAAAAAAATTGATAATCAACATATGTTTGTGACTGACTAAAGAAATCAAATTGTAAAATCTTTTTTATTAATTAGTTAAATAACCTTAAAATGAAGTCACTTTTATTATACAATAGCTATCCGCCTTCGCCCGGGTATACATGTATTATACATAAAAACATTCCTCTTGAATCACTCTATCTATTGCTATATGCATTCAAATCCGTTGCGTAGTTTAAAAGATCTAAGCGAACAGACAGTGAAACGACTTCATTTTATTCTATGTAAAGATATCTCTTATATGTATTTCTTAAATTTACACTTCGTTCCTTCTCCTGATATTCGTTAATAAGTCCATGGGTTTCACTGTGGTCATGCTGGTATGGATGGTAGGGACCTGCGCTTGGTGGGCAGACGCGGTGGGTGGGCTTTTGTCCGAGCGGTCACTCTCAGATATTGCCTTCCACAGCTCAATCGCTGGCAGCTCCACCAGCAAGCAGAACGGTATGGCGATGATGAAGGAAAGCACTGAGATTGTTATTAGTACGGATATCTGGAATTAAGAAATAATACAGTACAATACAATACAATACAATACAATACAATACAATACCATACAATACCATACAATACAACACAATACAATACAATGAAATGAAAAGATTCCTTTTAGCAATAAGGCCGCCTTATTGTAATGATACATGTGTCTTTGTAATATTGTTTGTGCTTCTTCTTTACTGTATGTTGCAAAAAAAAGTATATTGTATCTATCTATCTATCTACAATACAATACAATATAAATATAATATAATCTTATATATGAAATTTTATATGTATTGTCGCATGCCTAATCTTTGATTTTAATTAAATATAAGTAAATCAATATTTATTTAAAAGAGCAACAAGATTCTTGCTCATTCTTCTTGTGATGAGTCTACATTCCGAATGAGCGGTAGACTCAAAAAACTTAACTATTCAAAAGTGCTTATATTAAGTTTATTTGAATAAACTATTATATATATATATATAAATAGATGCAATATATTATATTATATCTATTTCTATTACTATATTCAATAGATCTGAGAATCGGTTACTATCTATTTTTCATACCCCTAAATGACAAGGGTTGTCCACCCCTAAATATTGTGTTTTATTTTTTCGCTATACTATTTTATATTATTTTGATTAGCATTAGCATGAAAAATACATACAACCCAAAAATACTCATGAATACAAAATTTTGGTATCATGCGACGAATCGAATCCGCGACCATAGAAAGTCAAGCGGTGTGCTGTACCGCTAGACCACGGCTAAGCTATATATGGACATCGTTTGATAAAAATCCGTTCAGTAGTTTTTGCGTGAAAGAGTAACAAACATCCATCCATACTCACAAACTTTCGCGTTTATATTATTCAAATTCAAATTCAAAAATCATTTATCCATGTAGGACATTTTAGCCGCTTATGAACGTCAAATTTTTTACATTATAATTTTAATTTTTCCCTAACAGTTCAGTTCCAGTTTAGTATATAGATCCAATTGAGAAGAACTGGCAAGAAACTCAATTGAATAACTTTTTTTATAAGCCAGTTTATTTGCAATGTATATTTATATAAGTGTCTATGTCTAACATTAAATGAAAATCCAGTTCATGAACAACTATTGCAATGCGCGCTCGTCATTCAAGTAATCGTTTAGTGAGTAATAGGCTTCGCTATTACTCACTAAACGATTAGTAAGATAGTCTGACTTACCAAAGAGTATATGGAGCCATGACCCAACTGAGTGTTCCCCGCCATCACCAGCCGGAGGATGATGAAGTGTATGAGGAACACGCTGTACGACAGCCTGCCGAGGAAGTGGAACCCGCGCCAGTCCAGCATGCTTCTTAAGCCAGCTGCCAACAGGGATCACGTCAGTCTTTTGATTTCAAAGGAGGAGCTACTCGATTCGGTTGTTAAGTTTTTAGTATATAATAATAATATCATCAAATCCATCATCAAGCCATCACTTCATCGAATGGAGAATTCCAAAAAAAAAAGATAATAATAATAATAATGATCAATAAAATTTTAACCTATACTCTATACATATAAATAAAATTGGAGTGTCTGTTTGTAATATTGAAATAACCGTTTTTTACTACATGCATATGAATATAAATACGTTACGTATTGTATACAACAAAATAACAATTTTTACAATTTTCGTCTGTCTGTCTGTCTGTTTATTCCGGCTAATCTCTGAAATGGCTGGACCGATTTTGACGGGACTTTTATTGGCAGGTAGCTGGTGTCACAAGGAGTAACTTAGGCTTCTTTTATTTAAAAAAAAATCTCTAATTAACCTTTTTTGGTAAATTCCACGCGGACGAAGTCGCGGGTACAGCTGGTCATAAATATTTCTTTTATAGTATATCTCTTCCTCGAATAGTGTTGGACGGAGTACTCATTGAGTACAGTGATAGCGTCAAGAACCTGGGCATCCACTTCGACAGGACGCTGTCTTGGACAGTTCAGATCGCCGAAGTGAGTCGCAAGATTTTCGCTGCCGCAGGCTCACTCAGGAGACTAGGCAATTTCTTGCCAGTCGATACCAAAGTTTCGCTTGCACATACCCTACTTCTTCCTATCCTTGATTACGCCGACACCTGCTACCTAGACCTCATCGAAGACCAATTAAACAAACTTGAGCGTCTTCAAAATATTTGTATCAGGTTTATATTTGGACTTCGCAAATATGACCATGTCTCACATTATCGTGCACAGCTTAAGTGGCTCCCTATACGCCTTCGCCGTGACTGGCATATTCTTTCCCTTCTTTACTCCGTTCTCTTTAATCCTGCTACTCCTAACTACCTCAAAGATAGATTCTTATTTCTCGGTGAGGCACAACATCATGGCTTACGCAGTGCAACAAACCTCCGTCTCAAAATCCCTTCCCACACATCCTCATTCTACACCAAATCCTTTTCGGTACATGCCGTTCGACTATGGAACTCATTACCTTCCTCCATACGTAGCTCACGATCACTACCCAGCTTTAAGAACTCGGTCAAATCACATTATCTTTCCTTATAATGTTTCTTTTCTGTCGGCACCATTGTTATATTACTAGTAGGTATTATTCCTATGCGTGTATCACAGTTACTTGCTGCTTGCATTATTTTGTGTTGTGTTGTATCTATTTATTGCATGTTGTTATGTATGTATGTATGTATGTATGTATATATATATATATATATATATATATATATATAATATTAATATTGGTGTATACTGTTTATATATGTAATATGTTATGTTATTCATTATTATTCATTTGTCATTATTATTATTATGTTTTTTTTTTTTTTCTCTCCTATTCTAATGCCACCTCCCACCTTTTTGTTTTTTTCTCCTCTACCCAAAGGTTGCCTGGAAGAGATTGCATAAGCGATAAGGCCGCCTTTTGTACCCTTTTATTTTAATTACTCTATTAATGTAATTTTTCCTGGTGCAATAAAGAGTATATAAATAAAATAAATAAATAAATAAACAATAGTTGTTTGCAACACAAACTATCACTCAAGGGGAGAAATCAGAATAAATATATAGCAAAATAATAATTACAATAATCCTGACAATTCACACAGCGCCATCTAGTCAAAAGCTAAGATCTTCTGGTGTGGGTACAACTGGTACAAATACTAATGTATGTATTTTTTTTTAAATACATACTACATATAGGAAATATCCGGACCAATACAAAAATGCGAACCGCTAGTCCAATGTACAATCAGCTGTGTTATATTTGTAAATTAATTAATTAACGAATAAATTCATGAATGAATGAAATGAATAACTGAATGAAAGAATAAATCATTACATAGTATAAAACAAAGTCGCTGTCGCTGTCTGTCCGTCCCTATGTATGCTTAAATCTTTAAAACTACGCAACAGATTTTGAAGCGGTTTTTCTTAATAGATAGAGTGATTCTAGAGGAAGGTTTATATATAATACATGTACACTCGTGCGAAGTCGGGGCGAGTAGATAGTAAATATATAAATAAACAGATTGCGCGTTTAAAGAAAATTTAGCACTTACATTTGCATTCACTAAGGCAGCCCAGCATGAAGATATTAAAGAAGACTGCGATGAGCGTGCGGTCGAGGGCGGCGTAGAGCGCGGCCGCCCACGGGGGCGGCGCCCGGTCCGCCAGGAACACCGCGCCCGCCGCCGCCACGCACCCGCCCAGCGTCATCGCCAGGTGGAACGCCACGTTGAAACACTGCACCAATTCCATGTTAACTTTTATTAGGACATTAATGATAATGTGTCCATATATATATATATATATATATATATATATATGGACATATTTTTATGGATATATTTTTTTTTATTTATTTAACTTTAATGCACAAAAACAATATGTACATATGGCGGACTTAACACCTTGCGGCGTTATCTACCAGGCAACCATGAGTGGTGCAGAGAAAGATTGTTGGCGGTGCACTAATATAGATGAGAAATGTCAAGAAAAAAGATATATATAAATATAAAGCAAAATATTTTAAATATAAATTTCAATAAAATAATAATAATAATAATAAACGTACATCAATATTTATATATAAATACAAACATAAATACATAATGATCTGATAATCACATTATAAGTACAGCCTCACATTGAAAGTAAGAAAAAAAAAACAAAATATAAGGAGAACTATAAAGAAATAACAGAAAGATGTGAAAAAGGTAGAAAGACAGTAAAAAAATGTTACAAATTTAAATAATGTTCCCGCAATTTCTGTTTAAACGAAATTTTACTCGTGGCGGTCTTGATATCAAGAGGTAAGTCATTCCAGAGTTTGATTGCCTGAACGGCGAAAGAATAATATATGTAATATTTCTGTCAACACTTGACACCCTTCCATTAGTACCTCTTCAGATAACGTAGATTTAAGTAAATGAATAAATAACACTGGACAATTAACACAGCGCCATCTTGCTACGGTAAGCAGAGCTTGTGATATGGGTACTAGACAACTGATATAAATACTATATATAGATTTTTTTTCTAAATACATAATAATGTGCAAAGAGGGAGAAAGGGGGTTAGTTATGTAGATTGATGATCTTATTGCTAGCAATGTACCATATCAGGTTGACCTCCACGCGGTTCTCCCTCCCGGAAACAATCGTGATAAATTTAAAGGCAAACTGACCTAACCTCATGCTCATCTTATAATCCTCCACTGGTGCCCCGCCAGCGTAAACCGTTAGTGCAGACGAGTGCACCATTTCATTATCATATAAAATATATATGGATACTAGCTGTCCCGGCAAACGTTGTTTTGCCTTAAAATAAAAAAAAATAGGGGTGGACTACCCCTAACATTTAGGGGGATGAAAAATAGATGTTGGCCGATTCTCAGACCTACTCAATACACTCACAAAATTTCATGAGAATCGGTCAAGCTGTTTCGGAGGAGTATGGGAACGGAAACTGTGACACGAGAATTTTATATATAAGATAATATACACACAAAACACCCAGTCAATTATACTCATCGAACCCGCGGCCATAGGAAATAAAGCGGTGTGCTAAACCGCTAGACCACCGAGGTCGTCGATTTATAATGTGTTTAATTATGACTTAGCAAATGTACCTTCATTTGATTCAGTTTGATGCCGTTGACCTGGTTGTAATGTAGTATGAAAGCGGTGGCTATACCACCGACATATCCGGACAGGTTCATCCAGCTGGGCAGGTACAGCATGCTCAGGATCTTGGAGCCGGCGAACATCGTGCGCAGCACTCTATCGAAACACTTTAACTGTACTATACTAGTATAAAAATAACCCTGGACAATTCACACAGCGTCATCTAGTTCCAAGCTAAACAGAGCATGTGATATATACACAGATGGCTGGTTTATATCCGGCTCGAAGGACCATTTTCGGTTATATATTTTTTTTCATACCCTTAATTAATAAGTGTGATGCACCCTAGATTTTTTTTTATGATTCATCATTTAAATATACACACAACCGTAAATTTTCACCCTTGTACCATCAAACCCTATTATTTTATAATAATAATACGGCAAAATATATAATCATAATTGCCGGTTGCACAACGTTGCAGTTTACCCGTGATCACGGCGGTTGAAACGCTGCCAAAATAGCGGGAACTCAATAAAAATAAAAAGATCTCTGTTTATTGTCTGTTTGTAATATTGAAATAACCGTTTTTTACTACATGCATATGAATATAAATATGCTACAAATAATGTTTTTACAATTTTTGTCTGCCTTTTTTTTCCGGCTAATCTCTAAAATAGCTGGACCGATTTTGAGTTACTTTTATTTTAGAAAAATAGTTAAATTCCATGCGTACGAAGTCGCGGGTACATCTAGTTTACAATAAAATGTATTTAAGTATATTTATCAGTTCTCCAGTACACATAACACAAACTCTGCTTAGTTTGTAACTAAATGGAGTTCATATGAACTGTCCAGATATATTATGATTATTATGTGTGTAAAATAAAAGAAATAGAACATTGGTGTCACTTACTTAAAGACTAGATGGCGCTGTATTTAACAATAATAATAAGATATCGTATATACACACACGCACTCACACGCGACAACACGCAAACACGCACACACGCAAACACGCACACACGCAAACACGCACACACGCAAACACGCACACACGCAAACACGCACACACGCAAACACGCACACACGCAAACACGCACACACGCAAACACGCACACACGCAAACACGCACACACGCAAACACGCACACATGCAAACACGCACACACGCAAACACGCACACACGCAAACACGCACACATGCAAACACGCACACACGCAAACACGCACACACGCAAACACGCACACATGCAAACACGCACACACGCAAACACGCACACACGCACACACGCAAACACGCACACACGCAAACACGCACACACGCAAACACGCACACACGCAAACACGCACACACGCAAACACGTCCACATGCTCACACACACGTATACACACACACTGCATTTACTTGGTTTCGATCCGTAAGTTGTTTTTTTCGGACTACTCTACTGCTGTTGGCCGCAGCTGGCCTATACAGCTTCACCGGACGATAGGGGGCGAGTGCAGATGGCACTCCAAACCCGCGGAAGGACTTATGGAGCGGCTGAAGGCCAACTCCCGCCTGACGGATACGACTTTAGTCTGAGAGCACCGCTAGGGGTTCAAACCTCGACTCAGGCCGTCGTAACATCGGTCCCCGTTAGAATTGGACGGGGGATCGATCGGAGGGGGACGAGGGAACGATTGGAGGGGGTGGTATACGCTATAACTACGGTGCTACGCCACGCCACGCTAGCAATTCTCCCACTATGAGAGCATTGCAATTATTAAATTTATTTTTAGTTAAGGTCCAAGATGCTGACGTTTATACAGAAGTCTTGCCTTCCATAATAAATAAAATAAGAATATTTTTATCATCGTATAATTTTAAGTAATATAAATAGTTTTAAACATGTCGGCAATTAGCTGTTTAATTAAATAAATAAATATAAAGCGTAGAAAACCAATAAAAGCTGAGAAAATTTAGTATGTAAATAGATTTAGGTCCCTATTGGGTCTTAAGGGTCTTACTTACTCAGGAGATTGACCGGTGATGATCGGTGTGAGTTCGTTGAAGTAGGTAACAAGGCCGGCCGCCACCGCTGACGTGATCACCAGCGACGGTAGAACTACAACGGTAGTCTTCGGATATCTGACCAGGAACAGCATGAGGAACAACCCAGCTATGTGCAGTTGCATATCAGCCGCTAAATACCTGATGATAAGATAAGTAAGATTTTTGTATATGTATTTATCTATACATATAAATAAAATTGGAGTGTCTGTTTGTAATATTGAAATAACCGTTTTTTACTACATGCATATGAATATAAATATGCTATATACACCTGTTTGGGAAACTACTCTGCTACCAAAATGTTAGGGAATTTACTCTCTGTATATATATAGGTAAAAATAAGGAAGCGTCAGTCATTTACCTTTATGGTTCTGCGGATTTCTTGGGCTTCAGGGTCTCGAAGATATCTTCGCTAGCTTTCCAGCTTCACAGTAGGTTTCACAGTAGGTTAACACAGTTCTAATTTATTTTAATTCACAACACAATGCGCGCGCGCGTCATGGCCGCCGTACAGTCGGTTCAGTACTAGGTAAGGGAGGGGAAGGGAACGCGCGGGAACAGAAAACTAACGGACTCTAATATAATATAATATCTGTGCTTACGATGGTATAGGGTAGATTTTGAACAACACCAAAATAACATTTTTTACAATTTTTGTCTGACTGTCTGTCTGTTTGTTCCGGCTAATCTCTGAAATGGCTGTACCGAGTTTGACGGGACTTTTTTTGGCAGGTAGCTGATGTAAAAGGGAGTAACTTAGGCTACTTTTATTTTAGAAAAATAAAGTTATGTTCCACGCGGACGAAGTCGCGGGAACAGCTAGTATAAATATATATTAACAACGTAACCAGATGTCGCCTTTTAAACGGGACGTCCCTTTTTATAATTACGAGTCCCGGTGTCCCCAAAATGAACTCTGGGACGCAAAATTGTCCCGTTTTTGGAAACTCCGCCAAAATGTGTATTGTCGACTTACTTTATTTATCAACAATAATCGATTATTGTTGATAAATAAAGTGAATAGGTATAAAAAAACGAGCCAAAACCTCAGTCTTGCATGTAATAATATCTTATCTGTGGTTTTACTTAAAAGCAAACTTGTTTATCCGACAATACTGATCTTTTAAGCTAACTTTTTCTGAATAAATAGCCTTTATTGTTTTTTTCATTGCAATTGGCATATAATTTGTAGGAATGAAGACAATATTTTAAGAAAGGTGTTACATATGAATGTGGATAGTTGTAAGGGCAGAGCAAGGCCGAAAAAGAGATGGATGGACTGTGTGAAAGATGATATGGTAAGAAAGGAAGTAAATAACGCGGTGACTGCGAACAGGGAAGAATGGAAGAGAAAAACATATTACGACGACCACAAATAATGCTGTTAGCCGCAGCTGGCCTTTACAGCTTCACCGGACGGTAGGCGAGTGCAGATGGCACTCCAAACACGTGGAAGGACTTATGGAGCAGCTGAAGGCCAACTCCCGCCTGAGGGACAACTTTAGTCTGATTATTCAAACGTAAGTAGTAAACTAAGATTGCTAATATTTTTCTTATTCTACTATACTTACTGTTCTTTGTTTATGTGTGCGCAATAAAGAGTTCTTATTATTGTGAATGTTTCTTTTCTTTTCTTTTGTTTTTTATCTTGTTTAAAAGGTGATACTCATACACACGGGCCTTAGCCAAGTGTGAGAGAGGTTTTTTTTTATGGATGATAATGGAATGGTGCACCCGCCTGCGCTAACGGTTTACGCTGGCGGGGCACCAGTGGAGGATGATAGGATAAGCATGAGGTCAGGTCAGTTACCCTATCGTGACAAATTCACCAGGAATTTATCACGATGGTTTCCAGGGGGAACCGCGTGGAGGTCAACCTGACATGACACATTGCTAGCAATGGGATCATTAGTCCACATTACTAACAATCCCCTTCCCCCCTGTGAGAGAGGTTGCGCTATGTGAATAACATGTATTGTAGTTGTAATTAGGTTAAATTTCATAATCTTAAGTTATGTAAAGTGAACATGTGGAGGATAGGGGATTGTTAGTAATGTGGACTGATTATCTTATTACTAGCAATGTACCATGTCAGGTTGACCTCCACGCGGATCCCCTGGAAACCATCGTGATAAATTCCTGGTGAATTTGTCACGATGGGCTAACTGACCTGACTTCATGCTCATCTTATCATCCTCCACTGGTGCCCCGCCAGCGTAAACCGTTAGCGCAGGCGGGTCAACCATTCCATTATCATCCACAAAAAAAAGTGAACATCTATTATCGGTTTGGGAGTAACTGAGCGCACGCCATATTGCATTCCCTCTCTGATTCATTATCTGTCACTTGCGTTGCATTGTTAAAATAAAATATTCTTCGATCCAATCATCTCAACAACTGTTAATATTAATATTGAGTTTATCCGAAATGAAATGAAATGAAATGATTTTATTTTGCGAGAAATGTACACCACATTTCTGATGCACAGATGTTATAAAGTACATATGGTTCCATACAATCCGTCTTATATGAGGACATGCAAAATTTTATATTAGTTATGCTTCTACAATTCTGTCTTTCAGATAGCATATTACATTATTATATTATACAATTTTAAGAAATTATTATATCTATATTATTATTTAGTCATTATATGTCAATATTATTACTGTTATGTCATTACTATTATATTAATATTATCCAATTCTTAACTCATTTTACCATCAAAATTTAAAAATTCTTTTACTGTATAAAAGCATCTCTCAATTAACCAGTTGCGTAATCTATTTTGAATAATTTCAAAAGACATTTCTTTAATAGTTTGAGGTATTTTATGGTAAATTTTTATACACATTATTCTACAATTTTGATGAAATAGCGCACTATTTACTGCAGGCATTCTCAATTTTGAATAGAGATTGTTCCTATTTCTCTTTTAAAACGCAAACTAAACTTACCAGGTGTGTCCCATACACATTTTGCCCATCTCCAGATGGTTGTGAACGTAAAGTATGTGGTACCACCACCTCTCTGAGCAGTCGTGAGCCTCCCTGGTCACCATCCACGTCCACTGCGGTCCGGACCCCAACAGCGGGTACCAGGACATGATGAACCATAACGCGAAGCCTGCTGCTGGTGTTAACCTATCGCAATTAAAAATAACTAGCTGAACCCGTGGCTTCACGCACGTGAAGTTTATAGCATACTAGCTGTGCCCACGGCTTCGCCAACTTGATATTTTTAACCTATGTGTTATTCTGATGTATAAGCTATATTATTGTAAAATTTCATCAAAATCCGTTCAGTACTTTGAAAAAATAACAAACATTCATCCATACTAACAAACTTTCGCATTTATAATTATAATAAAAAGATGTGTTATTCTGATGTATTTAGTTCATTAGTATTAATAATATTCATATCACAATCTAAGTGTACGCGGGAAGCTTCTCTGAAACCGCACATATGAAGTACGTACAAATCTTAAGAAGATATAGTAATAACAATGTCAGGAAAATTCACACAGCGCCATCAAGACCTAAGTTAAGCTAGCTAAAGCTTATATTATAGGTACTAGATAACTGATACAAATACATAGATCTTTTTTCGTAAATACGTACATACTATACATAGAAAACATCCAGACCGATCAGAAACAATAATACTCATGAATACAAATGTGTCGTGCGAGGAATCGAACCCGCGACCATCGGATGTAAGACGGTGTGTTAAACCTCCGAGGCCGTCCATATATAACCTTACCTTATATATCTGTTGACAATACCAATCAGACACTTCCAGATTGTAATTGGTTTGGTATTGACAGTGATGAGTATTGAGTAGGCAGTCAGGAACCCTGACATGGAGAAGAATGCCTGCAGCCATATCGGTGTGTTCAGAAGAGTCTTCCACACAAACTGGTCGTACATCTGAAACATTTGTTTTATGTAATCAGATTAATATCAGAACAATTCACACAGCGCCATCTAGTCCTAAGCTAAGTAGAGCTTCGCCATCTAGTCCTAAGCTAAGTAGAGCTTGTGTTATGGGTACTAGACAACTTATATAAAAACTAGCTTTTGCCCGCGGCTTCTCTCGCATTAATTTACCCCCTTAGGGATGGAATTTATCAATATCCTTTCTTAGGGGATGCCTGCGTCATAGTAGCTTTATGCATGCAAAGTCTCAGCCCGATCGGTTTAATATTGATAAAGTTTCATACAAACTTTCATCCCTATTTTATCCTCTTACGTGTAGAATTAATCAAAGTCCTTTCTTAGTGGATGCCTACGTCATAAAATCTAACTGCATGCCAAATTTCAGCCCGATCCGTCCAGTGGTTTGGGCTTTGCATTGACAGATCACTATGTCAGTCAGTCTCCTTTGAATTATATATATTGAGTTACAGATAATAATATCCCTGGACGATTAAATAATAACCTTTCAGACCAATGCACACAGCGCCATCTAGTCCTAAGCTAAGCAGAGCTTGTCTTAAGGGTACCAGACAACTGATATAAAAATTCAAAAAATTCAAAATATATTTATTCATGCAAGTGTAGGTTTTTATAGTGTAACAAGAATCCTAAATGTAACAAAAATGTTTTTAATATATATGTATTTATAAAAAATAATATATACTCACATTATTTAAATTATTAACCGGGTCTTAACACGAATAATTTTATGGCAAATTTCAGTAGCATCAACAGTCAATAAGTGTACGGATACCGTGAGTGCTGTGTGGCGCGAACTGTCGTTAAACAATCTTGTGACGGTAGATGAAGAAAAAACTGCTGTCACCTATCTACATTGACATCGCTGTTACTCCAGTCAGCTCGTGACCACGGCTAGTGCAACCTAGTCGAAACGTCGAGAGAGATAAATACCTTTATTTGCCATAAAATTATTCGTGTTAAGACCCGGTTAATAATTTAAATAATGTATATTAAACACGAAAGTTTAAAATTAACTATATACTCACGTTTTCGATAAACTCTGGATTGTCAGTAAAGGAGTATACATAGATTAATAATGCGTGAGAGAATATCACGCTTAATAAGCCCATTACTCTGAAAATAATAATAATATAGTAAAAAAACAGAAACAGATTTTATATAACAGTAATAATAACACAGAATAATTTAAAGAATATGAAGTAATAATAACCAATCACAATACACACAATCTAGACCCAAAGAGCTTGTGTTACTGGTACCAAATAAGTGATATATACACTGAAATATTTTTTTTAGTAAATATATACAGGGTTTCTGTTTAAACCGACCTATTCCGCGGCGTATAGTTTACATTATTTCTGATAGATTTCACTATGAAACACCCTATCCTAAATCTAACCGTTTTCTAGATATTTGAATTGAATTGTTTTATGTATTATTTGAAACGATTTATGCAGGTGTGACTAAGAAAACAACGTAAGCAGACTGACTGCATCTGATAAGCAGAACTTAATCAGACTCACACCTGTAAAATCAACATCGGGAATTTTTTGTAAAAAAAAATTAAAATATCTCGAAAATGTTTAAATTTAGGTTAGGGTGTCTCATAGTGAAATATGCCAGAAATAATGTAAACTATACGCCTTTAACGGGAATAGGTCGACTTAACCAGTCACCCTGTATATAATATACTACAAAAAAACACCGAGATCTATACAAACAGAATGCAAATGTTTATACCGAGTTGTATCAATAACATTTTTTATTGAACATAAATATATATATAAATGCAAATGAAACCATATCGCATTGGCTTAAAAATAAGACAGTCTCTTGCCACCCGAGAAGCAAATGTACATAATATATAAAATAAAATAAATAAATAGAAAAGCCCTTTATTTTATTGTTTACAACTTTTCTTAAAATCTTATTAAATATTAATTCACATTCTCAGCAATAGTCGCCTAATTAATAAACCCCTCCACACGTCCCTCTCCCGCGCCTTCCTCATCCGGTCCGCTCCAATATATAGACAGTATTAAACATATGAATTACATACCTCATTCCCTCCAGGCAGGCCAAGGATTTCATTCTCTCATCCGACCTCGGCTTTGAACGATCGTAAGTCAATATACTCCAGTTACGTTTCATGGAAAATGCCAGCAAATATTTGTTTCCTGGAAGTTTATAACACAAAAATAAGTTTTAATTATGAAATTAGTTGTAATAACAATAACCCAGGAAAGTTCACACAGCGCCATCTAGGCTAAAGCTAAGCTGAGCTTGTGTTATGGGTACTAGACAACTAATGTTAACAGATACATTTTTTGGTATATACATAATATGCAGAGAAAGCACCCAGACCATTACAAACAAACGTCTCATGAACACAAAATGTTTGTACCCTGCGGAAATCAAACCCGCTACCATTGAAAGTAAAGTGGTGATCTAAACCGCTAGACCAATGAGTCATGAGGAGTATTATAAAATGCGTCAACAATTTGATTTTGCCAAGCAGAAGAGGAAACGCCACTACACATCCTTTGTGGTCGTAGACCACTCACATAAACGAAATATTTCCTTTATAATGTATATACTCTACCCTATGGAGATAAAAACCATCGCTCCTAAGAATATCCTTCAATTCTTGTCTCTCACGGGACTAGGTAGCGAACTTTGAAAAAGGGCGAGCACAATAGATCCATAGGTCGCAGTGCTATAGCACCTGACAATAGCCCAAAACCCCCAATAAAAAAACAAGACAAGGTAGTGAACGTGAGTTTAAATTTGGTAAGAAAACACCGATATAAAACCAAAAATTATTATGAAGCTAATCCCCCTGTGACCGATCCCCCGTCCAATTCAATCGGGGATCGAAATTACGACGGCCTGAGCCGAGGTTCAAACCCTTAGCGGTGCCCTCAGACTAAAGTCGTATCCGTCAGGGGGCAAGTCCTTCCTTTGGTTTGGAGTGCCATCTGCACTCGCCTTACAGCTTCGCCGGACGATAGAGGATCGTCCGGTGAAGTTGTAAAGCGGCCAACAACATTACAGTAGTCCGAAAATAAAAGGAATATAATCACATCATACATAAATCTTTGAAGTACAGTGGACCCGCGGTAATCCGGCTCCTGTCTAATCCGGCCCCCCTTGTAATCCGACATTGTCTACTATTTGTTATTGAATATTACTTTGACAATATACTTCAGAGTGCATATACATACATACATATATAACATAGAATCTTATCACTGGATCTGTAATTTGTCGGATCACAAGATACTCTTTTGTAAAAAAATTCGGACTATAAGGGGTCTTAGGCAGTACTCTATAATCCGACAAATTCGATAGTCCGACACTGCCCTGCAAAATGATTGTCGGACTACCAGGTGTCCACTGTATACCATCTCTACTCGTACATACCATCGACTTTGGCACAGCGTTCCCCGAGCACGTGCAGTATGGTGGCGAGGAAGGCCAGAGCGACCAGCACGATGCTCAGAACGGCCAGCGCTCGTGCTGAACTGGACTCAGCTATCGGAGATTCCCCCACATTGGCACACCAGTCTACCCCTAATACTTCCGCCTGTAGAATTGTTCTTAGTATAATCATTGATGTATCATGTTGTAGACCTTTTCCGTTTTAAAATAACATCTCCAAGACTCAAAAGAAAAAATCGGTAGACAGTTCATTTCAAAATTTATGCGTATGCGGGAGGATGCTCCTATGAGAGCGTCCTTTATATACCTTTCTTACAAAACCGCATGGTGTAGAGTCTAGACAAAACCTTGGTAAGTAGTTCAATCCACAATTTCGGTCCTCTGAAACCGCACTGTCCAAGGCCACTTAGGTCCTTTAGGATGTGGGCATGAATTCCCTGAAAATCCACACAACCTTGAGGTAGTGGGGATGAATTCCCTGTCTTTAACGAGTGTTGGGATATTAAAAAGCATAAGTAAAGTGCAGTGTCTATAGCTCTACAAGCCTACCTCCAGGCCATATTTCTGCACGCTCTCATTGACACAGAGCTGAGCAGCAGCCTCCCAGGAACCTGTAGCGTTGTCGTTTACACCGCATCTCGTGACACACACGCCGCGGTGTATTTGTGTCCGGTTGTAGTGTTTTAATACTTCCTTTGAATATTCCTGGAATAAGGAAAGAAATAAAGAAAATATACTAAATTTTAACTATACATATAAATAAAATTGTAGTGTCTGTTTGTAATATTGAAATAACCGTTTTATACTACATGCATATGAATACATATACCAAAATAACATTTTTGTCTGTCTGTCCGGCTGTTTGTTCCGGCTAATCTCTGAAATGGCTGGACCTATTTTGACGGGACTTTTTTTGGAAGGTAGCTGATATAATAAGGAGTAACTTAGGCTACTTTTATTTTTGAAAAATTCTTTTGTATTAGAAAAATAAAGTTAAATTCCACGCGGACGAAATCGCGGGAACAGCTAGTATAATATATAATTACTTGCTGACCAGCGCAACTTCGTCTGCATCACACTTGATATTTATCATTACTATTACGCCCAATTTACAAAATATCTTTTTAAATTATAGTCTATGTATTATTCTGATGTATAAGCTATATTACTGTAAAGTTTCACCAAAATCTGTTCAGTAGGTTTTGCATGAAAGAGTAACAAACATACACAAACTTTCGCTACTAACTTTACTTACTAAAATTGATTTATTTTTTACTTTTTATAGGTTACTTAAAATCTGCAGACTTTGCTAAACTGAAGAGGAAATACCTATGTGGTTATAGCCCACTCATGTATAAACGAAATATTCTCCTTTGGAAAGTACACACTCCATCCTGAGGAGATAAAAACGATCGCTCCTAAGAATATCATTCAATTCTTGTCCCTGACGGGTCTAGGCAGCGAACTCTGAAAAAGGGCGAGCACAATAGATCTATGTAGGTCGCAGTGTTACAGTTCCAAGCAACTCACAACAGCCGTGGGGAAAGTGGATTGTTAGTAATGTAGACTGATGATCTTATTACTAGCAATGTACCATAACAGGTTGACCTCCACGCGGTTCCCCCTGGAAACCACCGTGATAAATTCTTGGTAAATATGCCACGATGGACTAACTGACCTGACCTCATGCTCATGCTATCATCCTCCACTGGTGCCCCGCCAGCGTAAACCGTCAGCGCAGGCGGGTGCACCATTCCATTATCAGCCATAAAAAACCTAACTATTGTCAGGTTTTTTTTGGCTATTGCCCAAACCCTCCAATACAAAAAATAGAAAATACTTAAAATTTTACAATTATTAGTGGCTACAATCCCACATTTCCCATCCGTTTCACAAGCGATTGCACTTCGTGTTATCCATATAATCAAAAGGTCACGGCTACTCAAACGCTTTTCGCATAAATATGATAATATTTATATTTACTGCCTACCTGTACCCGCGACTTTGTCCGCGTGGAATTTAACTTTATTTTTCTAAAATAAAAGAAGGCTAAATTACTCCTCATTACATCAGCTACCTTCCAAAAAAAGTCCCATCAAAATCGGTCCAGCCATTTCAAAGATTAGCCGGAACAAACAGACAGATAGACAAAAATTGTAAAAAAAAATATTTTGGTGTATGTACCGTATTTATATTCATATGCATGTAGTAAAAACGGTTATTTCAATATTACAAACAGACACTCCAATTTTATTTATATGTATAGATTAGTTGTATGAAGGGATATTGCACAAGACACCATAAGTACACATGGGTAATGATGGTGCAGTAATGGCTATTTAATTTGTTTATAATACAAAACTAGTCGTTCAATGTCGACGTACAAAGTTTAAAGGTAAATGAAGTTATTTATTTATTTACATCGTACTAAATGACCTTTACAGTCTCTCAATATGCTCACATAGGAAGATAATATACAAATACACACAATTACAAACACTAATTACACAAGGAAACAAAAGAGAAAAAAAAAACAATAATAATAATAATACCTAATCTCCATTTAACATACTACCTAAATAATCTACTGCCATCCTACGAAACTCCAGCAAATTACAAGTAAATATGTCTAGATCTGGAAAGTGACTAACTACACCGTTGAGTAGACTCAATGCCAGAGAAATAGGAGCCTGTTTGGCCAGCTCTGTTCTTCTCCATGGAACATCAAACAAGTTTCGTCTTCTTGCTTGTACGTTGTTATTGGGCGCTCTTATGGATACTGATGTTATTACCGCTTGGTTACATTTTTCACCTCTCACGACTTTGACTACATATTCCATTAATGCAATCTTCCGTCTTACTTCGCGTGTGTCATATCCCACCATCCCTAACAAAAACATAGTAGGATATATATTAGAGTATGTGACTCTATAACCGTACTGCCTTTGATATACATATCGTATAAACTTTTTTTGGAGTTTCTCCACCATGAGTATATATTTTGACTCATGTGGGTTCCAGATAATTGCGTTACTTTCTAATTTACTGCGTACGAAGACATTATATAGTATTTTAATACTAAGTATGTTGTCTAACTGGTGTGCCTGTCGCAATACAAGGGACCCAAGGGTCCTGAACGCCTGAGTGCGTAGTGCACTCATCAAAATTATAAAAATAAGTTATATCTGATTCTAGCGGTCAGCCGAGCAACTTCGTCTGCGTTTCATTTCCACCTTTTGCAATATTTATCATTACAGCTCCGCTCCTATTGGTCGTAGCGTAATGTTATATAGCTTTTAAGCTATTGGATAGTCCATCCAAGGCAAGGCCTTCCTCGACAAATGGACTATCCAATCCAAAAATAATTTTTCATATCGAACCAGTAGTTCCCGAGATAAGTGCGTTCAAACAAACAAACAAACGTTTCAGCTTTATAATATTATTATTATAATATAAGTACTAGCTACGCGTAGGTGTACATGTATTATATATATAAACCTTCTTCTTGAATCACTCTTTCTGTTAAAAAAACCGCTTCAAAATCCGTTATGTAGTTTTAAAGATATAAGCATACATAGGGACAGACAGACAGCGACAGCGACTTTAATTTGTACCATGTAATAATGATGGTATAGATAAATATATTATAAAACTCTGTGTGACATCTCTATAACATTCGTATCTGTATGACATACGGAAGTGAAGCAGTACAACTGTGAGATTTCCTTTTTTCCATTAATGTACAATAACAAACCTTTAAATCATGATTTTATTAATAACACTAGCTGTACCCAAGACTTCGTCCGCGTGGAATTTGACTTTATTTTTCTAAAATAAAAGTAGCCTAAGTTACTCATTAATACATCAGCTAGGTACTTGCCAAAATAAGGCCCGTCAAAATCGGTCCAGCCATTTCAGAGATTAACCGGAACAAACAGACAGACAGACAAAAATTGTAAAAAATGTTATTTTAGTGTATGTACCGTATTTATATTCTTATGCATGTGTAAATAACGATTATATTGAAATAACCGCAATATTAAAAACAGACACTCCAATTTTATTTATATGTATAGACTATTATAAAGCTGTGTGTAAAATGGGACATAGGAAGTGATGTGTTATTTAATTTTTTTTTCATTAATGTACCACAACTCACCTTTAAATAATTATTTTATTAATAACATAACAGTCGGTTCCGTGTTTTTGGCAGTTGGTTGTATATAGCCGAATGCATGTTTGAAGGTACCTTATGCGCAAAACGCGTTTTAATCTGACTATTTTTCTTCCGCGGTCTCAAGTCAACGTCCTTGATCTGTTGTTTATTATACTACAAGTTCCTACTATAGTTTTATGCTATGAAATGGTGCTACCTGCATTACGGCAGATTCTAATAAGATATGGTGATGTAGGATGAAATTTGAAATTGAGCATCAAGTTGAAATTCAATAATCATATTCATGTAGGACATTTTAGACGTCATATTTATTGTATTATATTTTTTCCCTACCATCCAGTTCAGACATACAATACTATACCGATTCAATTGAGAAGAACTGGCAGGAGACTGAATTGAATTTCTTATTTTTTCTTAAAAAGCCAGTTTATTTACATTGTTCACTTATATAGGTCTATGACAAACATTACATGAAAATCTAGTATTAATATAAATAGAAATAATCTTTATTCAAATAAACTTAATATTTCAATAAAGATTATGAATAGTCACACTTTTTTATTCTACCGCTCATTCGGAATGCAGACTCATCAAGAAGCTTATGCTATGAATATGGCTGTTTTTTTTATTAAGTAAAGATTTTTATGTACATTTAGAATATTTAAGTATATAAATTAAGAAGTATTAGTAGTAGTAATTAGATATAATATTTTAAACATAAATTTAATCTCTATTCTTAATTTTTTGGGTCCAATTCGATTGTGTAACGTTATTTTGAAGCGCGATCGTGAAAGTCAATTACATTCTAATAATATCTTAGGAAAATTCCCACTGCGCCATCTAGTCCTAAGCTAAGCAGAGCTTGTGTTACGGGTACTTGACAACTGATATAAACACTTAGATTTTTTTTGTAAATACATACATAATGAACATAGAAAACAGCCAAATCAATACAAACAATCAAACTTATGAATCCAGTTGTTTGTACCGTGCGAAGATCGAAAGTAAAGCGGTGTGCTAAACTGCTACACCATCGGGTCCGGTCAAATTTGGGAGGAAATGACGCGGTGTGAATTCTCTGACTTTAGAATTTAGTCTTTAAGATTACATGCATATATTAACTAATTTATATATAAATAGCTGACCCCGCAAACGCAAACGTTGTTTTGCTATATAAATTAAAATCACTATTAAAAAGTAGGGGTTGATGCTAGAAGGGTGAAATTTTATGTTTAATTTTTATTCAACATTACAAAAAAACAGTCCTAAAACTTAAAAAAAATTGTTAGGTTTGGACTACCCTGATCACTCTTATCACTTATGAAAAATAGATAGAAATTCCAGACCTACTAAATAAGCATATACAATTTCATAAAAATCGGTAAAGCCGTTTCGGAGTAGTATGGTATGGTAACTAACATTATAACACGTAAATTATATATATCAGAAGATACTTCACTTTTACGGAATTAAAGTTAACTCCATATAATTATATAAGCAAGTGGTCAAGGACACCGCACTGATGAAATTTAATGATCTAACAGAACCGGTACGGTTTCATATGTATGCAAATAAACAGCGATAAACCAATGTAAGTATTACTTACTACAATATCACCTGTTAAAAACTCTGTGTAAGACACCGGCTATACACAAATAATTATAAAATATAAGAATTACCCTTAAATAAATTCAAAACATCTGTTAAATCATATTTACTGAGCAAAGCCTATTATCAATGTCTTTTTATATAATCTATATCTTTTTATAATTTGAAAAGTTAAGGGACCTTAACAAGTTTTCTTTTCTTTTTATTGACTTCTCGATATTTCGGTAGTGTTACAACCGCTACACAGCATCATATTTATTATAAAGAGTCGTAACTCATTAAGAGAGAAATTCATGGAGGCAAATATTCTCACCGTTTCTTCTCAATTTATATATTCAAATATCCTATATGTTCATAAAAAAATTGCAATATTCATAATATTAATACTAGATTTAAAGACAAACTTGCTGTCCCCAAGTATCGTTTAGAAAAAGTCAATAGGTCTCTTATGGGATTAGGTATAAAAATTAATAAAATAAAGATACCAAAGGATATTTTGGAATTACCCTTAATTAAACATCTGTTAAAACATATTTACTGAGTAAGGTCTAAGGTCTACGGTCTAGGTAAGGTTACTCACTAAACGATTACTTGAATGACGACCGTGCGTGGCAATAGTTGTTCATGCACGGGATTTTCATTTAATGTTAGACATAGACATCTATATATATATATATATATATATATATATATATATTATAAATATACTGGCTTGTTTTTTTGGCTGCTGAGTTTCTTGCCAGTTCTTCTAAATTGGATCTATATACTGAACTGGACGGTAGGGAAAAAATTAAAATTATAAAGTAAAAAATTTGACGTTCATAAGCGGCTAATATGTCCTACATGAATAAATGATTTTTTAATTTAGATTTTTTTTAATTTCAACAAACAATTACTTTTTGTACTCTTATTTTACGTGAAGAAAATCCCTCATGGAAACCCCTCAAGGATCAGTTGCGCTAACGATTTACGCTAGCAGGGCATCAGTGGAGGATGATAAGATGAGCATGACGTCAGATCAGTTAGCACATCGTGACAAATTCACTTAGGTTCCGATAGGTTTCCGGGGTAAGGTCAACCTGACATGGTACATTGTTAGGAATAAGGTCATTAAGACACATTAGTAATAATCTTCAGTGTTGCCAATTATTACGAATTGTCGAGAGTGTACCATTTTCATTAAGGTCTTATGTTGCAGTTATTTTTGACGGTCTGTGTGGTCTAACATCTCATGGTTGATAGATAGATAAAAATTGTGTGTCAAAGCACTGTAATAATAAGAACAAAAATAAAAAAAATACAATTACATTAGTCAAGTCAAACAAAATATAATACACAACAAATATACAGATAAAATAAAATGCAATACAGTTAACAAAAAAACAAATAGTAACATAGTGTGTGTGCATAGCCCATACGCAAAAAGGCAGCACATCAGTGTATTGTTTACTGCATACAAGCAGTAAACCACAGATATTCAGGCACTGCCCAGAGACATAAGCGAGGACGCATGTAACAAGACCACAGCTTCTAATCAGCCCTATTATATTATCATACATAGTAATAATAAAAAAAACATAAATAGGTATAACATATAGACATAAAATATATAGAAAATTATTATCAATCCGTTGCGGATTCGATTCCTCGCACGGTACAAACATGTGTATTATTGTGTATTCATTATTAGAACGATTGTTTGTATCGGTCTGGGTGTTTTCTATGTATATTATGTATGTATTTACAAAAAAAGGTATCTATGTATTTACGATAACTGATGTCCAGTACATATAACACAAGGTCTACTTGGGACTAGATAGCGCTGTATAATTGTATTGAGATATTCCTATGAGTATATAGCTCAGACTTTTAAAATTGCTAACATATTTTTTTTTTATTTTAACTTATAGTATTGTACCTAAATAAGGTACTATTATTAAGGTAATTATATTAAGAAATCTCTATCCGGATTTTCTTACCAAGGGCCCGGTTCAAGTCCGGTCAGTGGCCACTTGGACTGACTCACCTCGAAAATGGATTAAATTTACATGAAATTTTATTCCGTATGTACTCGTCTCGTACGTACAGACATATCTCGGCTTTTGTGTGTCGCCGAGTTGTTGATTGTAGGAATTTCTAACTATTTTGAAATAAAATATAGCCCATTTTGCTCTCTAATACAATGTTACAACTATATACTATACTAGCTGTACACGCGACTTCGTCCGCGTGGAATTTTAAAAAAAAGTTAATTAGAGAATATTTCTAAAATATAAGTAGCCTACGTTACTCCTTATTACATCAGCTGCCTGCCAATAAAAGTACCGTCAAAATAGTTCCAGGCATTTCAGAGATTAGCCGGAACAAACAGACAGACAGACAAAAATTGTAAAAAATATTATTTTGATGTATGTGCCGTATTTATACTCATATGCGTGTAGTAAAAAACGGTTATTTCAATATTACAATTAGACACTCAAATTTTATTTATATGTATAGATTTACTCACAGCTATGGCCTAGATCTAAGTAGTACTAGTGGCTGGGGAAGACACTTGTTTGTAATGTGTACTAACCACCAAACAATGTACCATGTCAGGTTGATCTCCAGGAGGTTCGCCCATTCATTGTGAATTTACCACGATGTGCTAACTGACCTGACCTCATGCTCATCTTATCATCCCCCACTGGTGCCCCGCCAGTGTAAACCGTTAGCGCAGGCGGGTGCATCATTCCATTATCATTCACAAGACTGTAGTACTACCGTAGACGAGGTTTAACAACTTGTAACTTTTAATAAAATGAATAAGAAATAAAATAAAAACAGTGTAAGTAGCTACATGCGCAGCTGACTTTTTAGTCTAACTCTGCTTATTTAATGCTAAAATTTTAAATGAAAAAAAAAACAATACCAATGCTAAACTAATAATGTAATATTTGATTTATTTTATTGAATTGTTTATTATTTTGCGGAAGTCCATTTCGCTTCTTAATAATAATAATAATCTCAGGACAATTCACACAGAGCCATGTTAGAGACCCAAGTTAAGCTAGCTAAAGCTTGTATTATGGGTACTAGATAACTGATACAAATACATAGATATTTTTTTTCCTAAATACATACATATTATACATAAAAAATACTCAGACCGATACAAACAATCGTACTCGTGAATACAAATGTTTGTGCCGTGCGAGGAATCGAACCCGCGACCATTGGACGTAAAGCGGTGTGCTGGACCACCGAGGTCGTCAAGTAATGGATTTATATTATTTTGTTTAATTCCACTACAATTAAGTAATGTAATATTTGACTCACCTGCAACAATGTGAGCCCAGGGGATTGATGTCGTGAGAGTAGCACAGCATCCACTATACAGTATACGTCCCCTGGCTGCTGACACTGTTTCCACTCGTCCAACTCGTATAGAGGAGGCAAGGATGCAAACGTGGTCTCTGAAATATTTTGTTTTTATCTGTAACACTTTATTGTACAGCAAATACATTTATAATACATATCAGAAATATGGGATATATTCATCTTAAGAAATTACTTGTTTTTATTTATTTATTGCGGGATCAATCAACAAACTTCTATAATACTATGAATTTCATATCTTTACATAATATAAAACAAAATAGCCGCTACTATCTGCTTATATCTTTTAAATTACAGGACAGATTTTAATGCAGATTCAATTCAGAATCGAGAGACTACAGCATGGCGTTTTTTAATACATTTATATACCCTATACAAAGGGTTCTTAAGGGGAGGCAACGCGCACGTGACACCCCTGGTGTTTCAGGCGTCCATAGGCTACGGTAACCGTGTACCATCAGATGGGCCGAATGCCTGTTTGCCACCTACGTGGTATAAAAAAAAAATTCAGCGATAGATAGATTCAAGAGGTTTGTTTATATATTTTATTATTAATTACAATTTTAACTTTTGTTATGAGGTATATAACTTTCTCATTGTCATAGATAATGTAATAAACACTAAAGAAACTTATCCTAAATTTAGTAATGATATATAGTAATTTAAATAATGTAAATTAAATATTGTAATGGGTGAAAACTGTGATTGGTACAGTTTATGCTGTAAATAATATAAATGACGTAGTGGAGTAACTTGAAACAGTCATGCTCGCTATAAAGTTCAAACTTGTGGCGGCGTGGTGGGCCGGGTCGATGTGCTCCCTCTAATATAGTTGAGTGCAATGATGGCTGGCTCATCCGTCATACTCGTGTACGGGTGCTGCTTGTGGGGACTGGTCTGTTCAGGTTGCGAACACTGATTAGATTTTTTGATTTTTTTTATATAGCATATGCTGGTTGTCACTCTATTCTCCCAAATTTGAATTTAAATTAAATAGTATTATTGTAAATATGTACAACATTAATACGAGCTGACAAACAAATACGAGCTGAGTTTCTTGTCAGTTCTTCTCATCTCGAAATCATTCCGAACTGACGGTAGATTTCACATATCATAAGAGTCTGTAATAGACCTACATGAATAAATATTTTGAATGTATATATATAATACGTGCGTGTTATAGTCTACAACAGGAAGAGAATTGCAAAGATTTTTAATGCATCCATGCGAAACCAGGAAGGGTTGCTAGTATATTATAAAATTAAATTTCTGCTTTCGTCAGTCTGTTTATTAAATTATATGCTAAACATTGTAGATTTATTGTAAGTATTGGTTATAAACCTACATGTTTCAATATAAAAAAGATAGAAAACCCAAATTTGAATTTAAAAATGAATCTGTATTTTTGTAAACATGTACAACATTATTTGAAAGAATACGAGCTGAGTTTCTTGCCAGTTCTACTCATCTGGAAATCATTCCGAACTGACGGTAGATTTGGCATATCATAAGAGTCTGTAATAGACCTACATGAATAAAGATATTTTGATAGTCATTTAAAAAGAATACGAGCTGAGTTTCTTGTCAGTTCTTCTCAATACAAGCAATAAAGTTTATAGCATTTTTCAGCATAGGGGATAAACTAGTTTGCGGCACACCCGATGGTAAGTGATTGCATGTGTGTTACTGGCCAAATGTAGAGTCTCTATTTAGAGTATGATAGGAATGACTTAGACAACGATAATAATACGTATAATTAGTGAAAACACGGGATCTTACCACGTTTTATATTTATTTGCTGAGTTCCCGATATTTCGGTAGTGTTTTAACCACCATCATCACGAGTAAACTCACTAATTATACGTATAAATAATGACCCAGGACAGCTCACACAGCGCCATCTACTCCCAAGCTAAGTAGAGATTGTGTTACGGGTAATAGACAACTAATACTTATATACATTTTTTAAATATATTTATAACATACATAGAAAACATCCAGACTGATACAATCACACTTATGAGTACAAATATTTACGATAAAAGAAATTGAACCCGCTACCATCAGGATTAAAGCGTTGTGCCAAACCGCAAAATCACAAAGGCCTGAGTAATAATAATAACAATATTGATATAACGGACCGTGAATCGAAATTTGAAAATAAAATTTGAATTCATTCTAAGCAACATGCAAGTTTTTTGTTCATTTCTTACAAGTCTGCGTTCCGAATGAGTAGTACCAAAAAAAAAAGACTATTCTAAAGTGTTTATTTTAGTTTAGATATAATCTTTATTCAAATGAACTTATTATTTGAATAAAGATTATATCTATTTCTACTAAATTGATCATGTGGCCGTGTATTTAGTAAAAAATGCTCAAAAAAGATTTTTAAATTTCGACACGAAACTATAGTAAAATTTTAAAGAATTCTTTCAAAAAGTAACAAGTTTATTTTTATAAGAATTATTTTAAACCATACTCGTACTGGCCATAATCAAATGTTGTAATAGAATTACTCATTCTAAATTTAAATTAGTGTAACAACTATTTTTTTAATAATCAAATAAACAGGTACTTACCGTTAAATTTCACGACACTAGCACAAACAGTGTTTATAATTAAAAATGTACACAATAAAATTTTGTCCGCCATAATTGTTAATTTAAAATATCACAAATGCACAATCCTCACATCAGGCTGGGAGCGTTAAAACAAACGCAACACGCTTGCATATGCGGTGTTAACCGACTTACGATATTGTAATTGCATAATGTTGAAGGTGGAGGTCGCCCGCCCTTCTCTGTCGACCATTTCAACACATATGAGGTAAAGTTGTAAACAAAACTTAAGTCAAAATTTCGTAGCTTTTGTTTTTCGTCATGAATGCGTTGTATGGCAGGTGAGGACATGTACTTACCATACAAGATGTTCATACACACGTATGGCACATCTGGACAAGATGGACGTGCAATATTTGAAGTTTTATTGTTTGCACTATCTTTATTTGAATAGTACACAACGAAACTTTAAAATTTGTCTGCCTGGATGCCTCTATCTGAGTTACTCCTGACACAGCCAAGGAAATCTTGTAGGTTGAGATTTCGGTTTTTTTGACAACTCACAGAACGCCAGAGCTTGTATTATGGGTAGCAGACAACTGATATAAATACATAGATTTTTTTGTAAATACATACATAGAAAACTCCGAATCTGATACAATTATACTCATGAATAAAAATATTTGTGCCGTGCAAGGAATCGAACCCGCGACCGGTAATAAGGCGCTAAACCGCTACACCACCGAGGCCTTCAAATATGAGATATAGTAGTAATATTACAGAGCATTATTAGACTAATAATGGTTGACTTTGTAAAAAGTCATCTACAAAAAAATAGTTTAATAGATAGAGGTACACATACCTCTATCTATTAAACTATTTTTTGTACCCCCACACTTAAGTAAACTATTTTTCACACCCCTAAGTGATAAGTATGGTCCATCGCCAAAAAATATCTTTTTTATTCTGGTGATTTTTTTTTATTTTAATTCTATTGCAATTTATAAAACAATAAAATATTAAACAACGTTTGTCAACTAGTAAATCTATCAACGCACAGCCCAAACCACTGGACGGATCGGGCTGTAGTTTGGCATGCAGGTAGATGTTATGACGTAGGCATCCACTAAGAAAGGATTTTGATTAATTCTACCCCCCAGGGGGATAAAATAGGGGATGAAAGTTTGTATGAAACTTTGTCAATTTTAAACCGATCGAGCTGAGACTTTGCATGCATAAAGCTACTATGACGTAGGCACTCCCTAAGAAAGGATTTTGATAAATTTCATCACTTAGGAGATAAATTAACGCGAGCGAAGCCGCGGAAAATAGCTAGTTGTAAATAAATATGATGTTTTGTTTAAAGGTGGGCGTTAGAGAGTAAAAGTACCTATATGGAGCCATTTTGTCCTCCGGAATGAAAACGTGTTAGTGTTATCACGGGCGTCACATGATAACGTGATGTCCGTGATACAGTTCCTGTATATTGGCGAAGGTTACCGCTTAGTATCAAGTGAGCTGACTACTTATTTGACGTTCTAATTACATAATAAAATATTACATTACTTATAGCTGACCAGCCAAAGAAAATAGGTTAAAATTTAGGAGTGTACATATATTATATTTCATTTTTTTTAAATAATATAAAAATAGTTTCACGGGAGGCCCACCCTTAAAATAGACGATTACTTTATATACCTACATACAAAATTTCAACAAAATCGGTCCAACTGTTTCGCAAGAGCACAGATAACATAATTGGCAAGAGTATGACAACTAACATGGTGACACGAGAATGTTACTGCTTTATAATATATTCTAGTTGTACCCGCGACTTCGTCCGTGTGGAATTTAACTTTATTTTTCTAAAATAAAAGTAGCCTAAGTCACTCCTTAGTACTTCAGCTACCTGCCAAAAAAAGTCCCGTCAAAATCAGTCCAGCCATTTCAGAGATTAGCCGGAACAAACAGACAGACGGACAGAAATAAAAATAGTAAAAAAGGTTATTTTGGTGTATCTACCGTATTTATATTCGTATGCATGTAGTAAAAAACGGTTATTTCAATATTACAAACAGACACTCCAATTTTATTTATATGTATAGATGTATAGGTTAGATTAGATGTAGATATTATGTATCTTAGTTAGAACTTACATTAGTTCTAAGCTAAGATATAGCACTAACTACAGTATGTAAGAAATCGAAAGTCGTGCAAATGCGGTCGAAATGAGAGCACTGTGAGGAATGCACGGGGAATGCTGATCGCTTGTGACAAGAATATCGGATGACATGACATAACCGCGGGATTACCTAAGAAGAATGAAGATTACAGTCATGCACATGACGCGACAGCGACACTGGCAACATTACGTCTTAATTATGTAGATGACACCAAAAAGTTAATGCTTTTAAAGTATATCCTTACTAACTTACATATAAAATTCTCGTGTCACAGTTTTCGTTCCCATACTCCTCCGAAACGGCTTGACGGATTCTCATGAAATTTTGTGAGCGTATTGAGTAGGTCTGAGAATCGGCCAACATCTATTTTGCATCCCCCTAAATGTTAGGGGGTAGTCCATCCCTAATTTTTTTTTTATTTTAGGGCAAAACATAAAAAAAAAATTTAGTTTGCCGGGACAGTTACTATATATATAATATTATAAATGCGAAAGTAACTGTCTGTCTGTCTGTTTGTCTCGCATTCTGAAAGCACTGAAGCGATTTAAATGAAATTTGGTACCCAGATAGTATAGACCCTGACAAAGGACGTAGGCTACTTTTTAAAGTTAGAAAAGAGTTGCAAGGGGTTGAAAGGGAATATATTATAATAGGGTTCTATGGAAGTATCGTCATTTTACGCGGACGAAGTCGCAGGCACAGCTAGTTGTATATATACTTTATCTTTTTAAAGTACAAATAGTGACAATATTATCTGAGGACAATTCACACGACGCCATCTTGTCCCTAGCTAAGTAGAGCTTGCGTTATGTTTTTTTTTCGGACTAATCTAATGCTGTTGGCTGCAGCTGGCCTTTACAGCTTCACCGGACGATAGAGGGCGAGTGCAAATGGCACTCCAAACCAAAGGAAGTACTTATGGAGCAGCTGAAGTCCAACTCCATGACGGATACAACTTTAGTCTGAGGGTAACGCTAGGGGTTCGAACCTCGGCTCAGGTCGTTGTAACATCGGTCTCCGTTTGAATTGGACAGTGGGTTTGATCGGAATGGGTACTAGACAATTGTTATAAATACTTATATATGTATTATTCCTTTTTTTTTTTAATACATATTAATATACATAGAGAACACCCAAAAGTTTACTCTGTGTTATCCGCCTAGATCTATGTATGTATGTATATTATTATTATTACTAGATGTACCCGCGATTTCGTCAGCGTGCAAAAAAAAGTAGCCTTAGTTGCTCTTTATTACATCAGCTACCTGCCAATAAAAGTCCTGTCAAAATTGGTCCAGCCATTTCAGAGATTAGCCGGAACAGATCGACAGACAGACAAACAAAAGTTGTAAAAAATGTTATTTTGGTTTATGCACCGTATTTATATTTATATGCACGTAGTAAAAACGGTTATTTCAATCTTACAAACAGACACTCCAATTTTATTTATATGTATAGATATGTATGAAGGTATCCGCAGAAAACCAGCGTCTTGGCACCCCGTCACGACATATGTATGCTGATACCTATTTCGTACTATCTAATTGATATAAACCAGTATGTAATTTAAAAAATATTTTTTTAAATTACAGACAGTTATGTAAAAACTATTTTCTTTCATTCTTTCTTTTCTTTAAAATTTTATGCTTTTGAAGTATACTGCTTCTCTACTTTATCTTTCTAAAGTATAGTAATAATAATATTCCTGAATAATACACACAGCATCATCTAGCTAGTCTTTAGCTAAGCAGAGCTTATGTTATCGGTACTAGACAACTGATAAAAATACTTATATATATATATGTAATCCATTTTTGTTTTGTAAATAAATACATAATATACATAGAAACTTCCCAGATCGATACAAACAATTACTATACCCATGAATACAAATGTTTGTACAGTATGAGGAATCGAACACGCACCATTAGAAAGTAAAGTGTTGCGCTAAACCGCTGGATCATCGGCGCCGTCAAAAACAGGTACAGATATAACCGAGTATCTATGTATATATTGTTGAGGTAGCTTGAGTTGAGTTCAGGAAATGTTGTTAAAACATTTTATCTATATTCATTAATATAAAAGTGTACAAAGAAATAAATATGTCTGAACTTCTTTTTATATCTTTTGTATTTACAGAACTTCTTAGACAAACCGTTTTATATTACTTTCTTTTAGATTTAGTCAATGTTAATTGTTAATATAAACAATGGATGGCGTCGTATACATGGCTGCATATAAACGTCCATACATACCAAGTCGCAGGCTCCCATTGTCGAAAATAATAAGAAATATAGGAAACAAATTAAAACACAACACAAATCAGTAATAATCTTTTATTTGCAGTTTCTCAATTTGAATAATCTATTTACAGGATATTCGTTATAATCATAATAAAAATATCTCTATGGTTAATGCAACAACATCAAACATTGTTCGTAAAACAATACGCATAGCGTCAGTCTCGTCGTGACACCACGCCACGCGACGTGACACCGCGCTACGTGACGTGACGTAACCCGACGCTAAATGACGTGACACCGCACCACGTGATGTGACGCGACGCTAAACGACTTGACGCCACGCCACATGACGTGACGCGACGCTAAACGAAAACACGCGTGTACTAATAATATAAACGCATTGACAATGTATTTTAATACATATATTTCTAATGTTGATGATGCAAAACTAAAGTCATCTCTGAAGGCGACTTGTGGAAGCGACAAGAGTGTTTTTATCAATTTACTTCATTCTAAATTAGAATTACGCTTAGAAAAAGTTTTTAATTCAAGTAAAGAAAAGATAAAAAGGTAATAAACTGATTGTAAGTTAGAAATTGTAATGTCCATTCACAACCGTTCTCATACACATTCTCACAATATTCTTTTTGTACTTTTTACACACAACGTTAGCGTTTTAAATTTATATTTTCGTTGCGTTCATAAATTATTATTTACACATATTTTTTTTATTTATTTACGTCACCT